CCTGCGTTGGACACTGCATGGGTGCATTGCCTGAGCCTGGCAATAAAGGCCCCCTAGGTCCAGCAGAAGATTTCGGAACTTGCATCGGCAGAGCTGCGGGTCTTTGGGCACGACGGCTACCCATACTAGAATCAGACTCAAGACTAAGACCCTGAAAACCAACTCCCAACCCACCCCAATGAGCGGCTTGTGGTGGCTCCCGTCCTGGGTGCGACTGCAATGAGATCGATCCTGAGCGCCGGCTTGTGCGATCATCCTCCAAGCGCTCCATACGAACCAACATGGACTCCATCATTGAAGTCAAGCGGTCATAAGAACGCTGCTCCTCTGAGCTCGGTTCTCTGCCTCGCAGAACTCTACCCGACTCTGGCAAACGACCCCGTTCCATGGAAGACCACACGGAAGGTTGAGGAGAGCTAGATCTCTTCACACTGTGTACAGGCGTCAAGGCTTGCAAAGGCATCGCAAGGCCACCTGGAAATTGCGCCGATCGTGTCCCCTCAAGGCCTAAAGCATCATAAACACTATGCTCTCTAGAGATAACATCAGGAGCATCAGAGGCTCTGCCACCTCCCGCGGTATCATGATACGAAGGCTCAGCTTGGTGATCATCTATGCGCACTTCCTGTCTATGCTGCGCAAACTCAGCATCTCCACTTTCTGGCCCAACTTGCGGTCCAGCAGAAGCAGCTTCAGCAGATTGCATAGCGGAGCTAGCACCGGAGCCATTGCTTGGGCTCATAACCCCGGCTTAACAAAGGGGACCTTGGACCTAGCCGGGGCACCGCTACACCGAAGTAACTAGCTACGGACTCAGAAGCCTCAAGAACCCACGAGAGAACGACCCTCCCCGAAGAGCCCTGAAGAGAAACCCAAACCCAGGACCGGCTCTTTTTCTTGAGCCAAATGCAGAGCCCCCAAGTTGCGTGTCATCCTTGCGCTGGGGCCAGGACCTTCGCAGAGCTGTTCACATGGAGCTTTCTCCACTTCAGCCTACGTCCTGTTCACATGGAGTCCTTCTCCACTTCAGTCTACATCTGCGCGCTTACTGTCCAGGGTTCATACGAGAGGGCGAGCACTGGGCACTGGGGCTCGGGGTGTTATGAGTTATGTGTGGGCGCGTTTCCGGCCTAAGGCCAAACCTCCAAACGCTAGCCATAGACTCAAAGGCTTAAAAGGCAAGCCAGAAACCGAGTCGATGACAAGTCGAAGCGGTCCATATTATTCTTCATGTGGATCGTCCCTCTCTCTCTCTCTCTCTGTCTTTTTCTCTCTGAGGCTTCCGCTACCACTGCCCTTCGCCCTGTCGGGGCGGAGTTTCGGTTTTTGGGTTTAGTGTCACGCTTAGGGTGCCAGGGGAGGGAAGCACATCACGTTTGATTATTGTTAGCATACTATGTAGGTTACATCATATTCCTATTGTATCATAGTACCATCCTGGTATACTATATCATATTTTTGCTAAGTGTTATCACCATAATCTTTATCGCAAAAAGGAGCCTCTCTGCTTTCAGGCCCGCTGAGCAGACGGAGCCCTCTGCGACCGAGGGCTGAACGCGCGGAGAGAGAGTTTCACAAAATAGCGGGGAACGAACGGAAGGGTTTGGGGTTTAGGGTTTTGGGTTTAGAGTCTGCTTTCAGTTTAGGGCTTGAGCTTGTGGTTTTCGGGATTTAGGAAAGTTTAGGGTTTGGGGGCTATTGTGGAGCTATGCCAGCTATGCTCAACTGATCCACCCGCCAAGGCCCTAAGCCCATTGCCGGCAGTCCGCTTTACATCGTGGCTCTCATGATCATTTGAGAATCAATAGGCCTGTGCAGTTTACCCTCATAGCAGGCACAGCAACCGAATAGGTATTGGCAACCACGTACTCCCACCACACTGACCGGAGTCATCACAGCGAGCACGTCATAATTGTAAGAAGCAGCGCACTGCTCAGAATCAGAAGCGCACGTGTGTCCGGAAGACCATCCGATTAATCATCGTCCTCATAACCCGGTAAAGATTATCACGAAGATCTGCACGGGTACAATCGCAACCGACCAAGCTTACTGAAACCGCGTTGGGATCCGTGTACTGGTTCAAGTTGACTTCGTAAAATCAAAGGGTCTGGATTCGCTCCGAGAGGCTGGTTTACTGCCCGAAGTGCCAGAATCCGAATCCTGGTGTAACATAGGACCTAGGGGCTTTCCTCCATGCCCCAAATATACTCAGCATCCAAGTCGAGAAGAGTAGACCCCCCAACTGCAAGACTCAGAAGCCTGTCACGCCCACGCCGAGGGCTTCCTCTTCAAGTGCAACGCACCGACCCCCAACTCGCCTGAGGCAAGCACAGCACAGCACAGAGCCATCATCCTCCGAGTTCTGCTACTGGATGTGGTGCTCGGTAGGTAGAGACCCGTGCAGCGAAGTTGGGCAAGACGTGTGAGCAGCACTTTACTTGTATTTTCCTTCATGTGTTTGGCTGAGCCCTAAGTAGATTGCCAGCTTCGCATCACTGTCAACATTTGCGCCTCATTTGGAACGCATTTACGGCTAAGGGTTTCTCTGCTTCCCTGCCATAAAGGAGTTCCATGACGCTGCGTTCAGACTCAGACGCACTGAGTGCAATGGCCTAGAACCAGACAGCTTGAGCAACATGGAGGAAGTTACAGCTTTGGGACGGACCTTAACAAAGCGAATCTGAAGTACACACCTGGGCTCACCTCCACTTCTGGACCGGAGCATCTGGCTGCGCCCATAGTGTCAAAGCCTTCTCAGCATCAAGCCGGCCATTTGGTGAGGGTGAGGGAGAATCTGATTGCCATGATGATGCTGAAGATGATGATTGATGGTCATGGTGATTGCGATGGTGACCATGATGATGACGGTGATGATGAGGGAAAGGGTGACGGTGATGGTGGTGGATCTCATTATGCTGATCATGATGTTGATGATGTTGGTTCTGCTGCTGCACATGATGGCTATGGTGATGATGATCATGCTATGGTGGTGACCAGGACCAGGACGAGGATGATCCAAGTGATTCTACGATCTGATGATGTTGTTGATGAGAGTGATGGTGATGGTGATAGCAGTCGTGAAAAGCAAGAAACTATGGTGGTGACTGAGAACGAACGTGGTGATGAACATGCCGCTGATGTTGTAGTTGCGAGGACGGTGGCGTTGATCATGTTGTTCTTGCTGCTTGTGACGATGATGGTAGTGATGATGATGCTGATGGTGTTGGTGATGGTGACGGTTGAGATTGGTGATGGTGCCGATTCTTCTTCTTCTTCTTGTTCGTCCTGTTTTCGTGTAATGGTGCTGTGACTGTTCGAGATTGTGCTTGGTGTACATGTGATGGTGGTTTTGCTGGTTGGTGCTGTTGTGCTGTGGTTGCATCTTCCCGCAGCTGTTTCCGCTTGTAATGCATGGAGACGTCTATGCTATGAAGCTTCAAGCCTTCAACCTCACCTTAAACCCTCATCTCGAACCTCAAACCCTCAACCCTAAGCATCTTCAACCTACGCCGAGCATGCCCGGAGGCGGACAGGGAGGCGAACCCTGGTGAGATGACCGACCAGGAAGAGGCTGAGGCAGAGGAGCAAGAGGCAGGGCTTGCCTTAAAGCTCAAAAAACTTCAGAAGTCATTATTGTCTTTCCTCAGTTATGCACAGCGCAGAGTTCTGTCCATCACTGCAATGCGCAGCACTGTCTGGTAACCCCGCTTGGGGACTTTAGGTAGTGTGGATGGCCTTTTCCGGACTAGAAAACAGCCTAAGCGTCAAGCTCTACACTAGACACCTTACATGCTAGACTGCCAGACCTGCTGGCCTGCTTCACTTGCGGTGTGGAGGTGTAACTCCAAATCTGGCCAGCCTTCGTGTCCAGGAAGCCGACATGGCCGAGGAAGGAATGGAGCAACTCTGGTGCTGTCCTGAGCGACAGAGATGAGGCATACGGCTTCACTCCCAAGCGTGGAGCTGTTCACCAACCTCAGAAATTTGATAAGACGGCGTCTAGTGATGCGTGCGGAAGGGCTACTTTCAGTCTTTGTGAATGTCAGGCCGATGCAGGAGCAGCATAAGCAAGTTTTCCCACGCCACGCAAATGACTCGGCTTTAGCGTTTGAAAGTTTGTGGTCTGCAATCCGAGTGCCATACTCTGCGAACCTAGACCTTACCGCAAGCCCGAAGCCTCAAAACGCCAAAGCCCCCAAACCCCCCAAATCAGGGGCTGCGAGCCGCGACCTCTCACCGCCCCGCAAAGGGCCCCGGGCCCCGGTTGTTTTCCCTTCTCCCAGGGCGCTGGCAGTTCCAGCGCTTTCAGCCGCGCGGCTGCTCTCGTGCGACGAGATGTGGGAGGTCCCCCACTATACTTTAGCTTGGAGGTTTCCTGAAATCTTTTAGGGGACGGGTTACTTATAGGGGTCCTGACTATAAGGATCCTGCTTTATTGGGCCTAGTGTATTCGGAAGCCCAAATGTTTCAACATATGGTAGAATTGCATTGTACAACTACTTATTAGTCAGTCTTCGGCACCTGTGTGCATCTTTGGCGGGGCATGAAGAGACAGAAGGCTGCAAGCCTTTGCTAGTAGGAAGTCAGCAACATGCAAACCTTGAGCCTCAATCCTGTCCAAAAGCTGAACCTTCGAGCAAAAACCCCAATTCCAAACGCTTGAACCTCGTGTAGACGCCCGACTGATGCACTCCCTTGCTTCTTGTACAGATCTTGGCGTCGTCTCAAGGAAAAGTCTTTTTCTGTGTTGCAGTTGATGGGTTGTTGCAGCAGCAGCGAGAAGCGACGAGAACTCCGCCAGTTGCAAAAACAAACCTGTAGCAGCGTAGCAGCAGCACCAATAGCAGTGGCAGAATGGGGAACCACCGCTGCACTTCATTTTCTGTAATAACACCATAGCAGTTTTTGTCATGGCGGTGAGGATCATCTCGCATGGTTCACATGAGTATCATTCACGACTATTCTGTAAGTCACTCTGCCGTGCCGTCTTCTGCGTGTGGATGGAGTTTGTGCAGAAGGCCGTTCGCACGAAGCAGTACCGGGGCGATGACGGCCAAACTTTCAAGCTCAACGGCAAGATGCTGAATGCCTCCCTCAAGGTTGGGCTTGGGTGCCGGTAGCGCTTTGGGGCCCTTCCTTTCAGGGCGCTCCGTTAGCTCGACTCGAGAAACACCACCATGCCCCAAATGGGGGCCAGAAGCCGCAAGCCCTGCCCTGCAGGGAGCCGTGATGCTGTCCACGGTGCCGACGCCTGAGCGGCTCGTCCGAGGCCGCGACTCAGAGCGGCCCGCCGGGCTGCGGCCCCCGGAGGTTTTGGGCCTGGACACCTTGGAGGCGGTGAGGGTTTTGGCCCAGGAAGGGATCTTGGATCCCGGCGTCTTGGTCTTCGCCAGCGACACGAACCCGGGCGGGAGTCGCAAGGGGGCCAACATCGGAACCCAAGAGGAAGCTTTGTGCCGGCAGTCCACCTTGAGGCTCGCACAGGAGCAGCTGGAGTATCCCATCCCACTGTTAGGCGTGGCCTACATCCCGCAGGTCCAAGGGCTGCGCCCAGACTTTTGAATGGTCAAAGCGTCTTTTTGTTGATACAAGTAACACATCCACGTCTGTGTCCTTCTTAGCCAGCTTCTTGCGAAGGCACTTGTGATGCTCAGGCTCCCTTCGGGTGTGGTCACCTTCGGTGGCATCTGCTCGGCTTTGCGCCAGTGCCTGGCAGATGAGACTCCCACAGCCAAGGAGGCCAAGTTCCTGGAGGCTGGGTGCCAAGCGGCCGTTTAGTCGTGGGGAGTGGGGGCCGTGTGTATGAATCTTCCGTAGGATGTCGCAGGGAATCCCAAGTTTTCAAAGTTCCTGTTGCTTCGGCAGGCCAAGGTGGCCAGTGTGCTGGGGACGGCTGTGGCTTTCGGCCACCGCAGCCTGGTGCTCGGCGCCTGGGGCTGCGGGGCCTTTGGCAATCCGCCCGCGGCCGTCTCCGAGGCCTTTGCCACGCAGCTCCAGTCGGAGGCCTTTCGCGATGCCTTCGATCGCGTGGTCTTCGCAATCCCCGATCCCTCGCTGCGCCGGGCCTTCGCTGGCACCTTTGGGGAGGCCTTTGGCGAAGCTTTGGCCACGCCGCCACCATAGTACCATGTGTACCATAGTGCCCTGCAGCAGTCGGGCGGTCGAGCGGCCGTGCGCCGCACAGAAGCCACGGCTCCGGCGCGGCTTTGGACCGGAGCACCACGCCACCCTCACGGCCGCCGCCCATGGATTTCCTAGCAAGCACGGCAACCACCCAAGCCGAGCCGAACCTCCAAGGATGGAAATCTGATGGCGTCGATGTCGTGGAGCTGCAAGCTGCAAGCAGGCAGCAGGACAGTTGAGCTTTGCATAGCTAAGCATTCTTCGTAGCTCACACAGTGTACAGGATCAAAAGCCTTTGCTGAGGAAAGTCTACAGGATGGCGGTATCTGCTCGTGCTGATGCAACCTTGAAGATGTGCACACACACACACGTGTGTGTGTGTATATATATATACACACACACACACACATACCTACCTACCTACCCAGGCACGACCCACCTCTACCTACCTCTGACTAGCTCTGACTGCCTCCACCTCTACCCCTACCTCTACCTACATACATACATACATAAATACATGTATATATAGAGGTACACACACAGCTGTGAAACATATAGGTATAGATATATCTCTAGGTACAGATAATGCGGCAGATATCGACATACATTAATTACATTACATTACACTACATTACACGACATTACATGACATAATCTGACATGACATTACATTACATCGGGCTCACGCTGCCAGTGTTCGAGAGCAGGGGTTGGGTTCAAGCAGACTGTTAGGTCGGACGGAACACCACGAACATCCAGAGCCGAAGCGAATCGGGGGCAGCCTCACCACAAATCCATGGCAAAGCCAGATTGCCTTTGTCTGCCAGATCGAACGAAAGGCTCCAGTCGAGCTCCCTCAAATAGTCGAGGGATATCAGCAAAAGGTCCAAGGCCCAAGAATCTCAACATCACACGACCAGGCGAGGCTCTTCATGGTCGCTGGGCACCCTTTAGGCCCCCGCAACCACAAAAAGGCCGAGGCCACCCCAGCAGCGCAAAGCCATGCCGCGGCGGAGCGACTCGCGGCCCCGCCGTCGGAGCGACTCGAGGTGCGCTCAGCCTTCTTCTTATTGACATTTTCACTTGCCGTCGACTGCATTCCTCCTGCAGGAGGAACCAAATCATGAGCCACGTGCTGGTTTGCGCAGGGTGCTAGTGCCAGAGTGCAACCTCCAGAGAGTATTTGTGCGGCTCTTGAGGAGTGCGGGTTGATCTTCGGGCGGTTGGTAGGACCTGACAGGAATTGGGTCTTCCCTGCATTCAGAGATAAGAAGTCCGTTGACATCGCAAGGGACTACAGGCGCTCGCCTCCTCGTCGTCGCTCGCCGTCACCGAGGCCTCAGTCGGAGCCCACTCTGCCATTCGGCCATGCCATGCAAAAGAAGCTGCGGGCTGCAGGCAAGTCGCAGTCCTGTGCATTCAGGCGCCGCTCGCCTCGGCGTTCGCCGCCACCTCGCTCCCCCGCTCGCCGCTCCAGATCGCGATCGCCCAGGTGTGCGAGGCCCTCCACGCCGCTTTCTCCCACTCACCGGGAGGTCTCGCACCATTTCAGGTCACCGGCAAGGAAGTCCCCGGTGAAGGCTGCAGCGCTGCACCCAGGGAGGGAGTGACGTTTCGGAGGCCGAAGCCATTGCTGTCCTCCACGCTTTCGATTGTCTTCTAACTTCTAAAGAAGCCCTGGGCTCTCAAAAGCTTTTCAAAACCTTACTTGTAGTGAAACTGAGGCGCCAGCTGCTGGTGGCACCGCCAGCGGGGGCGCTGGCGGGGAGATGCCTGGGGACATCGGCAAAGCTGGAGTCTCAGCAGTCCACATGCCACCCTGCTGTCATGGTTTCCGAACAGGTAAGCTTTCAACAGGCAGCACCTCATGTCGCAGGGAACTGGGATCAAGCAGCATTTGCATACTAGTGTGTGTTTGTGCGTGCGCACGCGGGCGCGCGTGTGTGTGTGTGTGTGTGTGTGTGTGTGTGTGTGTGTGTGTGTTTGTGTGTGAGCACACGAGCATGCGCGCGCGTGTGCGCGCGCGTGTGCGTGTGTGTGTGTGTGTGTGTCTGTGTGTGTGTGTGCGCGGGTGTGTGTGTGTGTGTGTGTGCGTGAGTCCATCAATCAATCCAGAGATCTATCCATCTTGTGTGCATGGCATGCATCCATGCAAGCATGTGCATCTACGTAATTTCGTAAACAAGAGCATCCACACATACATACATATGGGGGCATACCTACACACATACATAGATGCATACATGCGTACATGTGCACATGCATACGAACTCATAAGCTCATATGCATACAAGTACAGGTACACATGCACATACGCATGCACATGTGCGCGCAGACACGTAGGTTACACACTATTCTCGTGCGCGCATGCCCATGGATTCCTTTCTCTTGTGTGCACGCACATAATCAGCTAGTGCTCGCGCTTGTGCATAAGAAATATAGCTAGTTCGTTTAGGTAAATTAGGTCTTAGGTTCAGCTTTAGTATTCAGGTTCAGGCTCGGTTCAAGTTTAGGTTTGGGTAGTTAGTTAGTGAGTGAGTGTGTGAGTGGGTTATGTGGTCGGGTTTTGACGGAAGCTTCAACCTGAAATCCGAGAAGTAAACCCAGCCCTAAAGGAAAAATCCCTGCTCTCCATGCTTCTTGGGCTTCAACTCGAAAAATCCTTGAACTCCAAACCAGTCCCCTCTCAAACCCAAAGCCTCCAGGCAGAGGTGGTGGCTGGCAAGCCACGACCGAGCACCGGCGAGCAGCCGCGGGCCCCAGGGGAAGCAACGGAGAGACTGTTTTAACGGGGGCTTTGGGGTTCAGGGTTTGGGGTTGAGGGTTTAGGGTTTAAGGGTTTAGGGTTTTGCGTTGGGGAATCGAAAATTTTGCATATGCAGCCTGTCCCTCTAGGAAGCATCTGGGCTGAGGGAAGGAATCGAGTGTTGTGATCGGACTTTTTTGCGGTCTTGTTTGTGTTTATTGTTGAAGGATCACCAAGGTTTTGGCGGATCATGGCTTAGAGGTTTCGGAGTATGCCAGGATCCCATTAGTCAAACGTACATCAATTACACCTGCACTTCGTCATCCTTGCACGATGCGGGTCTGTTGTGGCAAGCAGCTCTTTGATCACATTTGTGCGCCCTCATGCCGTGTTGCCGTAGCCGGTGAACCGCAATCCCGAAAGTGGGCCGTTGTTCTCTGAAAGCAAGGACATGGCGGGCAGAGATCATGATGCCTCAAGGCGCTGGCGTCTGCTGAATATACCGCGTTTTGAGCAGTACTGTAGACGTGCTTAGTGGTAGTGCTTAGTCGTAGTCGTAGTTGTAGCAGCGGCAGTGTGCAAGCATATGTTCGACCTCTAGGTCTTGGCAGAGGTTTGCTTTGCTCTTCCTCTTGTTTCTTCGTACGTTTATCATGCTTTCGGTCTTGTCGGGAAGCCTTGCCCGCTGCTGTCGTCATGGTCCTTCCTGCCTATGCCAAACAGCCAATGCATGCGCGCGGCAACTCCAGCAATAACATAGTTGTTAGCAACAATGTCGAAGAGGCATAGTTGGCATCATCGTCACCATTACAATCTCACTATCATTGGTCGCCATCACCGACCGCCATCATCGCTGTTTTCGTGGTCAGTACTACGGTTACACGGTCGCTCGCTTTGTTGTGTGTTCCGCTCGGTTGTAGAGGGATCATCCTCGCTGTCCTGTGCGTAAGCTTCTCGACAGTTGGCCTCGGGGACAAGAGCGGCGCTTACAACTACGGCGGCAAGGCTCGTGGGAGGGCACCGAGATATGCCTCCGCCGAGGATTTGGAGTCGTCCTTGGTCTGAAAAAAAGCATGGCAGCGAGCGAGTGCGGCATTCGCAATCAACGCAGCAACGTCACAACGTGTGATGCGCACGCTCAGCCTGGAGGCAGTAGTGAAGCACGGCGACGATGACAAAGCTGCCGCTTATGTCGTTAGTAGTTCTAGGCACGCTCAACGCTCAAGTTTGTCTCCAAGCCCTTTGAAATGTTCATGCTGCACGGCTATCCCGGCCATCCCCATGCTTGGAGGTGCGGACCATGTGCATCCGTGGACCTCACCGGGTGGACAAGCAACAGGCGCTCCTCGGAGTCACCCGGTCGCTTCGCTTTGGGCGTTTCGGTTTGGTCCCGTGACAGGGCGTACCATGGTATATATGGATGTATATGGTATATGCTCCTTTGAGCATTTTTGACTTTAGGAGGACAACTTCAAACATTTTCTGCTGCAGGATATGAGGGAAATTCAGTAAGCGTGTTCGTAAGGCAAAGCATGGGGGCATAAGTGCTCGTCCTTGAGGTACTTACAGCCCTACTTGCCACTTCCCGTGAACCTCGAAGTAAGAGCTAAGATCCGCACTTAAGGTCTTGTGGGGGTGTTCTGTTTCTATGATGTAGCCGTTTTTTGAAGCCTTTGAGCTCCAACCAGGATGCAGCAGGGCCCGAAGGAAAGATTTTCGGTGGCTTCTTTGGTTCACACTTCAGCCGCAGTGGTCGCTGCCCATGTAAAGCGGAGCTTTCTCAAGTTCTTTTATCCCCCGACAGATGTTGAATTCACCATGCCAAAACCTAATTAAAACTTTTCAAACCACAGCGTTAAGGCGCGCTTGCTAGAGCCCGTATGCTGAGCCGCAGTATCTTGGTGTTTGAGTTTGGGCCATACTGGAGGGGAGTTGAAGGCTCCTGTTTTTCAGTTTTTCAGTGTTTTCCTTCTTGTGAGGCAGAAGACGACGCAGTCAAGCTTGAAGAGGCTGCGCGGGATGGCGACACGCGGAAGGTGAAGGCGCGATCAGGGTTCAGAAGTTAGGCTCTAGAGCAAGAGGGTTTTTGTGGTCAATACACTTGTATTGACACTGCATCGATAAAGTTGGACATATGTGCACGTCTAAGTTGTCTGTCTCAAGCCCCTGGCCAGCGACATGCTGCTGACATCCACATTCCCATAATTGAAGCTGTTCAAGGCAACGCACATTAGCAGTAGTTTGATGATCTTTATCGTCTTGTGCGGTTGGATATTCGTTCCTTAAGCAGCAGGCCTGGGTGCCAGGACCGCTACGTTCGTGAGACTGCCTGCAGTACCCAGTCGTTTCGTTGTTTCATTCTTTCTGTTGAGTTTAGTGTTCGCTCGCATTGACGCCTGATGCTTTAGCTCATGATGCAATTGAAGATGATGACGAGGATGATGCTGTCGAGGATGATGGTGACTGCAATGCGTTGTACTTTATACATACATATATATATATATATACACACACACATGCATGCATACGCATGTTCGGGCATGCATGCGTGCGTACTAACATACATACGTATGTATGTAGGTATGCATGCATGTATGTATGCATGTATGTACAACTGAATGTATGTATGTATGTACGTGTGTATGTAGATACATGTTCCCGTACACATATTTGCTTACAAAAAGTACATGAGTACATGCACTCACCCTTCATGATTCGTGTCCTTTAATACCTTGGCCGTTATGTCATTGTGTGAGTTCTAGTCTGTCAGAGTTTGTTCGTCTCATACTCATCACTGTCCCTGCTGCTGTCAATGCCATCTTCCTTCTTCTCTTTCTGCAGGCCATCGCAAACGACATGGTGCGACATGGAGCGAAATGATAAGGCCGGGATTCCTGGGATGCGAAGCATCTAAACCCTCAACCCAACCGTAAATGTCCAACCCAAGTAAGGTCTTGGCAGATGAGGGCGGTAGATTTGAAGCCCAGCTTTGGATCCCCAACAAGCGAAAGCCCCGAAAGTCATCACGAGCGCAGGCACCAGGGCTGGAGACGTCCTGACCAGGCTTTGACTTTGCGCCTTCGCCTGCCGTGGCTTAGAAAAAGGACGCGGGGCTTTGCTCTCACAATGCAGCCTGGTTGGCCTTAAGCAAGCTGACAGTCCCCGACCATTAAGGGTAACGGGTGGCAAGGCCAAAGCTTTAGGGTCTGCCAGGTTCTCCAGCTGAGACCGGGCCCTGGACAGAAGAGAAGGAGGCTCAGAGAGGGAAGAGTCTGATTGCGACTAATACGAAGCAGCGGGAGTACACGTGACGAGAAGGGTGCCAAACCCATTGCAGTTTGAGCCTCCGTGGCCCCGCGTGTGAATGGGTGCGGTTGTTCATCGGAACAGTCACATCCATCACGACAGTCGCAGCAGTCATAACAATTCACAACAAGCGCAACAATCACAAGAGCAAGAACAATAACAATAACTAGGACAAGGACGACGACAACACCATAACAACAACAAGAACACCAATAAGAGTATCAATAATTACAGTTATAAAAATAATAGTAATATGTATAATGATGATAATTGGAAGAATAGGTGTAATAATAGTAGTCAGTGTAGCTAATGCTAACAATAGTAATAACACTAGCTAGAATAAACGTACTAAAGACAGACAATATAATCGTAGTAGCAATAGTAATTCTAATACTAATGCTACTGCTAATAATGATCAGACAGCAATAGTAATATTGATATTAATAAACATAGAAATAACAAGAAGGGCAGCATCACCACCACCATCAACACCACATCCAACAAAAGCCCGCAATCATGCTGTGCACGACAACGATCATGATTACTACAATAGCACAGTATTTCCTCATGCGTCCACTGCAGACAACCTGTTTGTTTGTGATTCCTTTGTAATCTTCGTGTTTGCTCAAGTTTGCTCTAGCTGCAGTTCTGCGTGCAGGCAAGCGACACGGATCGGCTCAGCCTTCTTGTGAGACTGCCGCAGACTTCGCCGGATGGGGAAAAGAAGTGCAAAGCCGCCGAATGCTGAAGTTCTCCGCATGATCCGGCGGTGACAAAGCCCATTAAACTTCCAAGACTCCTAATTCCTGCAAAAGAGCAGACCTTCTGCCCCGGGCTCCAAACTGTCTGGATGCTTGATCCGGGTTGACGCTTCACGTTCCCAGCCACTGAAATTAGAGGAAGCGATGGTGCGGTCCTCGTGGCACGGGCGAGGACGGGATGGAGCGACGGCGGGATGTTGCGATAGACGGATGATGGATAGCTGGACAACTACACTGATAGAACCAGGCAGATCCACAGATGTGGTTTTGGGTGAGGCTGCGTGCTGGGCTTCGACTGTTAGGTTCCTGCATGCAAAAATGTGCTTATGCACGTATGCATGCATGTACGTTCACATACGAAGATGTGTATACGCACTGCCCCGCCAGCGTGGCTGAGACACGTCCAAGCAGCTGCCATCTGCTGCTATCGGCTCAACAGATGCAAGAGGAAGGGTCCGAAGTGCTCGGAGCTTGCGAATACCGACGGGCTGCCGGATGCCTCTCGAGTGATTCGGGTGCGCCGACGCAGGTTTCTCCTCTAAGTTGGGGTTTCTCTCACTGTTGCCTGCCACCAAATCATCGCCACTGATACTGGTACTGCCAATGCAATTGCCGCTGCTGCCACTAGTAGTACTAGTACCACTACTACCACTACCAGCAGGGCTACGAACACTACAACTACTGTCACTACTACCACCACCACCGCTGCCACCACGACGACGACTACGACTTCTCCCACTCCTACTGCTACAGGTACTGCTGCGGGGGTTCAGCCCCCATGCTGGCTTTAGGCTTTTCCCCAATACCTGCAGAAGCAGGCAAAGCAAGCTCAACACGAAGAGCCGCAATGACCAGACCCTTAGACCCCGAGCCCTCAGCCTAAACGCTAGGCAAAGACCCTAAACCCTGAGCCCTGAGACCGAAGCCAAAACCCTAAACGCCGATCTCAAATCCCAAACCCTGATCCTTAGGCCCTAAAAATCCCAAGATGTGCTGGAAAGCGCCAGGGCCCTTATTTCCAAACTCAGCCGATGACGGACCGGGACCTGGCAGAGGCCATCGAGGCCGCATTATGCCCGCGCCCCCGGGGCGGGGTTTAGGAGTTCGAATGTGCAGCTGTATGTATATGTAAAGAGAGAGAGAGAGAGAGAGAGAGAGAGAGAGAGAGAGAGAGAGAGAGAGAGAGAGATATATATATGTGTACACAGAACGTATGTACCTGTATGTATGTATGTACGTATGTACTGGTTCAAGGTTGCTTACGGACCTGGGCCTCGAGGTGCTTGATGGACCCTGGAAGGATTTTTCATGGTGCTATGGCATCGATGGAGCCGAGGCTTGCAGGATTTAGATTTAGAGCGTGTTGGGGGGTATTGAGTGTTAAGGCCCTACCCTCGACGCTGATCGGATAGCTTTGCTTGGTTCGGCTGCGTGCGAGATCCTTCCAAACCGGCTCTACTGGGCAGCCCTCCATGCGGCACCCCGCGCCAATCCGAAGGCGGGCGAAGTTGCAATTTTCTGAAATCATGGCATGTAGTTGCTGTTCAGAGGCACACGGAAGAAAGCCCACTGCTCTTCTTGAAGAACTGCAGCATGACGAATTTGATTATACCGGCTCCGGTATATCACGAATGCCAGTGGTGTCGCAGGTGCACTACTTCAGCGTTGACCAAGAGTTTATCTATGAGCCTTTCTTTGCTGATTTCGGTGGGGCCCTGAGTGATAGAGCGCCAAGGATGCTAACGCGAATTTTCGTGGGTAAGTCTGGTCGAGTCCCTGATATTGATGGCTATGATTATGATGGTAATGGAAGTGGTAGTAGTTATGTTGAGCGTGTTCTTGGTAATTACTGGCGATGAGATCGGGTGATGCTTATGTTGCAGCGACGCTGGGGCGGATGCGGACATTGAGGGAATCATGACACGCAGGAAGGTATGATCACTGTTTTGATGATGTCTGTAACGACGCTGTTGATGATGACGACGAGCATGAAGCCATGACAGCGATGGGGACGACGAGGATGATGTTGACTGATGTTGATGGTGACGATGAGCATGACAGACAGTATGGGGGGCAACATGTGGTTTGGGTTTCCTTGCTTCCGCAGTTTTTCAACATCTCGTGCTGCTGGTGTGGTTATCAGCATCGATCTGATGCTTGCTCTGCTTCAGATCTGCCACTCTAACTTCCAACCCTACTTCGACTACAACGGGGACGACGACGCTCAACCATGACGATTACGGCGGCGGCGCCGGCGGTGATGGGCGACTCTCAACCCCTGCCGCTACTGCTGCTGCTGCGGCTGCTGCTGCTGCTGGTCCCCGACCACCGGCAACGACGATGGAGACTCCTACTTCTGCAGTTGGAATCGCTATGAAAAGTGCACCTGTCATGGTCGTGTCTCTTGGAGAGATTGTGGTGATCTTGCTTGCAGCTGATTGTGGCGTTCGCATCACTTCGGCTATTGTAGACTGCTACACGCTCACTGTCATGACCATGGTTGCCGTGGTTCATGTCGTTATTGCTTGCACTTCATTGCTTCAAGCATGGAAGCCTTTTTCTTCCTATGATGTCGAGAGACCCAGGTCCACTTAACCTCGGAATGGTCTGGAGATACTGCAAGGCTCTGGAGGCATCGTCACCTGACACATGTCATTGGTGTTGACCATTTGAAAATGTAGCGAAAGAATGACATCGGATTTTGATTCTTGCACGCACTGGCGGAGAGATCAAAGACCATCCCGAAGAGAAGGATCTTCAGTATTTCAGGGTTTGATAGGAAAAAAGAGGGTTTCTTCACAGTAGTCAAGGGCCGTTCTTGCCCTTGACCCTAAACCCACATAGGTCAAGCAAGAGACATTGCATAATATCAATGGGCCCATATCTCAAAGGCCCCAGGTTTTTTTTCAAAAAATCGGAGACTCGGCCAGGCCAAGCTTGCGGATGCCAACCTGGCAGACAAGCGGATTGTCCACTACTGCTCTCACGACCCGAAGAAGGTCCATGGCTCGAATATACAGAAGCCCCTGAAAAAGTATTGAAGTTAGCGATGAGGGCACAGTACAGCAACACCACCGCAAGCGCGATGTTCGGGAATTGTTGGGGCTTGGGGACTTGAGTTTCCTTTGGGTTTGAGGGTCTTGGAGTTTTGGGTGGAGTTTCGGACAGTTCTTTGAGTACTCTCGAAAGCCTGGTTGCCAACAGCCAACGGGCTGGTAAGGCCAGGGCGTAAAGGGTGATTCCAAGCTGCGGCCAATAAATTTGGTGCTTCCTGTTGCTGAAAATGTGCCATTCATGCTTGCCCATTTCAAGCACGGGCGCAACTGTGCATCAACCGTGTCACCACGGGTGTCCATCACCAGCAAGGATGTTGTGTTTTGTATGTTGGGGGTCACCGGAAGGCCGAGAAAGGAGGGGTTCTAGTGCAGAGAAGGTTCCAAGATGGGCTTAGGGAGAGAGCTCTTCTGAGCACGATGTTGTTTTCATATGAAGAAGTCCAAGCCACATGGCCCTGAAACCTAAACGCCAAGTTGCAGTGGGACGCGGAGGGTGCGCAGTGTGCACGCCTGTAGACGTAGCCTTCGCATCATCAGGACCTGCCCGAGAGCCCTAAACCTTTGCATGAAAGAGCAAGGCATTCCAATCAGCAACCTACGCAAGCCTTAGGCGCGTCAACCTTTAGAGACATCAGGATCAGGGCCCAAAGAAAACCAACCGTAATGAGCAAATGCTTTGCCACACGCCCGAACCACCTTCCTGCTCAGCGCGCGAACGCCGCCACGCTCATCAGCGTCTTCCAGGCACTTCCGGCAGCATGCCGGGCTGGAGGGATTGGGTTGGATGGTTCAGGGGTTTGGGGATTTGGCGGCTTTAGAGCTACATGTTCGAGACTTTTTGCGCTTGTGGTTTAGGACTGGATGTAATGTTTGCAGTTGCCATTACCTCCGGGTGGGGCTGTTTGAGCAGTCCAAAGCTGCAGGACCGGCCGTGCGCTCCCCCGTAAGTTCCCAGTGCAATTGCAGGTCATCGTCCTAGGCAAGCCTGCAGATGAGGCGCCGGGCAGTGCTTGGGTCTTTTCGGAAGCCAAAGTCAAAACCAAAGTCGCGCGGTTGGTGATGGTCATGCCGTGCTGGTCTTTGCCAGTGAGTTGAGACTCGGCAGCAGAGTCGCAACGCGTAATGTCCAATCGGACGAGCAGTCAGATCCTTCCACCGCAGGCCTACAAGCCCTTTCAGTCTGTCTACCCTCCGTTCTTGCCCTACCGCGACGCCACCTGCCGGGATCTGAGCAAAACTGTTCTCGCCCTGTCAGTTGCTGTAGCCACATGGGCCGCAGCAGCAAGGGTAACAAGAGCAGCGGCATGAAGTTAACGATTATGATTATGGCGTAAGGTATCAGTCGTAGCAAGAGCGTGCTCAATGCTCGTTGCAAGCAGAGCGCCGCATCGTACCTCAACATCACTCCAGAAGCAGCGAGGGAGCGAACAGAATCCCAAATGAGCAAAGTCGAGCTTTGTACCATGTTTCCGGTGGGAAGGTTTGGGGCTCATAGGAGAAATAGGCTTTGATGACCGCGAAGTAGCCGCAGCCCTCACCCTACACTTCAGGATTTAGGGCTTAGGGTTTGGGGATCGGTTGGAAGGCGAACTGTTCCCCTATATGCCTTCATGAATCTCATGAATCTGGGCACCCGAATCGAGAGTCAAATCTGGAAGCAAGCCTGCATCGCCTCCGAGGTGGCATTTGCACCTACAGCCTGACGGTCCTTGACTGTGTCAAGGCCGGCTTGAGCGTCGCGGAGCAGAGAGAGAGAGAGAGAGAGAGAGAGAGAGAGAGAGAGAGAGAGAGAGAGAGAGAGAGAGAGAGAGAGAGAGAGAGAGAGAGAGGAAGGAGGGGGCAGGCCCTTAAGCCTACACTCGAAGCCCTGAGAAGGTCGTGCCCCAGAGGTTTTCCCTTTGGCACCAGGACCACTCTATATAGGTTGATAATCCTGAATTTTTAGGTGCTTTGTAGTATGACTTGGAGAGGTTTCTCCCTAAAGAGGGATATTGCAGGGCATGGAGAAGGCCATCGAATGCGGATGGTTCGACTGGAAACAGCTCCTTGGCCGTACGGTTTTAGGATTGTTAAGATTTGAGGCTAGGGAACGAGGGCATCAGCTGATGCAGGTATGTGTGTAGGCATGTAGGTGGTGATACTGCATCGATTGCAGTGACAATGCTGTGCAACCCGCTGACTGCCAAGAAATCTTGGACCGCTCTGACCAGTGAAAGGCAGAATCACAGTGGTGCCACCGACAACCTGCTACAGACCCTTATGCAAGCTCGTCTGAGGTTCGACGTGGACTCCTACGAATTCTTCGAAAAGGTTCCCTCCTCTCTGCTTTGCCTCGTTGCCTCATTGTTCGGGGAAGGAGAGCGGTGGGCCCGGGCCGGGTCAAGCAAAGGCCAATGCAAACAGATACTCGTACTTTATGCAATGTGATCTCTTCTGAAAAACCCTGAGTGAGGAAGGCTTCACACCTTCTTCTTGGGTTGCCACTGTAAGACTCAGAAACAGGTTTCCAATGGCATACTTCCGTGGTTGCAGGATGGGGATAGACAAAGAGGCTGATCTTCAAGCGGAGACGCAGACAGATCCATGGCTAGAGAGCGTGGGATTGTGACGGACTCTGGACTCTGGACTCTGGCGCTGGCTCAATTGCCTTTTGCAGTACGGCAATGGTGTGCAGGTGCCCCAAATCCGCTGTGTAAAGACTCTTGAGATTTACGTATGGGGCTGTTTCGTGCTGACGGCTATGTCGCTCTCCGCAAAAGACTGAATTAGACTTGACGCTTTAGCGCTCATCTGATGGCGCAATGGATGCCACCTGGAAAAAGCTGCTCCAGTTTTCTGACAAGAAGGCGAAGGCACCCTTGGACACTCAGCTGCCGCTGCTGCGGCTCTCGCCTCCTCTGCGCGCTCTACGAATCTAGTTACTAGATGTTAATGCTCTTTCTGTTGTTGTGGTGGTTGTTGTTGTCGATGCGCTTTGTGTGCCAGGTGGCGATGTCGTCATGCTGTTTTCTCGAGGTGGTTCTTCTTATTCCTTGTGTCGTTCCTGTTCCTCTCGGCGTTTCTTGTTTGTTGGTCTCACTCTGCCTTCTTCTGCTTGCCTTCTGCTTCCGAACTCGAAGCCTTCACAGTGCCAGACCCCTGATGATCATCGGGAGTGCCTGGATACCTTGAAGACGGCCTTGCGAGACGCCGCAGTCGCCACGCTTGAGGGCACGACTTCGGAGTCGGCTTGTGGGTTGGGGGGGAAAGGTCCAGACAAGAACCTTTGCATCTTGATTTTAAGTTACCAATTAGACCCCTAAACCCTAAATCCTAACCCCGATAACAGCAGACTTTCTACACCCCCAACCCCAAATCCCAGAAATACTCGAAGTCTTGAACGCGTTTGGGCCGATGCTCGGATCTGATTTCCTATTTTGGCCCTCGGCCTCGGCCTCATTGTTGATGGACAAACTTCACGCATACGCTTTTGTAACCGAAACTATCGGAGTTGCGGTAGTTGTTTTCGTTATTGTGGATATTGCGCTCCTGAACCCCTACGCCCCACCTGAAACAGTACATCTAGAACCAAAAGACCCTAATAGACCACTCTCCGTGGGTTCAAACGCAGCTCTCAGCCAGGCCCTTATCTTCCTCAAGCAGCGAAGAGGCTGGCATAAGTGGCTGATATTGAGGATTTTATTTAGGGCGTAGAGATTTAGGGTTTAGGGATTCAGGGTTTCGATGTTTGGATGCGCCACAGGAGCTTCTCCGAGCCAGTGTCATTGTCACCACCCGGACCTAAACTCATCGTCATTGTCGAAATTGCCTTTTCATCCACCGCTACTCAGCCTCCCATATCCAACCCCAAGGCAAGTAAAGACGCACAGACCCAAACCCCAAACCCTGAAGCCCTAAAGCTTTGGACGCGAAAGGGGAAGACGATGCGCGAAAAGCCCTGGAAGTGATTGAAAAAACGATACAGGCTGGCCATCGTTTTGGTAGTGTAGGCTTGAGATTTCTGCGGTGTACACGGGTCTGGGATACAATGGGGGTTTCAGAGTTTTAGGGTTTACTGGCTTGAGGCTTTTGGGGTTTTAGGGATCGGGGGTCCTGCGTTCAGGGATTTAGGGTGTTTTTGCCTAGGAACTTATGGATTTCGGCTCTGGCGGTTTGGAGGCTTTGAGGGCCTGAGATCCAGGTTTTAGGAGGATTGCTGATGGACTCAGGGCTTTCGAGGGGTTCAAGGATCACCCAAGAATCAGGGCGCCGGGCACGGCAGCAGACTGTCAGGGTTTGGGTTCCCGAACAATAATGTCCGAACAATTCGTGCTATCTAAAGAGTGCTAAGCTAAGCGATTCAGGCTTGTGTCCATCACCAGCAGTACGGTCGTTCTTCTCATCAGCACTTCGGGGTGTTTAGTGTTGCAGGGGTTTAGAGCCGGGATCTGGTTCAGCTTCAAGTCCCTACAATGATGATGGTGAGGATGCAGATGACGATGGCAACGAGTACGATAAGAGTCCCTTCGTAGTGTTTTTGTTTTTTGTTTCCCGCCGCGGGCAGGGTGAGATCTACAGCTTCGGCAGCCAGCTCTTCATCTTCAAGCAGGCGCTGCCTTTGTGGCTGTGTTCCTGGAGTCCGGGGGCCTTTTGAGAGACTTGGGGCTTCGGGGGCCTTGATGTGGAACTCTGGATGGCTATTTGTGGCGGGGAGATACCCAGATAAGATACCCTTCTGATCCTTGTGCGATCACGATACTACGCATATCCCCAGTGCGTCCGGGGGATTCAGGGCATGGAGGACTTGGGCTTCGGTGAGTCCAGAAAGGTCCCCCACTTTAAAAACCCTAGGCCCCAAGCCTTCCCTCGCCTCTGGGCCCCGAGTACTTCAATCTCCAAGCTTTTTTAGACTTCCCTGACTTTCGAACCCGGAAAATCGACACCCCTGAGCCTCCAAACCCCTTCAGCCCTCTGGGCCCTAGACCTTGGGGGCCCACTGACACGGGTGCCTGAAGAACCGGCCTTGCAAAAAGACTCCCCAAACCCTATTCTATTCATTCCCCTCGATCTAGAATCTAGAACTCCTAAACCCTAAACCCGAAACCCTAAAGCTCAGGAGGCCCCGAAGATCACCCCCCTCTTTCAGGCCTCGGTGACCCTGCTGATGGTCTTGAAATTGCTCCCAGACTTTTCTGCGAGCCTCGAGGAGTTGCCCAGGAGCGGTAGCTCAGGGGCTGGGTTCTGGTTGAGGGTTTTTTGATAAGCTAACATAATAAGGTAACCATATTGTTTACCATATTCTGTATAAGTTACACCAAAAAAGGCAACCACGATATTTACAATAGTTTATATGAGTTACGATCAGAGGGTAGCCATAGTATTTATTACATTGTATCTAGGTTGCCATAATGCAATAATAAGGTAACCATATTATGTACTATAGTATGTTATAGAAGCTACCATAAGAAGGCAACCATATTATTTACAGTTCACTATAGGTCCCTATTACGGCAACTTAAATCGAATCCCTTAACAAGAACCCAGGAGGGGCTCTATTGGGTGGGGACGGCTTGAAGGTGGGGTACGTCCCGAGATGTTGATGAGGTTCGTGGAGTTCTTTAGACTTAAGATGCAATGCAGCTTTCCACCGCGTGTCGTGGAGCTTTGATAGGTTTTGGTAGGGCTTATACAATGGCCTTGAGGTTTTGAGACTATGGGTTTCGCGCAGTTGAGCTTGCGACGCTTGCAAGGGTTGAGATCACAAGAGCAAAAGACAAGACGCGCGTGTGTCTGTGCAAAAAAACATGTGTTTGTGTGTGTGTGTGCGCGGGCAATGGCTCGCAGGTTCACAATCATATCGGGCACAATGGATAAGGCCGCGACTTCGATTCCTAGCTTAGTCAGTGTTGTGGCGCGCGTGCGTTGGTGTTGCCACGGTCATCGTCAGAACGAGGATGTAGTCACAACCACATGATGCTTTGCTGCTATACGCCCAAGCGTTTTGTTTTGGCCCAAGCCGACAGTAACACTAGTCAGATCAGATATCTGGCGCATCTCTTTTAGCGGTTCCTGCAACAGCCAGTGAAGACGATGCACTGGTGTCAAGTGATCGCAGCCCTTGCAGCCACTGCTGGCTTGGCTGGAGTGGGCAGGATCGGGGTAAACAGCGCCTGGGATAGATGGCAGACTGTGGATGGAACGGTGGAGACGTACTGCTCCGACATCGTGGAGGTGAAGATGTGCCACGCCAAGTGTGGCCACGATGGCGCTTGCCACAAGGCGTGCCCCATGCCCAAGGATGCTGATCTGCAAGCTAAGCTGGCGAGCAAGATGGAGTGCCATGACAAGTGCGGTACTGACCGTGAGTGCTACCATGCATGCGGCTGCCCATTCTAGCAGCTGCAGGACAAGTGCCCGATGCTGGAGCATTTCCACCACCATCACCACCATGGCTGGCACTATGACTGGCATCCGGCGGTCTTGCAGACGGCGTTCTGCTCCGACGTCGTGGAGGTGAAGATGTGCCACGCCAAGTGTGGCCACGATGGCGCTTGCCACAAGGCGTGCCCCATGCCCAAGGATGCTGATCTGCAAGCTAAGCTGGCGAGCAAGATGGAGTGCCATGACAAGTGCGGTGCTGACCGTGAGTGCCACCATGCATGCGGCTGCCCATTCCAGCAGCTGCAGGACAAGTGCCAGATGCTGGAGCATTTCCACCAGCATCACCACCATGGCTGGCACTATGACTGGCATCCGGCGGTCTTGCAGACGGCGTTCTGCTCCGACGTCGTGGAGGTGAAGATGTGCCACGCCAAGTGTGGCCACGATGGCGCTTGCCACAAGGCGTGCCCCATGCCCAAGGATGCTGATCTGCAAGCTATGCTGGCGAGCAAGATGGAGTGCCATGACAAGTGTGGGGCTGACCGTGAGTGCCACCATGCATGCGGCTGCCCATTCCAGCAGCTGCAGGACAAGTGCCCGATGCTGGAGCATTTCCACCACCATCACCACCATGGCTGGCACTATGACTGGCATCCGGCGGTCTTGCAGACGGCGTTCTGCTCCGACGTCGTGGAGGTGAAGATGTGCCACGCCAAGTGTGGCCACGATGGCGCTTGCCACAAGGCGTGCCCCATGCCCAAGGATGCTGATCTGCAAGCTAAGCTGGCGAGCAAGATGGAGTGCCATGACAAGTGCGGTGCTGACCGTGAGTGCCACCATGCATGCGGCTGCCCATTCCAGCAGCTGCAGGACAAGTGCCCGATGCTGGAGCATTTCCACCAGCATCACCACCATGGCTGGCACTATGACTGGCATCCGGCGGTCTTGCAGACGGCGTTCTGCTCCGACGTCGTGGAGGTGAAGATGTGCCACGCCAAGTGTGGCCACGATGGCGCTTGCCACAAGGCGTGCCCCATGCCCAAGGATGCTGATCTGCAAGCTAAGCTCGCGAGCAAGATGGAGTGCCATGGCAAGTGCGGTGCTGACCGTGAGTGCAACCATGCATGCGGCTGCCCATTCCAGCAGCTGCAGGACAAGTGCCCGATGCTGGAGCATTTCCACCAGCATCACCACCATGGCTGGCACTATGACTGGCATCCGGCGGTCTTGCAGACGGCGTTCTGCTCCGACGTCGTGGAGGTGAAGATGTGCCACGCCAAGTGTGGCCACGATGGCGCTTGCCACAAGGCGTGCCCCATGCCCAAGGATGCTGATCTGCAAGCTAAGCTGGCGAGCAAGATGGAGTGCCATGGCAAGTGCGGTGCTGACCGTGAGTGCCACCATGCATGCGGCTGCCCATTCCAGCAGCTGCAGGACAAGTGCCCAATGCTTTCCGTTTCGCAGGGTGAGCTACGGAAGCCTCATATGCTGCTGGCTATCCACATGTAATGAGATGTGAAAGGTGTTGCTGCAAGTGTAGCTAGGCTCAGCACTTTGTTGTGCTCTTTTGCATGCCTCGCATGCTTGTACAGCAATGAAGAGCTCCCAGCCATCGTCTGATGCCGGGAGCTTTGAGCATACTTTACTTGATTTTGACAGGCGCGGGCCTTTTATCTTTTTTGGGGGCTTGGGCACAAAATTTTAATGGAATCGAATTGTTTACCCATCCTCCTCAGGCAGGCAGGAACAGCCTAAGCCTGAAGCCCCATTTTCTCCGCGTGCTGGAACTGTGAACATGATCCTGATTTGTATAAGGAATGAAACAAGATGACGATCATGCAGCAGCTTGTTGGTCCACGCAAACCCCATGCAGGGATGGAGAGCTTCCAACCGTGCATCGGGAAACCCTCAGAATCAAGGCGATCCTCCTGCAAAAAGACCCCTGCCCCCTGCCGTCGCTTGTCTGTGTCAAGGCTGGTGTGGCAGCTGGTGGTGCAGCTCCACCGGCAGGCATTGCTTTCAAGCCACGCAGTTGGTACTAAGCCCTGAAGCCCTCAATACCTCGAGCCCTTCAGCCCTTGGCCAATCGACTAAAGGGATTTGAGGGAGGCGGGTTCATAAGCTGGGGCTGTAGGGTCTGTATAAGGGCGCTTGCCGTAGGGGTTTCATTGCAGGTTTGGAAGGGTTTCGGGCTTCGGGGTTGAGGGAACTGAGTTGCTTCCACAAGCCTCAAGAACTCACCTTCGAATCTACGTCGATGTGGACGATTCTCAATCATAGGGGCCGTGTTGGGATTAGCTGTACCGAGGATTCTCCTATTGAGAGGTCTATGTTACGTTGGGGTCCCTTGTTTTCTGGAATTCCAATGTGAGGGGTTGTTCCATGACACAGCAGCATAGCATTTCCCTTAAGCAGCGATCAGGCTGGTGGACGAAGGTGTCCTCGAAAAGGATCCCAAACCCCCTCTACCTCGACCTAGACTGGCACTAAGCCCTGTCGCTAAATTCCTACGCCCGAAATTGAAAAGTAGGCCCCCAGGCCCTAACCACTTCTTCACGCAAAGCTGCACTGAACGCAGGACTTTGCAGTTCTGAGCACCTTCTCGCGTGATGTCGCGGCAGCCTGGAACCTACGAACGCAATTCTGGGGGGAGTCGCTCGAACTTTGTAGAGCATTGTGATTTTGAGTGTTTCGTGGATCTGGGACTTAGGGTGAAGTGTGTAGCTAGGGGTCCTCAGTGTTTCGTGTTTCGGGCTTCAGGGTTTGGGTTCAGCTGTTTTGGAACAGTTAGGGTTCAAGAACTAAGGTAGTGTAGAAGCTTACATGTCCAAGCTTACGAGGATCCCAATGTCCCACAGCCGTCACCACCTTAAAGTTTTGAAACCTGGGTGGGCAGACGGACAAACCCTTCCACCAACTGCACCGGCTAACAACAACCAACAACCCTTAGAGAACCCTTGTTTAGGACCCTTCCGGAGCCCTAAAATGACCCCTTGCCGCAGCCTAAGGCCCTAAAGTTTTGCCAGAGGCCCTCCGTGCTCTGGTCAGTCGCCCTTTCCGGCTCACGGCCTTCGCGCGGCTCTCGCGGCTCTGCAAGGAGCCGGAGGGGGGTGCTCGTGTTAAAGATCCCCAAATTTCGGAGTGCAACCGCGAACTGCATGCCACCAGGGTCGAGGGAGCTTTTGCGTTGGTTTTTTGGGTCTTGCGGTTTGCGGTGTGTTTGGGGGTTTTCGGGGTTACAGAGGATTGGAGGTTTCGGGTTTGAGGTTTGGGGGTTTCAGGGCTTTGGGGGGTCGTCAGGGTCCGGGAGTGTTGGGACCGCTGACTTGGTTCCGCCTAAGCTCCACGAAAGCCGAAGCCTCAAACCCCACGGCCCTATGTCCCTTGCTCTCGGGACAAAGAGCCCGAAATCCAGAAATAGGGCAGTAGAATGTCGGGTAAACCCTAAGCCCTAAAGCCCGACAAAAGTGGATTCCGCTGGCCTTAATTGCGAAGGCGAAAAAGGCGTTCAAAAAAAAAAGCCCGAAAAGGGGCCCTAGAGCCCTGGTGCTGGCCGAAGGACCGCCTGCCCGACGCGGAGAAGGCCGGGCCTTCCGGGATGAAGCCGTGTACCTGATCAATATGTAGGGCTCACAAGAACTCCGCAAAAAAAGTCCCCTTTATCATAGGGATGTAGTGCCCATTTTCATGATAGTTTCATGGGATATTATCGCAATCGTATCCCCTTATCATAGTGATGTAGTACCCATTATTATGCCCCCGAAACCCTGTTCCAATGCTTTAAGAAGCCCTCTGCCAGACGAACTGCACAGCTCGGTTCCGACCTGCGTAGCGTCGGCTTCCGTGAAGAGCCCAAAAAGCCTTTTGGGGGGTTTGTCGGGTGTAGGGCGTAGGGTTAGCTAGCCGGTGAGAACTTTGAAGGTTTTAGGGCAGTCTCCCTGCTTGCTGCAAGGTTAGTGCAGGGTTTAGGGGTACCAGTAAACCCTAAACCCCTAACCAAACCACCCCCTGAAAACACACATTCAATCTGAAGCCCAAGCCGCCCAAGCCCTAAACCCACACCCCATGACACTGCCAGGCCGGAACTCCGGGTGGCGCCGGCGCCGACGGTGCGGTGCACAGCTTTTCATGTGGCAACCGGCGTTGGGGAGGGGGGGGGGGGTTCAGGGTTCACGGTTCAAGTTGGGGTCTGGTTCTCGGCTTCAGGTTTTAAGGTGTAAGGTTGCAGGTTGGTAGGGTTGGAAGGTTTAGGGTTCAGGGTTTTGGTTTTCGGGAGTAAGGTTATGTTCAGGCTTTACGCTTTCAGTATTCAGGGCCTCAGTATCGATGCTCTTGTTACATTGCTATGTGCTTGTGGCATCCGGACAGGAATTTCCCCAAACTTCATCCCTGAAGAGGCGTCAGGGTCAAGACTCAAGGGCAGGAGCACTTTGGGAAACCTGAATGCCTCAGCGACTAGCAGGAACTTGATTGCACCACGTAGATGCACAGAGGCACGCGAACGCAAATACCTGCATGGCCAAACTCTGAAGCCCTAAACGGCCCCAAATCTAAACTTCAAACCCTAAACTCTGCAAGCCTCCTTACCCCCCATCCCACCAAAGACGAATCCCTTCCAGAACCCCTTTATGCAGAACCACTTTTTCTATAACCCCTTAATCGCTCAAACATTTTGGGGGAGTTTCAAACGGAACCCTTGTAGCACTGAAAAACGAGCCCGCAAGAGCCTAAACCGGCCTACCCCCAAGACACAGAAGTCCCAAGTCCCTGGAGGCCTCTCCCTGGAGCTCTCGGAGAGCCGCACCTGGGCTGAAGGATGTTCTCTGCCTCTGCCTTTTTTTTTTTTTTTTATGCTCGACAACTGGTCTCCACTGCTAAAGAACAGGAACGGCAACGCCTGAACGGACCAGGAAAGTCTTGTCGACAGGAAAGCAAGCTTCGTTCACACATAGAGCATCGAAAAACAGCGTTCACAGGAAACGACTGGGCCATCATTAGTTGCGGAAGACGGGCTGTAGGCATGTTTGGTAAACATCTTCAGCGCTTCAACGCAAGAAAGCCTTCATCAGCAGCCCCAAACCAACACGCAGAGCTCGGAGTCGCAAAGCTGCCCTCGTTCCCGTCCTGTTTGCATCTCTGCGTCTTATATGTTCTATATGTTCGAACTCGAGCGCTTGCGGGACGCACCCAGGTCTCGGGTTTTAGTCAGGGAGAAACCAGCTTTTCGGACTTGGGACATGGAGTTGCCAGATTAATCGACCCCTCCGTTCATGAGGAGTAATTAGAACACACGCGGATCGTACTAGCATGGCCCTGGCAGTTACGATAGGGGTCTTATGGCCTCGGAAGGATTAGAGTGGGGATCCGGGGATAGTCATGCTCTGACCTCTTTAAAGAAGGGGGACCACGTCCACGTGGTTTGGGGAAGCCGAGGCTTCGCTTCGACGGCGGCGAGGCTCTGCCGCCTGGCCCGCGACATCGGCCCCGAGAGGGAGGCCAGGGATCTGAGCTTCCGGGGCCCTCGAAGCCTTGCTGTAGGAGCCTTAGGGGCTTTAGGGGCTCCTCATTAACGACGTGTAGAGAGTGGGCCCCAAAACCCTTGTCTAACTCTTAAGGCCCCTATATTCGGTGGTTTTCCTGCAAACGGAAACATCTTGGCTCCCCCCCGTCACCCAGACTCACGTACTCCTATCAGCTACTCAGTACAGGGCTCCTGTAATTCAGGGATCTTGAGTGTCCGGGCAGCCCTAAGTGCAGCACCTGGCCGGAGGTAATGCAAACCTCCCTGATCCGCTTGATGGCTGCGGTGGCTCGCTGGTCTGTGGAAGGGAGCATGGAGGTGCGGAAAGCTCAGACGCTTCAAAGTAAAGCATTAATTGTTCGCAGAAGCGTTAAGTATTGAAATCGCACAGTATGCGCATATTGCCTTTGGATAGTTTACGTGCGGGTCTGCTTTCTGCTCTTAGGGTAGCTCTATAGACTCAAGATGCAGAAGCATATTACGTCAAGCCCTCTAAACCCGAAAATCTATATTGCTCTAATCGCCGTAACGTAGCCGCAGCCCCTACAATACTCTAACACGTAAGACCTTATAGTCATCTGAGGCTCAAGCCCCGTAGAACCCAAAATCCTGAACCCAAGTTTACCCCAAGCCCCAAACTTTAGACCCTCTAAATCCACCCAAAACCCGAAACCCGAATCCCAAACCCTGAAAGCCCCAACCCCCAAACCACGGGCTGCCACAAAAAATCCAAAGCTTGCGCGGCGCCGGCGGCAGGTCGAGGAAGCGGTGCGGGTGCTGCGAGAGGGGCTCGAAGCCCTGGCCGCCCTGCGCCGTGGCGCCGGGGGCCCCAAAAAGGCTTACATAAGGGCTGTAGGGTCGTGTCGTCTGTGGGTGCTTTTGGGGCATCATATTCAAAGGTTTCGGTAGTGTAGGACCTGTAGGAGGTTCTAAGTCTGTGGGTGCAGGGGGGTTACGGGTTTCAGGATGTTTCAGGGTTTGGGGCTGCAGGGTTTTTTGGGTTCGAGGGCACAAGGTGTAGCAGAGCCGTGTTGGTGTCTACCCTGGAGTCCCGAGCTATTGGAAATTCTTGTAAAGTTTCCGTTGCAACATGTAAAGCTTTGACTCCGGTTGTGCTTTCGAGTTCCTCACGAGAGGAGACCCCGAAATGCTGAACTCTTGTCGAAGCTGCCGAAGCCCAGTTGAAGAGCCTGAACTCTGATCACCTTTAGCCTTAAAGGACAATAAATGCCTCGCCATGCCCCTTGCAGGGTGTTACAACACTTCATGTATATACATATATACACATATTGTATAATATAGTTATATATAAATACATATATATATGTATACATATTTATTTATTTCTCCATGTATCTAGCTGTCTACCGCTATCTGTCTGTCTATTCATCAATCTGGCTAGCTTTCTGTCTGCATATCTGTATATGTATATATACATATATGGATGGTGTATGTATGTTTGTAGGTAGGCATGTATGTATATTATACATACACATCAGAAAAACATATGTGTGTGTACACATATTATGTATTCACATTGACGTGTATAGTTGTAGTTACATACACACATGCAGATGCACATACGGGTATAATCTCACGAGTCGAGGTCTCATCGATTCAGATCCAATCCGAGCTCGGCGGCGCTCTGCCAGTGCTCGTGCGCTTCGTGTCGAGGCGCGCACGCCCGCGTGCTCCGTAAGGTTGTTATCGTGGTTTCAAGCAGTGGCGGTCTAAGATTTGGTAGGCATGGGTGCTCGGCAGGAGGGGCGGAGAAGCAGCTTTCATCCGCAGGGTTCCTCGCGGCCTGTAAAGTTTTCGCCTGCCCTTACTCCCTCATCACAGAAACCTTGAAGTACATGCCGAGGTGCGGCCCCTCCCTCGGCCCGGCTCTGGCGGATCTTCTGGAATTGGTGTTGCTTGAGCACAGCGCCGCGCTGCTGCTCCCGCCCCGGGGCCTAGAGAAGGGAGGGTGCTGGCCCGTTCAAGTACAAAGCTTCAAATCTACCGGAAACCGTACACCATACTCCATAATTACATGTACAGATAATGCAAGACATACACATTCCGTCTAAAATCATACAGCACAAGAAGGCCTTGTAGCACATTGCACGATCCGGAAAAGGACAATGCCCTAAAGTTGACAAGGATCTAACGTAATGTGTGTGTGTACATTGTAAGTAATGAGGTGATTGCTACAGGCATGCATGTGTGTATGTATGCATGCATGTGGGGTTCGCTTGGAGGTCTCTGCTTTACGGGGCTTGAGCCAATTAGAACTTGTCGGCACTGAGGCAGCTTCCATCTGTGATGTCCCTGTTGCTGATGGCAACCGAGAAGGCAGGGCAATAGGAAGAAACGTTAAATGGAACACAAGTCGGCGGAGCATGACGCCAGGCCACAAAGACGCTATCACATTGTGTAACCCATGATGGTGTCAACTCATATTTGTCTTGACACATATGGGATAAGAGCTTTATTATAGAGCATGATACACTGTAAGAAGATGATGTAGCCCAGATACCATATGAAATCGATGGCGGTCACATAGTATAGCTTTGCTCGAACCATGCCAGATGCTTCATCGCAGCTTAGATCGCGTCCAGAGTTGAGTGCTGAACGGTGTCATCGGATGCATGTGTTGGTTGGTTGCAAGCCCGAGGTAGACAATGTGTTGCGCACAGATCCAGACCAGTCGGCGTGCTACAACGGAACCCGAACTCATGCTCTTTCTTTTGATGCTCCGAACACTGAACCCAAAACACGTACCGTTTAAGGCCGAAGCCGTATGGTCCGAAGGCCCGAACTCGCAGCCCTTGGCCTGAGCTCCTGAAGCAAAAGGCTTTCTCGACCAGTGGACTTCTACTTGTTTGATATCCCTTCTCGCCAATTCTAGTATGGTCATCCACAAAACTCTTCAGAAAAAAGGCATCCAAGTAGAACATCCTCAGATCGTGACCCCTGAAGCCTCAACCCCCGAAACCTTATCTCTGAAAGTTCGAACCTGAAGCCCTAAACCCGCAGAGCCCAAACCACTGCTTCAACATGGCCAGGCCCCCAAACCATCATATCTTCATCTTCGACCTTATCAGGAACCCCAAAGCTCCATCAAAAAACCTAACCAAGGGTTTTTTGAAACCCAATTAAACACCTAAACCCTAAAGACCCCAAAAACCCCAAAGACCCAAAAACCCTAAAGACCCCCCCAGAGCCCCCTTAAGAGCCCCGTCCCCTTCCTTCCTTGAAGCCAGGGCTCCTGGAGCCTTCGGCCCCTGGCTCTGGCGCTCCGGCGCTTCGGGGAGGCGCCGCTGCGCTGCCCGCCAGGCCCGGGCAGCAACGCGCGTTTCCGGGTTCTGGGCTTAGGGTTCTATAGGGTTTAGGATTTAGGGTTTAGGGTTTAGGGTGGTTACATGGAGGATGTTTAAGAAACAAGGGACGTTTATAGAAATGAGGGATGTTTGTGTAATGTTTCTACGGTTGTTGGATCCAGGTCTTAGGGAGGTTGTTGGAGGGATGTCTAGAAAGTCGAGTTGGGGGTCATTAGAGCGTTATATCAAAGTCGTTTGTATTGACTAACGATTTGTTCGTGGTTATGGGGCTTTGTATAATGGGTTCTAATTTATGTGTTCTTCCAACAAAATCTTAACGCTACGCCGCCCGCCTCGGCTCTGTAGCGGCAGGGCGAGGCGGCAGTGGATGTTGTATACAGCATGCTAGGCGGGCCTCTCAACCCCAACCTCGAAACGGGTGAGTGTGGATTGTGCGAGCGCCATCTTCCGGCCTTACTGCTCTTTTGCTGGTCATGCGGCCGCGGACGGCGACGGAAGGAACCTGGAAAGAAGGAAAAGCAGCGGATTGAAGCAAAGGGTGCGGGGGGTAGGGGAGAAGGGGAGGGGGGGAAAGGAGGGGGGGGAGGGGGCGGAGCGGGCCTGGGAGGGGGGCAAACGAACGCAAAAAGCAGGTCTCTCCAAACATTTGGACAGCAGGGAGGAGGATTAGGTGGAGGGTACCGAGGTAACCCCCAACACACCTGGGCCTGTGGATTTGGTTCCTATACCGGCGTGGGGGGGGAGGGGTTATAGGTAGAGGGATTTTCGGCTTTGGGGTTTGCATTGAGTTTTCAGGGCTGTCCTGCTCTGAATTTCTCGAGTTAAAGGGCGCATCACTGAGGGTGTAGCATGTACTTACATCTGTATGTATGTAGAGATGTACACATGCACGAACACACACACACACAAACAAACACACACACACACACACACACAGACACACGGACGCACAGACACACAGACAGAGAGACACACACCCACACGCACACACACGCACAGGCACAAGCGCACGCGCACGCACTCGCACTCGCACACGCACGCACACACCTGCACACGCACCCGTATGCATGTTTATATATGTCTACATATCCCTACATTTAACTATCTGTTGCCCCATCGTGTTGTTCCCTTGTTAGATCGGGTTGCGTTGCTGCAAGGCTTCAATGCTGCTTGGCTTGAAGCCTCTGCACTGGCAGAAGCTGTGCCGCAACTTATCCATGATCTCCACATGCAACCTTCGCCTAGTAAAACACCCCCCCTAAAAGCTTGCAGTACCTTGAAACCCTAAACTTAGTTCGAAGCTGTGAGCAATCCGGCAGGTTTCATGATCTTGTACCCATGCCTGACTCTGAACGTTTGAGGCCTGAACTGAGCAACATCCTGGACCCAAAAACCTGCACAATCCCTTTATCGAAGTTTGCTTTGTCCTTACAACCTTTCACACATTGCTAACCCGCTAGTCCTTGCGACCCGTAAACCCAAGAAAACCTCCATCCTGCATCGTATTGAACTCTTGCCCTTTGACCATTTCTGTAGCCCCCAACCCTAAAGTAGATGGGCCGGTCCCTATAACCCGGAACCCTAAGCCCCTGAAGCCCCCAACCTTGCAACACAACGGCCAACGCCATAAGCCCCTCAACTCTGTCCCCTCGAAGCTGCAATCCTCAAGCCTGAACCCTCTTACTTGTTCTGCTTCGGCCCTATGCACTACACCACTAAGCTCTACAAACGTGAAGCCTCTTTACACAGCCGTCCTAAGCCCTCTTAATGTAAGCACGTCAACCCCTTCTGCGTCCTGTAGTTTACTTTCTAGAAAACCGTTGACATTCGTAAACGCTTACAAGCTTCTCAGGCCCTTTGAACCCGCCATTCATCCCAAGGACGCAGAGTCCGCTGCCCTGCTTGCGGAAATGCTGCCGGCCCTCCGTGCCGCTGATGTGGCTGGGGGCTCATGGGCAGATGACCCACGAGACAACAGCTATATACGCCGATGTATGCGTAAACCGCATGTAGTCAAATTTATACGCGATTATATGTATGTGTCTGCATATCTCTCTCTCTCTATATGTATGTGCAAATATGTATGTACATACGTATATAGTACTGGTGTATGTGTATATATATATATACATGTATATATGTACATATTTGCATATTTACATATGTACATATGTACATATGTACATATGTACATATGTATGTATGTCTGTATGTATGCGTGTAGATGTATAGATGTATAAAATGTATAGATGTATATCTGTGTATATGTGTATATGTATTTATGTGTAGTTAGATAGCTGTATAGATGCACATACGCATAGATGTATATGTGTATATACAGCATGCCTTTGCAGACCATACGTACATTTTGTGTATGTACAAATATATGCCCACACAAATACGTATATGCAATCGAGCATGTGCATCAGCCTATGTGTATGCATGTATGTGTGCGTACGCGTATGCGTGTGGCCATTGGCATGGGCATGTGTACCCGTATGTGTGTATATGTATACAGAGGTACATTCATTGTTTAAGAGCATTTGCAGGGCACTCAAGTGTCTTCGTGATAGCAACTCGATACTTCTCGTGGTTCCGTGTCAGGTTGGGTTTCGTCAGGACGATTCAGGCATCTGAGGAGTCGTTGGGTCCCGAGCATGCGTGCTGAAAGGTAGGTGCTGTGAAACGTACCTTGACGTTGAGGTGGCAGGGTGCAGGAATAGCAACAACAGCAGAACACGTCAGTAAAGTTTGTAGTGAAAACAATGACAACCTCAATAGAATAGCCGTCGTCATCATAGGAGCAATCATACTGAGTAGTAAGTACAAGCATGGCAAGGATTTCGATGCCGAGATTGACCCCGCTAGTGTCAACAACAGGAGCAGACGGAACAGTTTGGGATTTGTCGGTGTTGCCACCACCCTAAACTCTCAGCACTGGCCATAAACTCCAGGTTTAGTCTAAACTTACCACCCTATTTCGATGTTTCAGGTCCCCTCAACAGATAAGTGGGCCGCCTTGGTGCCCGGCGCTTCGAAGGCCGCTCTCCTGCAGGGCTCTAGACTCGAGGGGTCGGCGAAGCTTCGGAGTTCATTGCTGAGCGATCTTTGTTTCAATGAAGGGCTTGAAACTGCAACTCTGCATGCCTAGACACACTTCAGAGCTTCCTGGAAATTCCGTGATCCCGCGGTTTCATTCTCAGGGCTTGAGGGCGTTATTATGTGGGCCTCAGGAAGAAATGCCCGACGAGGTCTCTGCCTTCTTCTACGTTTGAAGAAGCATCCCTTCGGACCTCATGCATATACTTAATATAAATGTACCCACAGCCCTTGGTCCAGAGCTTCAGGATGCCCATGGCTTTAGGGTGTAGCCTAGTGTTTCGGGTTTCGGGTTTGGGGTCAAGCCACAACGCTACTGATGCCTGGAGCCGGCTCAGCTCATCCGAGAATACCTGCACGCGTTGTGCAAATCTTAAGCAGAACCTCATAGAAAAGAAGCCATCCGCAGCCGACATCCTTAAATCCTCAATATAGGGCTCATATAGGGTCTCAACACGGCACGCCAAAAGCACTGCAACCACGCGCACCGGCCTGAACTTCAAGACTTTGTGCTGGGTGGCCTGACCTCTAAATCCTGTACCTGAAATCTCAGAACCGAGTACTGCCCCCCAAAGCCCGCACGGCCCCACATCCTAAATTCCTAAATCCCCAACTCTAAACTCTAAACCGTGGGCCATGCCTTGCAGGCTCCGCCGAGTGTGTCCTCGCCGTTTGCAGAGGCCAGAAGCAGTTTGAAGACCCGGTCTGTCGCCAGATGAAAGCCACGTGGTCTATGTGTGCTTATATATATATATATACACACACACATGGATATGTATATGTGTGCACACACACACACACAGACACACCCATGTACATCCGTACAAGATGAAGAAGTACGTGATCGTTTGACATATGCACGTAGATACAGATGTGCAGTAGACACCAACACGCGAGTCGCAAATTTGTATAGCATCAGAATTGCTACTGTACACGTTGGTGCAAGGTCGGACACCGTTCAAGATTTCCTTGGACGCATGTATCATGTTACACTGTACTGACTTTGCTATTAACCTCAGAATTACATATGATCATTGCAAGGTTTATGATAGTTACAATTAGCTACTGGGTACCGGCATCATTGATGATGATGATGATGATGATGATGACGGTGGTGGTGGTGATGATGGTGGCGGCGATGATCACCTTTTTCACCTTCACCATCACCATCACCATCACCATCACCACCACCATCATCATCACCATCGGCATCGTTGCCGCCGCCTCCTCCTCCGCCTGCTCCTCCTGCCTCCTCCTCGTCATCACCTACCTTCATGACCATGAGGTCAGCCAATACCTGTGCAGATCTCCCGTTCAAGCTCTGTATGCTCTGCAGGTGCACCTGATGGTCAGGGCTAGCGAATTCCAGGCGGGGAAGCTGGAACAGGGCAAGCTCAACAGCAACATCACACACACACACATACATATATGTGTATATATATATAGGTATCAGAAGGGCGTCGTGATCTTCTGGCAGTTTTGCTCAGTCATAAACATAACACTGGGCCACTGGACCGACTGCCTTCTTCTGCTGCCAGGACTCGGAAAAGGCACTGTTCCTGAAAGAGCTGCTCTCGAAAAGTACAGGCCGGATGCACCCCCTGGTTTCGGGCTCTGAAGGCTTCAGAGCGCACCTTTCAACTGCTTCGGAGAGCCTTTGCAGGAAACTTAGGTTAGGCACAGGTTAGAGTCGAGCACTTGTCCATGGCTTCTGTCGGCAAGATTGACGAAGAGGAGGCCAAGTGCTTCAGAGGCCGGATCAAGTCATACCAGCCGGGCAACGGCTATGGCTTCATCGAGTGTTCAGAGACCTACCAGAACTTTGGCCGTGATGTGTACTTGAGCCGACAGCAGCTGGAGCAACTGCACATCACCACGATTCCAGCCAACACGGATGTCACGTTCAAGGTTGATGTCCGTGATGGCAAGCCGCAGGCATACGATTTGGAACTGCCATGCCGTCCAAGGGATGGGAGAGGTTCCGGCTACAGCGCCCCTGTCGTGGGAGGCTTCACTCGCCGTCCCGAGGCAGAGTTCGAGCTACTGGCCAAGCAATGTGAGCACGCATTGAATCGCTTTGCAGACTGCTTGCGTACTCTGTCTGAGAGCCTGGATCTGCACGGCTTGGGCCAGCAATCTCGCCGGGCACTGCAGGAAGCGGATGCAGTGCTACGTTGCGAGGAGTGCCGTCGGGATGAGCGGACGCAAGGCTCGAAGATCCTGCTTCTCTTGGAGCAAGCACGGCAAAAATGGGACGACAGGAGCAACCTGTGTCACCTACACCTCAGAAGCGCGCTGAAGCAACGACTTGAGGCGCCAACGGAGTCTGTCGAGATGCCCATAGCGCGGTTGCGATTCACACAAGCAAGCCACAGCAGGAGGTTTCTGCACGGCCCCCATGCTGGCCAGCGCATTGAGTCTCTGACAAGGCAGCTGCTTCGCGGAGAGACTGCTTTGGACGATCCTTCCATGCTGTTGAATGTCGTGTATTTCCATGGCTCATACCGTTCCCTCAACAATCGGCACCTGACAGCCATCGTGAAGTATGCCGAGGAAGTGGAGGCACAGAATCGATTGCCCAAGAAGTGCCGTGTCCGCGTTTGGCCGCTGGTTCGCAGCTTGGCTTTCAGCTCAGTTCGTCATGCATTCGTCAGTTCGTCTCATCAGAACCGTCGTTATGATGGTGGTGAGGAGTTAGTATTGCCGTTCTGGTTATCCTGTTCATCAATAATACTGATTAAATAAAGGTTATTGCTACTGATAGAGATGCGGTGGGGACCACTCCGAGGTGGCTTGCGCATGATTTTTGAGGATGGCTCGGAACAGGAAGTTATCCGCAAGTTCCTCCGCTCCAACGACAGTGTAAGTGATGGCCTCAGTATCACATGCAAGCGGCGAGCAGGACAGCAGACGGCCGTAAACCAAGAAGTGTGTGTCCACCTTTCCAACTTGGATGTGAAAGTGGAAGAGCCTGAACTCTACTGGCACCTTAGAGAAGGCTTGCAGGACTTGAGCAGTAGCAACTACAAGGTGACGATTGCGAGGCGTCCGGACGGACGCTCCAACTGCCACGGATGGGTGATGCTGGAGAATCTCGAGGAGGCAGAGCGGCTGCTCAAGGCGGATGTGCCGCCGCTCAGAGGTCGGCCCCTGAAGATGCGCTTGGACAACGTCTCCGCCACAAAACTCCAAGGCTTCTCAGGCAGCGGCTGGGTGCGCTGCAGGAACTGCCAAGAAGCCTGTGCTCCCCTTCTCGATGTGCTGCTGGTGGAAGATGTACGGCTTCGGCGAGATGCGGTCTCCGCCAGGCACTTCGATGAGGCACCCACATTCTTTTGTATTGGGAAGGAAGACTCGCTGCAAAACTGTGACGTGATTTCCCCGCACCCCGATTCAGCCGAGATGTCATTCAAGCTATCCCTCATTAGATGCAAGTGTGGGATGGATCTCGGCAACATACAGAAGGCTTCCCGCATGCAGGGGAATGTGGGAGAGCTCTTAGGCGAGCGGGTCGTCCACTTCAAGTGTGCATCTCTTCTCCTGGAGCTCTCCGACCGCCAAGATCTTCTGTTGGAGGTGCGAAAGTGGCAGCATCTGGGTCGCCCAAAAGTATCCTTATGCCCGTTTGCCTTAGGGTCTCCTTCGTTCCTAAACCGAAACCGCGAGGGGCCAAGACGGTCTTTTTCGGAACGCAGGTACTTGGCACAAGCGACGGGTCGGGAGTCTCCGTACCGCCTGAGTCAGCTGACCATGTCGGAAGCCATCGACAGCCTCGGACTCAGTCTAAACTCGAAGGTGCCAGAGAGGAACACGAATCGCCATGCACGCGTCGTTCCGAAGAGGTCGGCCAGAGCGTAGATTCTCCGAGATTCGAGGGCAGTCTTTGTGCCACAGAACGACGAAGTCGAGTTGTGGCCTTTTTTCTTGGAGAGGATCGCCTTCGGCATGTATGTTATTCGCGCGTGACAGGCTGTGGCCGTCCCTGGAAGATACATGCCGCCGTTCATCAGGGGAGAACAAGGAACAGTGACCGATGCGACTCGCCTTGTGGTACATCTCTAGCAGCTCTAGCATGCATAGCGAAGTCCAAGCGTCATGGAATGTGTGATGATCACGAGAACAAAGGTTGTTACACATGTGTTGACGTTGGTGATGTCGTCGTAGTCGTCCTCCTCCTCGCATTCGTCGGTCGTGGTGGTGGTTGTGGTGGCTGAAGGGGTGGTGGTGCCTCGAGCCGGCGACGACGATGGAAACAGCAGTCGCGTTGAGCGGGAATGGGTGACGAGCCACTGCTCAACGGAAGCCGAGATCTGCAGTGATCATCCGATGAGTCTCAGCCCTTCCGAAGATTTTTGGCTGCCGGCTCTGGCAGGCGCGGACTCCTCGCGCTGGCGTCTGCTGCTCCGGGCGCTGGAGAACTTCGGCGAGGCAAGGAAGGACAAACCAGAATCCAGATACTAGTTACTAGAAGTATACTAGTAGGTCTATGACCAGAAGCACATATGTGATTAGGTGCATGGTGCCAGTACCGGCCTCCGGTTTTTGTTGCGAGCAGGCTCTCAGCAGTTCAAGCCTCAAGTCTGGCTTTGCCGGCACGGCTTTCGGGCTTTCGGCTCATGGACTTTCCCCACTTTTGTGAAACTTGCGTCCAGGTGGAACTACTGCAGGAGCTGCTGCTGTCATCAGGCTCCTTCTTACAGAAAGTTGAGACTGAAGCTTGGACATTGACGTCCTGGAGTCAAGTGCAGCCCGTAGAAACAAAAAGCCCGAAGTAGCGTAAAGCCAACACCGTCGATCCGAGCTAGGCAACGCAGCTGGCTTCGGTGAATTCCGAAAGCAGCCTACTCCAAACGCACTCCGCCTGAAGTCCAAAAGGTTCCTTTTACCTTGCGTTTTCATAGAGTGGAGTATCTGCTGCGTTTGTTAGAAGCACCTCTATTCCCGAAACCCCGACAGTCACTCCGCAGATCCCGAACCTCAATCCTGCCGATAAACATATTCCTGCATTATCCATAGAAGGATTATACCCGAATCCCTGTAGTTTAGCCTGTAGTGTATAGGCGACTTGGGGTTATTTGCTCATCAGCCAAAAATTCAATCTAGAATTCAGCAAGACAGCCCTTCAAGCCTTGGCCCAAAAGGTCCACGTTACCCTAAACCCCTCAGCCTTAAAGCCCCTTAGAAAGCCCCTCAAAGCCCTTAAAAGCCTTCAGAGCCCTTGAAAAAGGCCTTCAAAGAAGCCTTCAAAGCCCCCCTTTCTGAAGTCCCGATAAACTCGGGAGGGCCCCTTCCGCCGCCGCAGCGAGCGGCTTTGTGGCTGAGCCTCGCGCGATCGCTGCGCCGGAGCCTGGGCCTCAGTGCTTTTGCATTGTTTTTGTTGCTTTTTTTGGGGTTTAGGGTGTAGGGTGTTTAGGGTTTAGGGGTTGTTTAGGGTTGTGTGTGGATTTGATTGTTTAGGCGGGTTTGGGGCTGACGGGTTCAGGCGCCTTTGAGGGTTTTGGGTTTCAAATCTCGGGGCTTTGGGTTTCAAGCGTTAGGTTGCTTCGGTGTTTCATTGTCTTCTTCGGCTCTTGGGTTTCTACGTAATTGGAGTGTATCCTAAACCACGGACACCTCGAAAGCCCCCACGGACAATGCTCTCTCTTGTAGTACTTCGACCTGTGAATGACCAGCACAGGGGACATGTCATGACGAATGACAAGCGTTCTAGATTCTGCATGCTAGTCGCCCGAAGACTTCTACCCATTCTATTCACCGCATGACGCAACAAGTTTGCGAGAACTGGACAAAACCTCGAGATTCAGCAGTTTGAAGAGCTAAGCGAGGCATGTTGCCTACGATTTCCGGGCCCCGTCGAAGCTAATGCTTGAAGGTCTGAACCGACAGCCGGAAGAGGCCGCGCGTGGGGGTGCGAAGTTTGCTCTGATCTTGTTGGGCAGTTTCGGATACCAGTATGGCACGGTTTAGGGTTCAGGGCCCTAAACCCCTAAACACCGTTTCATCAGGATGTTACTCCGTCTCAGGCGAAACGCTTTCAGCGAAGTCGGCTCGTCCGAGCCATGGGCGACGAGGCCGCAGCTTCGGCATCCACGCAGTGGGTGCCCTGGCGATAAGTCGAAGGAGCCTCCACGGAACTGAGCGGACCGAGACAGAAAGTCCTGGCTGCTTGGGTGAAGTGGGGTGGTGGGGCGGGCTCTTTCTTGGTGTTGCCCTTCAATTTGAGTTCATAGCTCCGGTTTTTATCGCTAGGAATCCTTGCTCCGAAGACAAGCAGTCGAGATTCAGACTTTCGAGAGAGCTTTGGCAGCGGTGGTTCGGAGCTCCTTCTGATGTTCAGACCTAGTAACATTACCCTACTACACCGAGCCTCAAACTTGCATTGATTCTCTGCCGAGGCGTCCCTTGCCTCTGCTCTCAGCGCCCTGATCGCTTTTGCGGTGCTCGGGGGCGACGAGGGTGGCGAGGAGGCACGGAGCAGACCGAGAAGCCGAAGCGGTTCCGGGGTTTGAGCAAAGCATCGGTTCTTTCTACCACCAGGAGATGCCTATGCTGGATCCGGTGCCCTGGGCGTTTAGGGCAGCTTTTCTTTGTGTGCGGAGGGGGGGGGGTTGTGGGAGCTGGGGCTCGAGCGGCTGTTAAAGGCTGGTTTTCGAAGGCACGGCGTCATGGAGTTCAGGCGACGGTTTTTTAGAGCTTTGGGGTGGGTTTGAAGGAGCTTCAGGGCTTGAGTTTCGGGAAGTTGGGAGCTTTTTCCTCTGGGTTGAGATCCTTGGGAGTGGAGGGCTGCTCGGAATAAATCAAATTTGAAGTGGATGGATTGTGGGTGTATGGATTCTTTGTCATGTGTTTAGGGACGTTCAGGTAGCAGTTTGGCTACTAGTTGTGCCGACCCCTCTACGGTTCAAGGCTTCAGGGCTTCGGATGTTGGAGTTCAGGATCTGGATTCAAGCGTTAGCCTTCAAAAAGAATGAGAAAAGAAAGGGCGCATTGTCAGCGAAGTGTTTAGGATCTATGTCTGCGAATGTGAAAGGGTGGCGCATCCCGACCAAGCAAGCGAGCATGGATGCGTGCATGCTGAATACACATCAGCGGCTTAGCAACCTGAACGTACAGAGGTTTGCAAGGGTGTCTTTGCCGATGGTTCTTATGCAGTGCGCTTTCGGCTCCCAGGTGTTCCAAGTCAGCACAAGGGTGAAGCTGCCCGGTCGCACTGGTCCAAGTCCTCGTGCTCCAGCGGTCTATCTGATCTCCACCATCCCTGAACCCGAAACCTCCGAAGCCTTAAACCCGGAAGGTCTAAACCTCCGCTTCAACAGTATGTCAAGCCGTGGACATCGGTGAACTCAGCGGGCTCTTCGATTCGTCGATTCGTTGTTGCGGCGATCGTGTGCGGAGCGGCGAGTTTGATCTGGGACGATACTTTGATGTTGTTGTAGAGGGTGAGGATGATGCTGCACACTATGACGAAGACGTCAAGACATTGGCGATGGTTGACGAGGATGACCATGGTGCAGATCATGGTCATGGGAATGATGAGGATAAGGATGAGGATCATCATGGTGATGATGATGATAACGATGATTATGTTGATGACAGTGATGATGATGATGACAAAGGTGATATTTCGCCCTTCTTCGCCACATAAAGCACTTCACAAAGAGGTACCCGTGGAGAACTGCACCAGCTTAGACAAGCCCCTGGCAAGGTCTGTGGCAGCGCTGCCAACACCCTTGGAATCGGCACCCAATCCTCTTCGCCGCCGACCTGTCTTCGGTCGCACTCGGGCACGGCCAGTGGCAGAGGAGCGGGACGTCCCAAAAGGCATAGACGACAGTGTCCTCTGAATACTAGTAGGCCCTCACTGTAACGCTTCTATGTACTGTATCAGACTTGTAGCTAGAAGACTTTTTTTGTACGGTACTGATGGGGAGTCTTGTCGATCCTGGCATTTCGTGCTGTTCGTAGAAATCCCACGCCCTGCGCACACCCTCGACCCGCAAGTTCGTATTGATATTTCTTCAACTTCATCTTTCTTCAAGATGTGCCGCAGTCCTTTGCTGGGAGGCTCCGAGAGAAGTTCTTCTCCTCTGCGCCTTCTGCAACACGACGGAATCCGCAGAGAGCCTTCGAGGCTCGGAAGCCAAGCAACGAGGGCTGCTCCGTCCGTAGCACAAGTAGGGTACAGGGGGTCGAGGGGCTTAGACCAGCCCGAAAGCCCTGAGATGGGCATTCAGGCAGCAGCCCCTGCTGCCCACGCTGCGGAGCGGAATTGCCAGGGCCTTAGCAACGGGACAGCGAATGCAATGCTCGGAGATTCAAGCATAGCAATATTGGCGGGATCCTCCTGTCCGATGACGGTTCTTGTAGGCCCAAGGCTCGTGGATGAGCCGCTTGGTCTTTGGCTCCTAGATGGGAGAAACGGCCGGTAATGTTTGCACAAGAGACTTCCAAGCCAGACTCCAGCCCAGTACGACTAGCCTCTCTCGATGTGTCTCGTCTTTGGAGGCTGTCGGCGGACCTGTCCCTGCCGCATTTCCAGTCTCTGCGTCGTCCTGCAGCCAAGCGCGGGCGGTGGCTGCGCCAGCCGCAGGCGCAGCATGCGGGTAAACTGACTTCGTGTCCGCTCAGGTTCAGGCAGTCAGTCTGAACATGAAATCCCTAAACCGCACACCCGGCACCTCTAAACTCTACACAACAGCAATCTCTGGAAGCGGGGGGCACTGAGTAAAGTTGTGAGGATTCGGCGATTTCTGAGGGACGTACCCGGGATTCATCCTTCATACAGAGCGCCGAGCCAACCGAACCCTAAAGCGAAATGTCATCTAGTTGAAGGAGTTGAAGGACGGAGAGGACCATGCGGAGAAACGTGCGCACTCAGCTTGAAAACAAGAGGTGATATTTCAAACACTGCACGCCAGGACTTCATGAGTCTGATAGTGAAGCTGCGACGCTTGGCTGCACGGATTAAGTGCCTACGTGATCCCAGACACGGATCACAAAGAGACCCCAAGGCAGCGGGCATCGGCATCAGGTGTAGGGTTTCGGGTCCAAGAGGCATAAGAGAGTTGCAGATGCCAGGTTCCAGGTGCATTGCATCTGTCGAGGGGATTCAGTGTTTCCGTGGCTGTGTTTGTTTCAGTAGGCTTATGCCGCTGAATCATCCAACGTTCCCCATCTTGCCTGGCCAATTCCTCATGCGCTTACGCAATGTGCCGCGGAAGATCTCATGACACTGTAACGTGACACCATGACCATGACACACAGGTCGAATGATCATGTGGGCCTGCGGTACCATCTGGTGTCGTGCGTGCCTCATAACAAGTTGTTCTCGTTTTTTTTATCGTACCGTACATAAAGACATGTGTATAGTAAAGCCTGCTCACGAAAGGGGTGAACTGGCAGGCATGCAAGAACAAGCAGCTGCGACATATAGTGCATGGAGTAGGTATCGTAGCACGGCATTCCGAGCAGAAGCATGGATGCATGCACGTAATGTATGCCTCTGTGTGTGTGCGCGCATGCGCATATGTACCTGCACACCTTAGTATGTATGTGTATGTGCGAGTGTATGTATGTGCATGTATTTGCATGTATGTGTATGTATGTGTATGTACGTATGTATGTATGTATGTACGTATGTACGTGTGTATATGTGTGCGTGTATTTGTGTGTGTATGTGTGTGCGTATGTGTGTATATATGCATGTGTATGTATGTGTATGTATGTGTATATATATATATATAGATGTATGTATGTGTGTCTGTGTGCGCATGTGTATGTATGTGTATGAAAAGGTGTCTGCGTATTTATGCACGCATGCATGCACGTGCTTGCGTACGTAGAGCATAAGCACTTCTGTGTGTGCATACAGGTAAGGCTCCGTAAGCATGTTTTCCGCCACGCGCGTTGCGAAAGCCAGCAGCATGCTTGCAGGGGCACGGCTGGTCTCTTCGGCCCCTGCCACAGCGCTGGGCTTGCTGGACGGAAGAGGGCACCCTGAACCCTAGTACCCAACTCCTAAACTCCGCAAAGATGACTCTGAAGTTGACACTGACGATGACCCAGATAATGAAGATGATGGTGGTGATGATGGTGAGGACGATGCTGAAAATGATCGTCGTGTTGATACTGAGCATAGTGACGTGTTGAGCTACACCAAGGCCGGAATCAGCTTCAGTCGGCAGCTCTTGCTGTCATGCCTGGATGCACCCAGCCTGTCCATGGACATACGCTTGCTCCAGTGCCTGGAAGAGCTCGTCCGAGAGCCAGCCCTGCTAGGCCCACCAGAATGGGCTGCTCAAACCCCCAAACCCTATCCCCAAGCCACAAACTTCAATTTTTACCTAACCCCTCGCCCTGACCCAAGCCGAAGTCCTTCAAATCCCGTCAAATGCACGTGGCTAGGAGCCGGGTGACTCCCAGCCGTCACTGGGGCGGCCAAGCGCGGAGGCGCGATGTTGAAGCTCTTTACAAGGCAGGTTTTTTGAGTGCTCTGAAGAGAGTTGTTTGGCAGGGTGTTCTGGGTTTGTGGGCTTGGTGTTAAGGAGCGTTTCGCAGGCTCAAGGCATGAAATGGGGTAGAGCTTTTGGGGCTCCTGTGCCGCCAGGTGTCGTCCCTCCTGAGCACGGCCGTGCTTTGCCTTTGCTTGGGTTGCTCCAAGCTGGGCCTTTCCACTTTGGCCAAGGCCGGCTGCGATGCGGGGACCCAAACCAATAAAGCCTACACCGGGACCCCAACTCAAACTGAAAGTCAGAAGCCTAACGCACAATCTCCGCATTCACATCATAGCTCAAACCGTCATGCCCTGCACCTCGCCTTCGGTGGCCGAGCCGTGCACCCGTCAGGAGCTTGCGACTTTCTTCCCTCAAGACCTGGATGCACCGAGGACCGGGGAAACCGTCTTCTCAGATATTGAGTTCAGGATTCAACACTCCCAAGAGCGGGTTCGGAACGAGCTGTCCCAGTCAAAAGACTCGCTTTGGTCAGGATACCGGCGAGCTGGGAGGCACGGACCGAGACCCCCTGCCTGCCACACGTTGCAGAGCTCCAAACTCAAGATCCCACAAGCCTGGTTTTTGGTACTATAGTTACTATAGTGTCTGCGCGCAGGGTCTATGTTGCATGCTGCAGCACGGGGTACGGTGCAGTGCGGTCCAGTATCGCCAAGTCTTGTCCATGATCTTCGAGTAGACGCATGTGCAATCGATGTTGGAATATCATAGTGTAGCATCTTGTCTTTGGCTTCGACTCGAGCCCTCAGCTTCTCAACATCCGCAAGAGACCACTCTCCACGTGGTCTTTCAAATCCTTGCACCCCATCGACAGGCCCCGAAAGAGCCCTGACGCCCCTAAGGGAAGCCAAACACTCCCAAAACCCTGAAGCCAGAAAACCCTCAGTGCCCTAAAGATGCTGGAAGTTTGGCCATTACAAATCATATGGCGCCGTTCCAGACAAACGGACTACCATGAGTAAGCCCCTCGAATCATTCATGTTTCTAGTGTAGGGGCCTAAATCATTACCAATCCTACCGTGGGGTTTCCTTATTATAGGTATAACTGGGTTCCTTATGATACTTAGGCTATAATGGGCCCCCAAGCCCTATTCTAATTATCAAGGCCCCTACAGTATAGAGCCCCACTAGAGACCCATTCTAGTAGCCCTTATAGACCCCTTTCAAGGGAACCCTGTCGGCTAATACAGGCCCTAAACCCTAAACCCTATAGTATAGAGCCCTACTAGAGATCCATTATAGCAGCCCTTATAGACCCGCCCCCCTGGAACTCGAAGCCTTGAACGTCTCAGAGGCCCCGGAGCCGCTCGGGGCTCTGCTGCGCTGTGCGGACTTCCGAGCCGCCCTGAGCGGCGAGGCCCGGGGAAAAGTTTTGGGACGAGAGGACCCAGAGAACCCAATACCTTCTTAATTCAGGAGTATACCTTAAATCATGATAGTAAGGCCCCTATTATTTGAGGTTTCTTCCTCAATTTATGCGTGTTGGCATATTGGGTTCTCTGAGGATCTTTTGAATGAACTGGGAGTTTGGATTTTTCTCAGGACCCCACAGGGCTCTGTTCTGTTTGGAATTTAGAGCTCTGCTCTATCGGTGTACGTTTGCTTACTAAGGTACATCGCAGTAAATTGTGATGTGATGCTTAGTACAGCGTACAGTAGTACTGTAGACCTCTGGTGTCTTCGCTCCGCTTGCCAGTCTGCCACACCGTTGGCGAAGCGCCGTCGCGGCGAGGTGACATGTCTGGCAAGAGCTCAGTTTTACTGCATTGGGGGACCCAGACTTTTCCGGAAGAAGCCCACTGTACTACCATAGCACTATACTGCTCCTCCTACTACCCTTGGGCTTAAACATGTGCTGTGCGGTGCAAAGCCGTTAGCACAGGAAGCCTTCAGTGAACCCTAAGCTTCAAAGCCTTGTACAGCTGTACCACTGAACCCCCTACACCTTCAAAGCACCCTTATCATTTGCACGTGTCCGAACCCGTAGCGGTCTTGGAAGCATTTGCGTTCAGGCCACCGCTCCACCGCAGCCTCTTCAGGCACAATCTCAGGGTGCTTGGATCGCGGCGTTCGTCCACCATCACACACCATCATCCCCTTTACTAGCGCTACCATCGCCATCATCGTCTGATCACCATGAGACCGCGGCATGCATCCGTAGTTAATCTCGGTATGGCTGCACCGGCTGCAACCGGCTAATACTTGCGAGCTTCTGGGGTAACCCATCGTTACAACAGTTCAATCACCGGAAGAAGTGCAGCATTTGTAAGGATTCTGATGCCGAACCCGACAACCGCGGAGCCTGCCCTGCCCTTCCAGATCGTGGCTTTGAGCTCCCAGCAGTTGACGAAGATGGTCGACGAAGCGTGCCACGGTTGGTGTCGGTTCGCAGTTGAGTGCGAGCAAAGCACCCCGTAGTCGTATAGCATGCAACAAATCGTTATGGAATGACATGCATGTTGCAGCTTGTCCTTATCTTAAGTCCTGAGTCTAGAATGCCGAGGTGCAACTTTGCCACCTTCTCTGCTGGAGGTGCAGCTTGGCCGATGCCAGCCTGCCCAATTCCCACGGCCTACACGGGAGAGCGACCCTAGTTCCTGAACCTGTAGAGCATGGGAGTACAGTGGCGACTCTGGCGAGCAGATGGCAGCTGTCTTGCTTCAGCGCAGCAGCCAAGGTAAGTTCAAGCGCCAGCTCAAGCCTACAACGGCTCCTCAGCATTTGCAGCTTGACAGAAGTTTCAGAACGGTCCTGTGAAGCTGAGTCGCGCACTGTTCGGTTCTCAGGGCTCTAGGCTTCTTTTGCGAGGAATCACGGTGCCTTGCCAATGTGGGGTTTTCTGAAATCTAAGAAACCGTACAGCATCGCTCAAGAAGGAACTCATTCACTCACGTTCCGAAAACAAGGCATGCTGGCCTCTTCGTGTCTGGGCCTGAGGGGATCCTGGCCTAGGGGTCGCCCCCTGCCCTGGGCCCTGGGCTTTTGTGTATGTGGGCCATTGGGTGCTTTTGGACAAAGTGTCCTTATCTCGCGATCACTTGCCCACTCTGACACCTCAGGCTTGCCAGCTCCTTGCAATCTGTTCTCTGCCTGTCCGTATTTTGCCATCCCTCGAACCACGAATCAATCTCGCTCTCTCTCTCTCTCTCTCTCTCTCTCCCTCCCTCCCTCCCTCTCTCCCTGTCTCTCCCTCCCTCCTTCCCCATTCGCATTCCTAGCTTCCGTGTTTGTGTGCGTGTGTGTCAAGGCAAACTGTGAGCAAAGCGTGAGATGTGACCCTCTTACCGACCACCCAGCCGCACGCGGTGTCCTTCGTGTGGTGTGGCGTCAAGAGTCAAGCGGCCCCTTCACCTTCGCGAGAGAGAGGCGCAGACGATGTCTTCTTGACCGTGGACCGGAACTTGTACCTCAACCTGCTTGAACGCTACTCGCGGAGCGCCGCCGGGCTGAAACTGGCCTGAGACGCTTTCGCCAGAACTAGAAGTCTAGAAGTGTGGTGGTTGCGTGGTCAAAGAAGGCGGTGCTTTCGCTAAGCTGCGAGGCTCGGGCCGCCAGCCTCTGTCAGCTGCTCCTCACCGGCACCCGTGCTGAAAGAAGATGTTGGAGCTCGCCTTCGTGTTACTTACGGCTTAAAGGCGGTTACTGTAATTCCCTCAGGTACTTTGAAGTCGAAGATGCGGCTGTTGTTGCCAAAGCTTCTGCCCGTCATGGTTCTCCATGAGAATGTCGACAGCCTTCGGCCTCTGTGCAAGATCTTGGACGAGGACCGGGTTAGTCTCAGTTGCGGTGCGCATCACACGCCAGTCTCTCTTCCCTAGATGGTTTAGATTTCGTAGGGGTTGAAGGACAAAGGGGTTTAAACAGAAATCTTTCCGCTTCAATGTCAAGAAAGCTCAAAGCCCTAAAACGCCTCTGACGCCCCGGAGCACCAGGAATCCCTACCCTCCGTCTTCACGCCGAATCTCCCCTTCGTCCTCTTCGAGATCGCTTCGCTCCCCGTGACGCAGCTGTAAGTAAGTTCGCTTGCTTAGGTTTGGTGAGCACCAGCTAAGAGCCGAGCGGGTTTTCGAAGATTGTGCTCGCCACTTAGCCGCCAGCTCGTGGTCATGATGGAGGAAGGCTCTTTCTTGGAAGACATCTCCAGATGCTTCGACGGGATGAATGAGGCTTTCACCCCCATGTTGGAAAAGCAGAAGGCGCAAACTGCTCTTCTCTTGGACATCCAGCGAGAAGTGTTATCACAGGATGAAAAGCCTTCAGCCCTCCAGCAGGAGCTGCAAGACTTGAAGTCAGTTGTAGAGACGAAGCGTGCGGCATGACTTCAGACATGTGGGCGGTGATGTATACCCCGAGTTATCACCTTCTTTACATTTGATATTTGGAATGTGGAATCTCTACTACTGACTTTTTAGTATAAAGTCCCCTAGCAGCTCCAGCAACCTATTAACTCCCTACACTACCCTGTAATAGCCCTCATCAAGACCAGCCGAAACCCGGTTCATAACCCTAAACTCCTGACCCCTTTAAAAGAACCCCTCTAGATCCCTTCAAAGGAGCCCCGTAAGCCCAAGGCCAACCGGGCCGAAGGCGCTTTGTCCTTCCTCGTCAGCGGCATCTACAAAGGATCCGCCTCTTGGTTAAGGGCTACGGGCCATTTAAGGGTCCGGGGAGTTCCGAGTTCGGGTTGTGGCTTGGGTTTAGGGTTTGGCGCTCAGCATTTTCAGGCTAAGTTGGGGTTCAGAAACGCTTAAAGCCTCCAGACACCCTTACACACCATTGATATCAACACTACCCCAGATCATCAAGCATTCAGCACTGTTCTTTGCTACGGATGCTTCAATCTATGCAACTTGATAGAGATTGCACCCGCTTATCCTCCAGTGTACTAAAACTGCCGTCAGAAAACATATAATGGCAGCCTCCCTGCCTTTCAGTCTCGTTGCCTCGGCCGCGCGCGCGCGACTCCGTCTGAGGTGAGCGCGGAGAGTTTGAGCGCCGCGTTTTTGGGGAAGGCCCTGGTTCTCCTCCTCTGGGACTCAGCGAGGCTCAGCCTTGCCGGCGGGGGCGTGGGAGAGCGGGGAGCGAGGGCTTTTGGGCTATGAGGCTATGAGTCTGTGTGTCTGGATTGAATTAGGGCACCTTCGGGGCAAGACATCCGAGCCGATGCAGATCCCGACGTTTGTGTCTTGACGCAAGGCCGAGTGACCAGCGACAGGAACGCCTTCGCCGTACTCTGGCCGCGCTGACAAACATCTCGCAGGACCCACTTTTGCTGCTTCAAGGTTGAGCTTCTAGTTGTGTGTTGGCCAGTTCTATGCTGTTATGCTCACCTGACGTCCTGCTGTGCCAGAGTCGAATATGTGTTGCTAGCATCGACATCATTTGCGCTCGTCACTTCTTTAATCTTTGGGCCTGTTCTGCTCAGGATTCAACATTCGCTGCTCTGTTTCTGGATGTGTGCTGTTGGGGCACAGTCTGTCATTCTGTTATGTTCTGCTGCCTGTTCTGTTCTTCACACCGACTATTCTGCGCAGTTTGCTTGTGACCTATAGACTGACATGCTCCTTGCAGTTGATTGTGCGTCTATTCTAGCGTTGTGATTCATCTGGGTTTCCTCCTCTAACTTACTACGCAAGCTATCAGTGCCGTTATTGGCAGCATGTTTCAGTGGGATATGGCTTTTTCGGCAATGCCCGCACCTTTGTTTGTGCGATATTGTCTTCGGATCCGTCCATGGCTTGATGGTGTTCTGGTGATGTGTTTGAGCACAAGCCCTCCAAGCCCCCAACACCTCCGAACCCAAAGTTCCGGTTGGCCCCTAGACCTTCAGCTCTTTAAGATGCTTGTTGTTCTAAGCTACGCCACTCACCACTTTGAGTTCGCGTTGCATCAGATGCTTTTCCAACAAGATTAACTACATAGACGTGCAGACCCTCAGCAACGCACAAACCTGGAAGTCCGGCACCCTGCAGTGGACGCCGAAGCCCTCCTCTCCTAAACCATAAACCGCGCTAGCCGATCCTCAGACCTACGCCCGAATCCCTGATCCCTTACCCCCCTCATGCCCAAGACATGACATTCAAGCTCTGTTGCGTGGAGGCTTTGCAGGCTCTACAGGCCCGGCTGGGCCCTGGAAGCGCAGTTCAGGCGCACTTTGTGGAAATAGGAGTTGGAGTTGTGGTTTCATGGTGTTTAGGAAATTGGTGCATTTATGGTTTCGGGATGTGTGTGTGTGTGTGTTTAAAATCAGTGTTCAGGGAGTATGCTCGAGGACTCGGCAGCACTCAGAGGTTTCTGGGGTTTGGTTAGTGGGGCAACAGGGCTGTAACAACTGCACTGCTGAAGGAGCACCCAGAAGCCAAGCAGAACCCAGGTTGGATCTGAATGCAGATTGATATCTTCGGTTGGCCTTGGTCAAGTTAAGTCGCAGCCCTCTCCAACACCCCTACGTTCTGCTTTGAGTAACAAATGTTCCGCTTCAGTTTTGCTTGCTGCTTCGTTACCCAGTGCAAGACCTTTTTCTGTTTGTTTTATTCCATTCCACGTGCCTCAAGAAAACGCGAAATTCTCCGAAGCGGAACCGAAGTCTGAAACCGAACCCAGGCTGAAGCGGAACTGCTACGGCATCCCGTGAGATGGGGCTCCTTTCAGAGCATCGGCTTTTTATTGCCTAGGCCTTCCTTTGGGTTGAGGCTCTGGGTCTCTCTGGACTTGGAATTGCTGAACAGAATGAGTTGTAACGTTGTAACAGAACATCTGGGACAAAGACCTTAAAGGAGCTTCTAAGCACACTTCAGTCTTCGGCATTCGTCGTCTGTGGAGGACCGGAAACGCCCAGAGCCCTCGCTGGAGCGGAGTGCCAAAAAGCGGAAAGCAGGCGAGAAGGACCGCTACGACCGGATGTTTCCCAAAAGTCCCGAGGTATGGGTCGCAGGGATTTTGGTGCCGAGAACTCCCTTTGAAGTAAGAAGCAGGGGGGCTAAAACGTTGCGTTGAACCTCCATGAGTAGATCCTGGAAACCCCCGAAGCCCTGAAGACTTTGAAAAACAGACGGCAACAAGAACATCTGCGGAGGAGACGAAGGTGATCGACATAGCCGGAGATGGAGGCAGGTTGCTTTATCTTAGGGCGTCGAGGCTGCGGGGTACTACTAGTAGAGCCAAGGGTCTCAGCACCTTTCATGACTGATGCATAGGGGGTTCCAGACTTTGGTTTCGAGATCGACTGGCAGCTGTCGCTGCATGATCTTTACCTGCACGGTTGGCGTAGTGGCTTAGCGTCACAGGCTAGGCTTCTGTTGGCATCGTCATATGATTATGCGGCTTTGTCCGAAGATGTTCGGAGACTCTGGCCCTGAGGGACCCATGCAGAAGTGCTGCAAATCCTGGATGCTCAGCTACAGAGATCCTGGGGTCGTCAGGGGGCACGCGGTCTGATAATGTCTGGGTTTGGGAGTTCACTAAGGGCTCAGGGCCGTTTAGGTTTTAGGGCTTGTTGGCTTTATGGTTGAGGGGGTTTCAAGCCACACCGGCTACCGCATGGCCAAATCAGTTGCCAGGACAATCCTAGCACGGCTGACAGATGATCAGAGATGTAACAAAGCATGGGGATTGACACTGCCACTGCTCGGGGCCGCTGCTGCTGTTGCGTGTGCTGTTATTTTGTCGGCGGGTTTGACTAGTCGGCTGGCTTTGTGCTTGCTATGAACGGTGTAACTGCTCTTGCTGAGGACGACTAGTTCATCTGTCTGCCATTGGTTCGAAAGAGTTGTGCCTCCGCAACCTCAACTTCAATTATTAGCCATAATAATACCTGCACACTAATCCTTGTCTCCTCAGCGATTAAGCCCTCCAATCCCTAAACTCTCCGAAGCTCTTCCTCCTGAGCTCAGGAGCGCCACTTCCTGCATGTCCTGGACATCCTGGGCATCCTGCTCGACCCGCGCTCCCCCAAATGGCAGGAAACGCGTGATCTGAGCAGTAGACGGTCAGGAATCCTCAGTGAAAAACTGGGACTCCGAACTCGGGTCCGAGGTACAGTGGCTTTAGTTTGGGGTGTTCCGGTTTAGCAGGTCCAATCTGGGAGGTGTTGGGAGCCAGATATGCTTCTGCCAGTACAGACCAAGGGAAAAGCTTTGGGAGATCGTCTTCCATGGTCATGTGAGCACAGCCTCCTATCTAGAGTTTAGGTGTTTAAGGCTTAAGGGTTCTGGGGTTTAAGTTTCGGGGTGTATAGGCCTTGTGGATGTCATGGCACGATCAGAGAAGAGATGATAAAAACCACTACCATCATGGCCTCTTGCTTTCGTATTTGGGGAAGGAGGTGCCTCTTCACGCTGCACTTGTCACGGCCAGAAGTCTCCGCGAGGAGTACTGCGAGCTGCTCTCGGACCCCTTTGCACGCGTCAGCGGAGAGCCTCAAGAGGCGGGGAAAGGGCTGAAGAGCATGCCCGAGCAATGAGACGATAGCTAAAGCCTAAACCTTGGTAAACCCGAAAGACGAAATTATCAGAGAACCTTCCTGTTTGGACTCTACTTCGACATTAGACCCTTCGGTCCCAGAGACCCGTCTGAAGCATCCAGGAAGCGACCCGTCCGGACATGGCGCGATTCTGCCGAATGGTCTCGCTCCTCTTGGCGCCCTGCCCTGGCTTGCAAGGGTTCAGGGCTGCGCGACTTTCAGCGTCGAGGGCAGTGCTCCTGCATATAATTCGAGCTTTTCGATGAGTGTCCGAGTTATCGCTTCTGTTCTTGCCCTCAGCGAGGCTCAAACTTAACGCCCAAAGACACCGACATCCCAAAACCCACTCCAGAAGCCTCAGCACTACAAATACCCTACATTTTTCAGGCCCATGCATGGCAGACCCCAAAAAAGTTCGTCTGCCGACAAATCCGGGAGCTCTATGGAACCGAAGAAGCGCTCCCTAAGCCACAGTGCGTTCCTAAGGTACTGTATCTGTAACTATTGAGATGCTTATTTCCACTACTATCATCGAATGGTAACAGTTGCGCTTGATGTGATAGCAACGGTTCTTACAAAAGCTGCTGTCATTGTGGTCATTGTGGCTTTGTGTGTTTACCCTACAATGTTTGCTGTATCGCTGTACTGCTCGTTTACAGATTTTAGGCTTCCCCCCAAAACCCAACACCCAAAACTCCAAACCAAACGACGGCAAGGCACTCCAAAAAGCAACCTAAACCTTCCCGAAACCCCAATTGACGGCAAGGCACTCAACCCTCAACCCTAAACAACCCTCAACCCTAAACCTTAAACCCCATAAACCCTAAACCCTAAACAACTTATGAACCCACTGACCTTTGCTTACCCTAAACAACCCTAAGCAACCTTCAACCCTAAACAACCCTCAACCCTAAACAACCCTCAACCCTAAACCCCATAAACCCTAAACCCTAAACCCTAAGTCCTATAAACCCACACTGACCCCTTTGCTTCCCTAAGGAGCTGCCGGGGGATCAGCTCCAGCGCTTCGCTCCCAAAGTCTTCGAGCTCCTGCGCCTCGGCAAAGGAACTTGCCGGCGTAGCTTTGCTTAGGGAATTAAAGGGGCCTTATAAAGGTTACTATTAAGGGATCTATAAGGGTACTATAATATTTTTGGGCCTCAGTGATCCTATAGTTTCCTTTCGTTAGTAGGGAATGGAGGAATGGGGGTACAATTATAGCTACTGTTACTACCATTCTTCCATCCCCATAACCAAAGGTAAGTTGGGCGGGGTGTGCTCTTGAGAGAAGGGCGACTTTTCTTGGGCTTAGAGGCTTTACGGGGTTTTAAGAAGGGTTTAGGGTTGTGAGGACTTTGGGGCCATACAGAGGGGTTTCGGGGTTTAGCGTTAGGGCTGGGGGGGGGGGGGGGGGGGGTTAATTTGGGGCTTAGAGTGCGTGTGGTCTTCTTCGAGGGTTTGGCTCACTGAGTTTACACCAGGGTTTAGAGGGGTAGCAGGGTTTAACAAGGAGCTTCACCTCCCTTAACATTATGGCGATGACAATGATGACGAGGATGATGATGATGATAATGGTGGCGATGGCGATGGTAATGTTGATGATGGTGATGATAGTGGTGGTGGTCCAGCAATGGTTATGACCGCGACAGATGTGCCTACAAGGGTTGTATGATCACTCGGACATCAGTGTTACAAATTTTTGTCTGCATCTTGCTTAAGTTTATGCCTCGGGGGCTTGCCGACTCCCTCTTCTGCCCAGGCAGAAAGCCACGGCGCGGTCCTCGCAGCATCCGGTGCCTTTGCTTGCGCAAGCCATTCTGTTGGTTACTGGGTATAAGGCAGGTAGACTGTGTTCGGCAACAAGGAGAGCGTCGACTGCTGGCGCCACTACGTGGCCGCTGTGGGCGTGGCGCCGCTGGGCCTTTTTAACAGACAATAGAAGTCGGACTGAATTAGAGCCATACAGCCATACAGCCCCGTTTTACCATTGTCATAGATGTGCTCCAAGAAGGACTAAAGCCTTAGTCGCCCTCATCTATGCCCCCACCTATCCAGTGCTAGATTAGGCCCCGACATTGGCAGAGGGTGGGTTGAGGGCTTGGAGAGTTTGCGGTTTGGGCACGAAGGTTTAGGGTTTGGGGTTGAGGGTACGGGGTTGGATACCCTTATTGATCCCGGAAGCCTGTCATGAGAAGACTGACGATCACGCCAGAACTCGATGGAGATGTTCACAACGGTCATCGCAAACGCAGGGTTGCCTGTATCCATGTAGCAAGATTTCAACAAGAGCCGCGGTGGTGGTGAGGAAGCCGGAGCCTTCAGCCAAGCACAGTCTTTTCTTTCGAACATCACAATAGAATCAGCATGCGCGGTGAGGAGGATGCTGATTGTCGTGACTGGCATGGTGCGGACGGTGATGCTGAGAGCAGCGACGCTGACATGGTGAAGATGTCGATGAGCATGAGGAAGCCAAGTAAGGTTTTGTGTCCGTTACATGTCGGCAGCAGTAACAACGACAACACAAGCGCGACTGAGAAAAGCCACAACGAACGACGGTCGAAATTTTTCTTCCTGCAAAAAGGGCTGCCCAAGATCCTGAAACAACTTGTAGGCCCTGAACAAGCCCTATACCCATTCCGTACCAAGGAGGCTGAAGCCCCTGCTTCCTGCAGTCATTTCGGAGCTGCTGCGGCTGGGGGCGCAGCTGTGCCTTTGCTCCGGTTTCAGTTGGTGCTTAGCATTTGGCAGGGCTTGGGGTTCAGCATGTAGTGTAGGAGTTAGTACAAGTGAGTCTGGCATGCAGCATGTCCTGTCTGCAAGCCGGTTTTGCTGTGCAACTAACATGAGTTGACCGTGTGTGGATCAGAGGCGGTTTCGCATGCAGTGACAATAGAAGTTGAGGCAAAAACAATGCTCTTCTTTGGGCCTGTCTGAGGCTCATGAGCTGTACACAGCAAAGTCAATAAAGCAGCAATCTTTGCTGCTGCTGCTGCTGCTGCTGCTGCATTGGATGCTCGAGGGCACACGCAGCACATGTCTTGCATGTTGATATTCCCTGGTCCTATGTCTTCAAACTACCTTGTGTGTCGCCAGCGCAATTTTGAGTTCGGACGCTCTCACCGATGGCTTGAACTTGTACGAATTCCTGCGTTCCATGTGCAGCAGTCGCGTGGTGCTCTTCGTGGTCTTGCCTCCTTAGCTGCCTTGCGAGCGTGCCGTACATGCTCCTTTAGTTCCGCCTCCAGTTCCAAAACAAGCGTTGAAGTTTTCATGCTTCGCTTAGTTGGTTCCTGTCACTATCCTTCCCTCCTTCCATGTGTCCATGTTCGGCATGTATCTCTACCTGTCAGAACCGAGGAAAGAGAAGGCGGCTCGTTCATTCGAGGCAGGGCGTCGGTAAGCTCAGAAGCTCAGCATCCAAGATCCCAGAACTGCAACCACCCGGAAGTCAAGCCCCAATGCGTGAAAGCATGAGGAGCACATGTCCCAACGGCAGGTGTTAGGCCAGGAAGTGTTGTCCCCTCTGATCGTGGAGACTTGCCGCAGCGCAGGAGAGGTGGCGTGGCTGAGTTCAGGGCCTTAAACGTCTTGGCTCAGAGTTTGGGGTTTCGGGTTCGTTTCGGGGTTGAAGCAAAGTTCAGGGTCGAGGCAGCGTGTCCCCGTTTTCTCCTCCCTCCCCATCGCCAAAAGCCTCAGAGGCAGCCAGACATACAAGTAAGGCCTGGGCCTAGGCCCAAGGTACTGGTCCTAGAATTTCAGAGCGAGGACCAGCGACAGAAAGGTTCATTCAGTGAAGCCCTGTCTTGTGGCCGCCGCCATGCAAAAGCTATCGCTCTGTGGAGACCTGAGCCTCAGAAGCCTGCACCAAACCGCCCCAAGGCCTTCGGACCCTAGACCACACAGCGGCCATCCCAGGTGATAGCTTCTCTTCCAGAGCTTCCTGCCTGGGAATCCCTGCGAACGGCCAAGGCAGCAGTAGACAAGGCCGAGCTCGCTCTTTCGGTGGGTTTAATATAGAGGTCAGAGTAATTCTGGGTTCAGGGTTTGATTTGGGTCCCTTCTTCTTTCAGCATATCTTCGCACTGGTGAGACGTCAGGACTCCACCTTTGATCTGCAATATTTTGTGCAGGCCTTCGTACTATCCCCCTGGTACCGCAGCGTTGTTCGTCTGCACTCCGAAAACAATCGCAGCAAACAGCCCGAAATCCTCTTGTGTTGGCATGGTAGGTCTCTAAACTAGCCTGCTCTCGGGGTCCTTACAAGGGGGACCCAACATCCAAAACAGGTCCCTCAGGCCAAGTGCTACCTAACCCAGGCACACTTACGACTCGAAGAGCGCCTCCCCAAAGGGCACCTTTCATCTTCCCTACTTCGGCGAGGCCCGGGCGCCCGACGACGCGAAAGGCTCCGCCCTCCGACTCGAGCGCTGCATCCATCAGCTCCAGGCAGCGACGCAGCAGGCGGAGCATGGAAAGAGAGGAAGAGGTTGTTGTGCCTTCGGTTTGGGGTTTGAGGTTTATTTCTTTGGGGAGTAGAGTTTCGGCTTAAGGGTTCTAATGCTGATCTTCGGCTTGTAGGACCTTGCCTTTGTCGGGCGTATGAATATCATGTTCACAGCGTTCTGTATCCGCATCTTCTAGCCACGTTTCATTTTGACGTCAAGTCAGCAGCTTCAGTGAGCAGCACAGTCCTGAAGTACTGAGTCCACGACTACCGATTACCCCAAGACCGGAACCCTGACCTGAGACTTCCGAAAAGGTGGTTCGGCGTTCGGCGCTGGAGAGCCTGCACGGCATCATTCAGGAGCAGCGCCAGGTGCCACGATGAAACACATGAGTATCACAGCCTTCATGTCCCCGGGTACCGCACCAAGACTCATACGATAGCCATCCTCTTGTTGCAGTGGCGATGGCTGCTGACCCCTACTACTTGTAGGATCTTGGGCTCTGCCATGCCTGAAGCCCCTTGCTACAACGGTCAAGAGAGCCCCGAAAGCGTGACAGAGTACCACTACTATTACTACCATATTACTACTATCAGATTACTACTATCATATTACTACTATCATATTACTACCATATTACTACTACCTTGCACTTCAGTGACAAGATACCCCCTCGGTCTGCGCAGACGCTTTGATCTCGCGAGGCGCCCTGCGCGGCCGAGCTGCCAAAGCCAGCGTTGGCCCGGCTCCTGCGGGCCTTGCTGAAGCCACCCGTCGTTCAAAGAAAGGGAGCGCGGCCGGATAACATCCGAGGATGAACTTCGTTTCCAGCATCGCCCTTATGCATGTCTGCCCTAATCCACTTATGTAGGCCTCAGATGTGATTCCAACCTGTTTTGTCTTTGGCTTCCGATGCCGTGGAAACTATCTCGCAGGAGTTGTGCAACTATTGTCGACGTACTTGCCCAAAGTTCTTGAGGGTTTTCGTGCGCTAGGACGAGGTGCATGAGCCCTAAGTCCTGATCCTGAGCCTGAGCCTGAAACGCCAGCGAAAACGCAGAAGTCTCTCAGGTTTCTCTGGGAATCGTCATCTTCACCAGGCAAGGAGCCCGTCTTCTTCAGGGAGTCATATGCAAAAGGCAATGCAGTTTAGGTGGTTAAGGCTCAGGTGTTCTCAACAGTGCCGGTTTCGGTCTTGGTATATGTAGAAAGGTTAGAAGTTAAGAGTATTCAATGGGACGGCGCCCGGAAACGGAACAACAACCCTCAACCTGATTGAGCCGTGAACTTCAAACTTTATAAGGTTCCAAAGCAAAGGACACAAATCTGAGCCGCAACTTACCCTGAAGGGTCCCATAAGGAAACAAGGATCTATGGCATTATCGTCCCTTTTTTGTTGAACTCAAGTAGGAATAAATAATCGTTCTAAGCGCCTATACCCTAAACCGTGTGGTGTGGCCCCTAACTGTATGAACCCAATCAAGCAACACGACCGGAAACCCCTTGCCGGCCAGATGATCAGCTCCTTTGCGGACAACTCCTGGGCTCCTTGGGCGCCATCGACCCGGCCCGGCTGTCTGGCCAGGCTCAGCGCGTTCATGTGGGGATACCATTCTTTTGGGGTCCTTATAATAAGGATCCTACTATTCGGGGTACTGCATTAGGATCCCCTATCTTCGGAAACTCGCACGTAGGGCTACTAGGGTTTAGGGTGAGGCCTAAACCCTTAAACCACAGGTTCAGTGGGCTCGGGTATTTCGTTTCCAGACTGACTGCCGCAGAAGGCCCTGAAGGCTTGAAAGAGCTGCAGGACCCACCTGGTACAGAAAAGGGCAACCAGCAATAATATTCCGAAGTGTTCCGGAATCTGTTTCTCCAGAACCCTTGCCTGACCAATGGCGGCTCTTCTGCAGATCTCAGCACTTGGGTTGAATGGATCGGGGGGGGGGGGGGGGGGGCGGTTTCAGGATCCGGGGTTCTTGATCGGTACACTTGTGTGCGGAGGTTAACATGAAGATGGTCCCTTGCAACAAGCTCCGTGTAAGGCTTATCACCATCAATGTCTGGTTGGGGAAAAGTCAGGGAGAACCTTAATCCGTGAACCACAAGGCACGACTGAAGCTCCTTTTTCCCGACCTGTGAAGGTGCTGGTGGAGCGGCATAGCACGGTGACGGACAGTCGATCACCCAAAGGTGCGACTTCGGAGAGGGGGGGAGGGGGGAGCGGGCAGATCATATAGGGTTTAGGCTTATATGGGAGTTTCCGAAAATAGTGGACCCGAATCTAGTACCCTAAATAGTAGTATTCTTATTATAAGGACCCCAAAAGAAGGGTACCCCCTAATTTTTGGAAACTCCCATATGGGTTTAGAGCTGATGCAAAAAGCAGCGTCGTTTTGCAAAAGAAGTAGGAGCCTGAGACTGGGAACGGAATCTCATGCCCAATCCGCTTTGGCTCTCTTTTCAACCCATCCTATGATGAGATGATGAGTAGATTCTGAGCGCCTCCTGTGCTGCAGGTCTGACTTCACCAAACAGCTTATGGAAGCTTGAGCTCCTTTCTTCATATTGTTGCAATGCTGCTATGCATACAGACACACACACACACATATATATATATATATGATACCCCCCCAAAGAGCCCATTATATATATATATATATATATATATATATATGCAAAGCGTACAGATATAAGTATGCGTCTGAGACATATTGAATAGACGCATGTGTTGTATGACACTTCGACATGTTGGTTGCCATTGAAGCCAGGTGACCTTGACCTGGCCAAGACCGTACTGGAAGAGTTCCTCGCTCCGAACCTCACCAGCAACAACTACGCCTTCGCTGCGCAGGAGTGAAACTTGGAGGGTTGAAGGGTCCAGGATCGGAGGGTTTAGGGTCGAGTTAAGGGTTTTAGGATGTCTTAGGGTTTCAAGGTTTACGTTTCATGGTGACCCCCCTAGAGTGTTTAGGGTTCAGAGCTTAGAGATGGCTTTGTTCAGCAGCACTCTTCTTCAGTCGTGCTGTCTTGCCGGAAAGGTGGCCTGCCAGACTTCTTTGCTGTCGGTTTTCTGTATGCACAGATATTGAGATGCTTGTAGGCATGATGATGCATACCCGGTTGTTGCTCCTGCATGTTGCAGACAATATGCCGGCGTTTCATGTGCAGATGAATGCAACATGCAAACCTGCAGACGCATGTACATACATGCAGACATTCATACATGCATGCAGACATATCTGCACGCATCCACAGGAACACGTACATACATGCAAACGTATGCGCACTACATGGATGCATACACACACATACATATGCACACACGTACATACCTACACACATACACATACATACATGCATGCCTAATGCAAGAACGCATACTGATTATGTAGCTGTAAGGACAGGCAGTGCGATGAGGTAAGGTAGGGCAACTCGGGGGGGAGCAACACAGTGCAAAGCACATGTTTTTGCTTACCTGCATGCATGTATGATGTGTGTGTGTGTGTGTGTGTATGTCTAAGTGTATGTATGTACGCATCGTGCACACCATGTCTTGTTCAGGGGCGCCTATGTTGCTCCGTAAATGGCCCCATCCGGGGCCATGTTTGTTACGCAGATCAGCAATGCAGCAACCCGTCATCCGGCAGGGAACGCCGTCGTGTTGCATCGGTGCCCCCTGAAATAGTCCAAACAGATGCGGGCACCACCTCAGGTACATGTACCGAGCACACTACGAGAAGGCTGATGATGACACCCCTTCCGTCATTTTAGTAGTACAGGCGATAGAACTGTCAGGCCTCCACAGTCCGAGATCTTGCCAGGAGATCTTCCGCTACTTGAAGCCCGGTGGGAAAGACCAGCAGCTCTTGCTGAAGCTGGAGCGCGAGGACGACATAATCCCAAACACAAGAACCGGGCATCGTCCTAGTCTTCCGATATCGGCTCAGATGGCGGATGGAGCAGCATTTTGTCCGTCTGCAGTATGGAAGGAGTTGCTCAATCTGCCCATTACAGCCATTCGGGTGATTTCGCCTTCCCGCGAGGATGTTCGGGAGACCCTGCGCCCTTACATGAGCAGCTCCTACGAGTGTCTCGGCAACCGGGTGTTCTTGAAGTGGGTTAAGCCGTCAAGCGGGAAGTCACCTAAGCTTCAAGCATAGACCCTAAACCGCTCCTAAAACATTTGAACAGCCCGAAAGGCTCAATTTCAGTTCCTAGGCGCGTGAGTGCCACAGCAAGGGCGGCGAGCCAGGGCCCTGCGACCTTCGAAGGAGCGAGTGGACGGAGGGAATGTTATTAGGATCATTTTTATCAGTGTTATTTGTATTTTTCTTTTTTGTGGCTTGAGTTTGCCTAGTTTTAAGGAGCTAAGCTGTGGGATTGGTGCGGCTACTGGTCGTATCTGCGTCCTGTTGTCGCCACTACACTTCCTCTGAATACGGTCAGTGTAGGCATTACAGCAATCTTGCCTCCCAGCAATGTGATGAGTGCATTAGCCGGTGTTTGTGCATTGTCCAAGGGTGATGATCGTGTCAATACACTCTCCGTTTCCTTCTCGTCGTGATGTCCGACGACACTCGCTGCCACCGGGGACATCTGACAGAGAATCACTGCCGAGAGTGCACTGAATCTCACCGCTTTTGTACACTGATGGTAGTGATGACACTATTGGCGCCGACGATGATGATAGTGACTACTCATCACTAGTATTAACATGATGGTGGTGATGATGGTGATGTTTCTGTTGAGGTGTGTTCTTTCAAGTTCTTTACGATCGCCTGTCGGATAGACTCCTCGATTCTCGACATTTCCGCCCTCTTCCACCGTCGACACACCACAGCCCACAGCAGCTACATATCTAAGTACAACAAAGCTGGCCCCGGCCATCCTACATAAACCCAACCCCAAGACCTGAACATTTTGGAATCTTGGAGCTTATTTTCAACCTGGGAACCAAGCCCTAAAATTCCTGAGCCCGCTGTTGCAGATGCGCTGGTGGCTGCTTCCGGCCTTCTGCCGGCTGAGCGGCGGGCTTTCTTCGAGGAGACCGTGATCAAATACCAGTAGTTTAGGTTTAAAAGAAAGGTTCGGGGCTTAGTAATCTTCATGGCAAGAACAGCAATGAGAAGACTAGCTGTGTTAGTATACCTGAGACTAATGGTATCTCGTGCCTTCAGCGTCATGAGTCAAACTAACAGTCTGGCTACTCTTGCTGAAGCTGCGGCCACGACGAGAAATGCTAAAGGGAGTATGTCAAAGACCGTCATACTCAAAGTCAAACTGCAATAGTCAGTCGTGATTACACCAGAGCGCATTAGCCCCTGCAATGAACGGACCAACAGCAGTGACGGATGTGCCAAACACCTCAGAGTAATTCTGCTGCCAGCCATTGCCAATGGACATAACAGGTAAAGCTATACAGAAAGCACGTCGCACTAATCATGTTCATGGCTACTGAAATGCTTGTATAGGCAGGCTTAAGCTAAACTTGCCGTCGGCAAGAGGCGATGTGTGAAATGCGTGGTAGCATTAACTGACACGTTGATGGCGCCTGCACCCAGACAGGTGCTTCGTAGTTTCTCACTGGAAATCACTGATGGAGTTGGGGCTGATTCAAACCCTCCGTTTGATTTAAGCAGCATAACTTGGAAGCCCGCATCCAGGCCTGCTTGCCTGCCATACCCGGCAACCATGCGCTAACCCTGTTTCTCATGCACCAGGCGCCGGGGCCAGGTTTGAATTTCAGTTCTGCTGTTCTCCGTATTGTACAAGTGGTGCATGGAGACTTTCGTGGTATTGCTGCCTCTCAAGCTGGGCTTCTTCGATAAGAGTACTCGGTTGAACCGATAAGGGGTACGCTTTTGAAGCAAACCTCCCGCAGAAGCTCGCTGCTCTTTCAAACTTTGCCAGCGGAATAGCTGCCTAAATCCGCAAAAGCAAAATCTTGAAGCCTGCCACAACAGTCTCCATGTTTGCCACCCTATAAGCTCGACACCTTAGAGAGAAGAATCATGCCAGCGCAGACACCTTACAGTGAAAGGCCACCCAGAAATAATGACAAGGTTGTCATCCGAGACGACTCCGGCACCCCCCCATTTGGACTGCGGGTAGCGCGTGCAACAACGTGAAATGAAGCAAGAGGCCAAATCGTGCGGCTCTGCCAGGACTTCAGAAACTTGCACTGAAAGGCAGGCCAAAACATGCGCAGGAATGTGGCGTGGGCACGCCCGCATAAGAGAGAAGGAAATCTGAAAGCCCCACAACCCTTACCCCAGAAACGTAAGAACCACTCCTCCCTCCGAATCCGTAATCCTCCAAACTCGGACAGCCTAAAGCCGCAATGCCTTCTTCCCTAAACTAAACACTTAGACCCAGCACCTCGGAAGCCCCAGTCACTCTTGACGCTGTTGGGTCTTGGCAGTGAACGTGGGCCAGTACTCCTAAACCCCCAGCCCTAAACCCTAAACTCCTAAACCCCGAAGCAACTCTGTCTTTTCCTGTTGATGTGCAGGACTGCTTTGAGTTCAGTGGCCAAAGTCAAGGGGTTGACTCCCCTTTGAGTTCTGATCATGGTTCGTTTCGGTAGGATGGTTGTTAGGTTCTGGCACAAGACAGCGTGGATCGTCCCTTTCCCTGTCCGTGCCGCCATGGTACCAGCTTCGCGCGAACCGCAGGATTGCCACTATGTCCCGCAGTGATTGACATTACGACTTCTTGCCGATTGCCAATACAAGCACATGCGCCTGACCGTCCACTGCAGGTCGGTACTCAATTCCACCGCTACGATGATCAGATTATCAGTGGAGGATGGGCTCTCCTTAGACTTTTCCCACCTGACCATCAACCTCGACTGGTATCACGCTTTCCAACAAATTATTCTGGAGGTTTTATGTGGGTCTGAATGTCATCCCGCACTCTATTTCCAGACCGATGTGGGAGTGGTGTGCCTCCCTACGTTTGTTCCACTTGACCCTGCCGCTTTTTGCCTACGTGTTTTGCCAAGCATGGGAGACCGGTGGCTCCCAATGACGCAACCGGAAACCTCTGGAACATCCCATCAGACTGTCAGGTCTGCAGGTGCATGTCTACACCGTACGACGGGACACACTTCTGGATGACCATACTTTTGATCTGTCAAAGCTTGCACAGCAACTTCCCACTGGATGACATTGACTCCAACTTAGCAGTTGCCCCGTTTGAAGTATTCCACAAAGCTGTCTAGGGGAGCCGACATGAGGCGAACCGGGGGACCACGGCCTTCCCACGCTTTACACCAACGTCAACTGACTTATCAGGTGATCCATCTTTTATCGGCGAGTGGTCACGAATTCCCCTTGTGCCTCGGGTGAGCTTTACCAGCGACTCTAGAAGCGTCCTTTCTGACTAAGCTTTTCCCCACGGTGGCCGGAAAATTTACCCTAGTCCTGCCATCGTCTCACCCGAAAAGGGTAGCGAAGAGCCCTGTATAGACATGTCCATCGTGTATGTAGTTTTTCCGGAACTTGTTCCCCAAGCTGTATGCTTCCGCCGACTCTATGTTTTCCCCGCACATTAGTCCCATTGACAGGGCTGCTGACGAGCGGTCTCACCTGTGGACACGCTCTGCGCGACTGAGAGAGAGAGAGAGAGAGAGACAGAGAGAGGATGGTTGTTGCTGAGTTGTGGGTATAGATAGGTGGCCAATGAAGCAGGAACAGCTGGAAAGGGGATGGATCCAATGCAAGAAGTCTGACGGAAAAAACGCAGGCACCCCAGCCAGACCTCCTCTCTGCCTTGCAGCCTCACACCCAATGAACTCTTGAACCCCGGTGTTCGTTTCCAACTGTTCAAGGAAGCCGTCCTTGTGTCTAGAGAACGCCCAGTCAGGTGCTTCCGGACCTTCTGGCGGGCCCCAAAACCGATGAGGCGGAGCTGTCGGCTTTGGCCATGCGGCTCAGCGGGCTGCTGAGGCTGGAGGAAGGCAGGGGGGCTCCTGGGGTCCAAGCCCGAAAAACCCCCAACTAAACCTTGAACAAACTCCCGAAACTCTGAGGCTTCAACCGTAATCGATGTAGCCATATACTTACCCCCGATATATCCATTGACCATGACCCCACCAAGCCGCTCTTAAGGTCTTTGTCCTCGTACCCCGAAGCCCTGAAGCTCGGATCATGAAGTTGCAGGTGTTCGGCTGGAGCCCAGACACTCAGCCACGGCGCAAGCGGCACCTTGGCGGCAAGCGAGTCCGAGCAATATCGGAGCCACATGTGCGCAGTGTGGTTTCTTCCGGGTCGTCTTCCGAGTACGCAGCACCCCGCCGTGTTGCTGGTGCTTGGAATTTCACGGCCGTAAATAGCTGTGTTCATAGTATTGAGAATGATTTGTGGTTGTGGGATTAGAAACATATTCCATGCGCTTACCCATATGCACATTGTTGGGTTCATCCTGCGCCAGCCTTGCTACCGTTATCTTTGTCGTTGTGCTTATTGTGTGCAGTGCCCTGGGCTTCGCCATCTGTGTTCGCGTTCTTGATACGTTGATCATGCTTGTTGTTGGTCTGAATGGTGGTGATGAGCATGGCCATCCGAGCTTTGCGTGTGTGTGTGTGTATTGTTGGCTCGCGGCCATTGCCATATTTCCACTTTGTCTTTGGTGGCCGCCGTTGCATCTGCTTTGAGCTTATAGAACCGAACCGTTGTTATTCGTTCCTTTTTGTTTTGTTTGTTTTAGGTCTTGGTGTTATGGTTATAATTATTGTTCTCACTTCTTCGCGTCATCATAGTTGATAGTACGTACTGTTATTCCTGGTTGAACCAGTATTTCTGGGACGATACATTCGAGGTGTTTTCGCTGCTGGACGATCTGTACCAGCGTCAGGCAAGACACCCTTTTCGTGCACGTTTAGATTCAGCAAGGATTGCCATCGGCGAGTTTGGAGTGTTACGAGAGTTTCATCATGGATCCTGGAGACGGACGCCTTGAAAAACGCCTTCTGTGAACCCATGCGGTAGTCGGATATCCTTTTGGGATGCGATTGCTTGGTCCCCAGGGTTTGGTGTCTTCCCCCCGACGACCCACAAGTCTCAACAAGCGCAGAATGCCCTACGTGCCAAGAACATGTTCCCTGACTGTTTGCTGAAACTCCCATCTAAAGGAATTTTGCTCAAGCCATCTGCGGCGTCTTGGTAGTAATTTCGGGAACACTAATACTCTGAACCCTTAAACCAAAACCCCCAAACCTTAAACCCTATGAAACCCCAAGCCCCAAACCCTAAACTGTTCGTTTGGCTCCGACCACGCGTCCTGAACTCGGACCTGGTTTCCTACTGAGGTAATGATAGCCTTCCATCCTGTCTGTGTGCCTGCGGCATACCTCAGTATCCACATAAATATGTGTATTTCGTATTCTATATCATATATGATGCACTGTATGAAGTGTCTTTCCTTGGACAGGAAGAGGTCAAGCAAACTCCGGTAACACGAGACCTGGATCCACTTCGGGCAATGCTTTGCTTCTTTCCTTTTTGCAGTCGTTCCAAGAAGCCGAGAGAAGCTGGAATTGAAGATGCCATGCATTAGTCGGTGTGGGAGTTTCCGAAAATAGGGGAACCCTAAATAGTAGGATGTGTATATTATAAGGATCCCAAAATAAGGTACCCTAATTTCTGGAAGCTCCCGTATTGCACCCCAGGGAATGGTGACGAGATGTGGAAGAATCGGCAGATGCAGCGGATAGCGGCTTGGTTGCAACGACTTGCACAGGTCCGTTTCCGGTGCTACGTGCGGTTGTCGGGCTGAGGAGCTCTAAGTCTTGAACAAACCCTCAAAACCCCGCATATACGATTCTAATCTAATCAGCTGCCCGCTGACAGGAAGCCACAAGACCTATATAGGTTTTGGATAGCCGCGGCTTGACATTTCGATTGACGGGAGAGAACATGGAGATGCTTATGTGACATGAGCGGAACGGGTTCAAGAATCGGAAATCACCTTCGACCCATGATACTCAAACAGACAGCTTGCCAATCCTGTGCTCTTCGAGCCAGCGATGCCTAGATTTGTTGCATCCTGACTTCATGAACCTTAAACCTATACCCTGAGCTGTTGCAACTAGCTGAGGAGCTGCTACTGACTCCTTTCGCGCCCCGCCTGGTGGTCAGCGCGGCCATCCGCTGCGGCGCGCATGCCCGCGCCCTGCAATTCTTGGAGGAGGATCTCATCGACCAGGTGCATATGCACCTCTAAAGTTTAAACGTCCCTAAAGCTTAACTCCAACACGGCCCAATCAAACCTGCTGGATCGGAGTCGAGTTTAAGGCGCGCAAACAGCAAAAGCTGCCCTGAGGCCCTGCAGCGGCAGCAGAACATCTTCGACACCGAGGGGCCGCGCATCTCGGAGGCAGACTGCGAGCTGCTCCAGAAGATCTACAGCGAGCTGGGCGGCTGGGTCAAACAGTATAAGGGCCTTAATAATTAGACTAGGGTTTTGGGGGCCATTATACTATGCTTATCATAAGGAGTCCCCAAAAAATCGGCAATCGGAGTGATCATGATTTCTGAGATCAGCGCTACCATCCGTAACGTTCCCAATCTACAGCTGGGAGTTGTTGCGCTTTAAAGCCAGGGTTTTCGCGTTCATTCAGAGAGTTTCGGGTTTATCAGCATTCGGGTTCTTTCGGTGTATGGGTTTAGTTGAAGTTGCAGAGACATGGCTTGGGCTTGGGTGCAGGCTTAGGCCTAGGTGCCAGTCTTAATGAGCAGTGTTGTCTTGGCCTCCCAGGGCTCACAAGGGCTTGGAGCTTTTGGCAGGCCAGATCCCCCCGAAACAAACTAATGGCTTTGCCGTCCTACACCGGATCCAAGACCATTTAAATTTAGTGATCTGCACAAGGCTTGCACATAAGCCGCTACACTCTGAACCCCTAAATCCTACACCTGAAAAAGCGCTTTACAGCCGTGAAAACCCTAAAACCCCCAAGCCCTCAGGCTCTCGAAGCTCGAAGCCTTAAGGCCAACACACGCCGTGAGCCCTTCATCCCCAAACCCCCCAAGTGCCCAAAGTAAGCGGCCTAAAACCATACAAGTATCACCCCAAAGCCGATTTCAAGATCACGAGCTCAGCCCACCCCATCTCCCGAGAAACCTCAACCCAAGTTGCGGTCCGACAGGCGACTCCGATGGTGTGGTCGGAGTTCTGCGGGTCGGCCCTGCTAGTGCCAGGACCCGGACCCCCCCCCCAATTGAAAATTGCGGTAGTATATAAATTTCGAGGCACAACCTGTTTTAAGCAGGCTTGTATAGTACAGAGGGTTTTAGCAGGGTCCAGTACCCGGGCTTCTACTTTGCCAGCAGTTTAGTTGCAACTAAGGGCTGTTTCCCAAGTTCCATCTGAAAGGGGTCCGTGAATGAAAATTGCAGAACTGTAGGACTGGAGGTGTGTTTGGTTTTGTTTGGGTTTTAGGATTCCGAAAGCCCGTGCTTCGAGAACATGCTGCAGAAAAATGTCTTCATAGGTTCAGGGTTTCGGGTTTGCTGTTTGGGGCTATCGCTTTGGAAGGGGCCCGAGGGTGTGAAGGTTTACGGGTTTGGGGTTCGAGACAAAAACCCTAAACTTCGTGATATTTCCAGCCTACCCCTCGTTGTAGCTCTCATTCCTAATGAATCCTAAGCGCTCCGGGCTTCTTCATCTTCAGGACACGTCGCCCCGAACTGGAACTTCAAGGGCGCTGGGCCGATGTCCAGGTCCCGTCTCTGTGTCCTCCAGGAAGCCGGATGGCCCCATGTAAATGGGCTCGTGAAAGGGTCTTGCTGTGGATGTAGATTTCTTTAAGTCTTGGCGAGCCTGCGGCACAGGGAGCTCGATCGGAATTGCTGGGGATCTTCGCTAAGCTGCTGAACAAGGGGCAACCATTGCCGTCAATCGTTGACGCGGGCATGCTACAGCTCCAAGCCCGGACCAGGACTCCCGGACACAAGTGCCAGAACTGACGTAGTCGTAAGGCTCCCAAGAAGATCCCGTGAATGGATGTAGCTGTCATTAGCTTCGTCCGGTGCAGCTTCTGGCTTAGTTTGTAAGTTTCCTGGCAACCTATGTAGCCTACAACAAAATACTGCAGCATTTTTGACAGGCCCAGGCCTTAATAACTCTAAAAAGCCAATTTCAAGAAGCCTTAAATGCCCCGCGCCGGAGACCGGCCCAAGGAGGCCCTTTGTTCTTTCCAGGCTTGCTACGAGTTGGCCACGGGCCCCGGCTCGGGCCCCGAGCGAGGGCCGGCGCTGTGTGGCCTCGTGCGCTGTACGCAGGCACGGAGTGAACCGTAGTTCTGTTCTTTGTTCTTCCTGAGGGGTTTTAGAAAAGAGATTAGGACGGTTTAGGGTTTAGGGTATGATTAGGAATGATTCAGGCTATAGGTTTTAGTCGCGAGTGTAATAAGGACTTGTAGCACGGTGATTGGTGTAGATTGACATGGGAAGCTTGGGAGTGCTTCAGACTGGCGCGTTTGAGGGGATGAGCGCTTGGGCTTAGGTCTTAGGCTTTTATATGCCGTAGGGCTTAGGGTATCGAAGGTGCAAGTTGGGGGGGGCTTCGATATGCCCGAAGTTGAAGCCTTGACCGATTGAGTGTAAGTGCCTTCTGCTAGCAACCTTCCGGGAATCACGCATTTTCAGACCATCCTGTAAGCGTCCTTGTTATCTCCGTGGTAGGCTCAGTATGGAATTGGGCCGCAGCAGATCATCCTTATTATGGGCTTCTTGTCTCTTGTCGTTGATGGTGTCCGGGACGGCTTGGCATGTCCATATTGCGAGGCGATGCGCCGTTACGAAAGCTCGTTGCAGCTTATCACTGGCATCCGGCAGGACGGACAGACGGAGCAAGATGCAATGTAGAGCTCGAGGTGGAGGCATGAAAGTGTTATGTAAGAGTAGAGTTTGCGGCGCGAGTTTATGTCTCGCTAGATGCAGCTTGGATCTAGTGGCTACGCATCTGTACATGCAGCTTGGGGGGCTTTGGGGCTGAAGCCTCTGGATGCTGCCTCCAGGAACAGCCCGAACTAGCGCAAACGCTGCGGCCTCACGCTGTCGAGGCTGGGCAGGGTTGGGATGTTTCAAAAAGCAATGTTGCAGCAAGAACAAGAGGAGTAACAAGGAAGAGACCACAATCAGCAATCATAGTGCTGGTAGTAGTGTCACAGCAACAGCGACAACGACGACGACGATACTATGATACTAAGATTCTGTAGCGGTGATAGCAATAACACTATATATATATGTATACATGTATATATATATATATATATGTATATATGTATATATATATATATATGTGTATATATATATATACATATATATATATATATATGTATGTATATAGAAAAAGACAGCAGCAGCAAACATCGTAATACGAGTATCAGTCGGTATAATAATCATGGTTACAGACAGAAACAGCGATAGCTTCATGACAGTAACGATAGCAGACATGTAAATACTGAATAACCGCACGCATTCTCACAATCGTAAGAACACTGTGACCCTTGGCTTCGTGTCGTGGGGTGGCCCTTGAACCCTCGAGGCTGCCTGGCAGCTGGGAAGCTGGGATCGCCTGACGGAAGTCCTCCAGGTAAAGCTTGGGGATGTACTTTAGGGCCTGAATAAATACCTATACTATCTTGGGGTTCCTTAGTAGAATAAAAGTATAATGGGCCTCCAAACCCTATTCTAATTGTGAAGGCCCTATAGTGGGGCTATGGGGTCACATAGCTTTCTTGGCTTATGACTGGTTTGCGTCGGTTCTCTCAGGTTTCCACAGGGCCGGAAGGGCTTGGAGGGATGTTACAGGCCCCGGGAGGATCCAAAAAGTAGATCCCTTAATGGGGGTTCCTATGAAGTACCCTTAGTAGTATAGGGCCCCAAATTAGGGGATCTACTTTCTAGATCCTCCCAGAGCCCCCAGACCTCCGGGGGTCTGGGTTTAGGTCTCCTTGAAGGTTCTTGGGCGGTTGCCAGTAGGCTCATCAGCACATGCGCTTGTGTCATGGCCAATTACAGCGATAGTTACTTCACATATAACCGTATAACCACACTTACTAAACTGCGTTATTTGATGCTTTTCAATGTTTGGGGTTTCGGGTCGCAGGGTGGAATGAATATGATTGGTCTTCTTTTTGTCATCACCAGTCTTCTTGTTGCTGCTTCGTGGTATTATTGTTCTCATTGCTTCTACCAGCTTTCTTATCGTCTCCTGTGTCCTTTCGAGCAGCCTCCAGCTCGACTGTCGATGGGCTTTGAGGTGCCGCCCCCAAAGCCGAAGCTTCACATTACTAGCCCAAGAGCTCTCATGATATCAGCCGGGCTGCAGAAGATCCCTTTAGCCAAACACCTTTCGGTAGACGCTAGGCCCTGTAGCACTGCCCCACCCCCCTCCCCCCTAATCCCATTGGTAGCTGCATTTTGCCAGGAGCCCTCGCCAGAAGGGCCGTGCGACTTCCAGGCACTTGCCGTTCACTCGCGGGGAGGTGACCGAATTATTATCGATAGCTCGTTCAACATGAAGTACGAACCGCGGGTGGCTCCTTGGGACAAGCCTCTCACTAAGTACACAGTCAGCAGCATGGTTGACTTTGCAAACTCGCGCGAAGAGCAAGAATTAATCCTGATGCTATGGTATGGCGAGACTTCAAAGCCTCGTCTAGCGCGCTCTCACTAGTTGCTAGCGGCTGCTAGCGTTATGAGAGGAAAGCACACTTTAAGCCACATGCTAGCTGGGTTCTCCTGCAGGTGAAGCTGGGCAGGGCGGTGCTGGCAGTGCATGAGAGGGACTCTGCAACGCTGTCCACAACACTTCGCGAAACAACGCTGGAGGCCGGCCGGTGTGATGGTGACAGTGACTACCATACGTGTCACCATGACTGCTGCGGTTCTGACCCCCACACACACACACACACACACACGCACATGAGTGCAGTCCCAGGAGCAGCTTCGTGATTCGCAATTGTGGCAACCGCTCGCCTGGGCTTCACGCATCCTTCGAGTGCGATGCTGTCAGCGCACATCCCCTGGTTTGGCATCAAGCGACAGTCTCTCTATTTCAAGGATCATCAGACCTGGAAGCCTATGAGTAAAATGTCAGTTTGGTTGAGGTCGTCAGTCTCTGTGGTCTAGATGCCGTCGTCTGAACCAGCAAAAAGCAGAAAACAGAAAGCAGTAAAACACCACTCTAAACTCAGAGAGAGGTGGCTCGCGCCGCGTCCGCGGCGGCCCGGGAGTCCTACACACGGGCCTACCAGCACCTCCTGCGCTGAAGCCTCGGAAGACGTGGGGAAGGTTGGGCTGGAGAAAGTTTAGGCATTAGGGTTAAAGATCCTGCACCGACGCCTCAGACTCAGAACAGCACGCTTCTGCAAGTCGTCTTTCGCAGGGTGTCGTAAGGTGGAGTCACACCCTGAATTGCGGGCTTCGTAATAAATATAGTATTTGTGTATGTATCTATATAACTGTATTCAGCTTATGTACATTTAGATATCTATCTATCTACCTACCCACCTATCTATCTATCTACCCACCCATCTACCTATCTGTCTAGAGTCTATGTGTATCTATCTATAGCATCTACAGGAAGTTACCCAGGCATGTTTGCCCAGTCACAGGGCTTCTCAACTCTATCTTCGATGTTCTTGCACTGGGCCGGGATCTCGCTCTCTCTCTCTCTCTCTCTCTCTCTCTCTCTCTCTCTCTCTCACTCACTCTCTCAGCCGTGTGTTCCGGCATGAGCATCGCGAGGCATGCGCAGTGTGTAGCAACCGTGCAAGTCAGCTTCGGAGACCTGCTTGGGAGTAGTTTGTTTCAGGGAAATTGAAGACGCGCCATGTTCGCAGTGCTGCGCCGATACAGTTTACATGGCATCTCACAAGCGTCCAAACTTCCCCCCCTCATTGAAGATAGGGCCAGATAGAGGCTCCCGGCACTTTAAAAGAGAACGTTGTGATTGGGGCTTGGTCGCCTGAGGTCCTTCCTAGAGCTGTCACAGGGCTGTAAGGATCAAGGCAATTAGCCAGACTTTCAGACGGCGTGGGTGGTTTGCGGTTCAGAAATTACGCCCTAAAGCCTTAAATCCCTGAACCCTTACACCCCCGAAGCCCGAACCTCCAAAGCATGGATTTCCACAACTTTGGGGTGCGCTGAGGCCTGCACGTGCTCTCCGATATCGACTGGGTAAGCAAGTACCGGGAGGCGGAGCAAATTCGCTTTGGCGAGATATCTTATTGACTTGTTGTTATGGTGTTCTTCGAGTATGAATCCCACTATTTCGGTTCTATATTCGAAGGCTCATAGTGGTGCTACAAGGTAGTCCTTAGTTAGGTTTCTAGCTACATGATTTACATCTATCGTACTTCTTCTGACCCTTTGAGGGACCCTGAAACTTCAGACACGCCTGAGAAGCCTGCGAGTCACTGAATACGCACCGTAAATATGATTGCGATCCTACTCTACAAAAGCCCTGGGAGGCTGTTACTGACGGGATGTACCTTGCGTCGCATTAGGATCTTGACACCGTGTCTCGTGCATTCCTTAAGAACGGCACTTGTGCCGAGGCCCTCAAAGTTTCTTTTTGGGGAGTTGGGTCGTCATTGTTGGAGTGTCGTAAGTTGCGAAGCCTCCGTGGGCAGATGCCAGCATTGCTCCGATCTGGAGTCCTTGGGCTCTCTACACTACACCTTTCATGATTGCTTTTCTGGTTTCGGGTTTAGGGTTCAGCTTTTGGGGTTAGGGTTCAGGCAGATAAGGGCCCGGAATTTCTGACTGGGCCCAGATTCAGGCCCACCCTTCATGAATCCCACAGCCTGCTGCCCACGGCCGCCATGCTTGGAAGGCAACTTGAGCATCGTGTGACAGCCTCGCCCGAAATTTCCAATCTAAGTCCGTCAACCCTCGAACGCTTCAATGTCTAAACCGTCTTGAACCCCTACAAGAGCTCGCGTCGCGCAGGGCCCCAATTCGAAGCCTGGACACGTCGCCAAGAATCTTCTCGCCCGCTGCGTGCCGAGCCCAAAGATTCAATGGAGTTTCTACATGCAACTTCCTGCAGTGGGTGGTTTGAAAACCCGCGCATAAAGTACTAGTAGCAAAGACAGATAGCAGCTTCGATGGTGAACAACAAGATGGCCATCATCATCAACAGGAGCAAGGGGCATGATCGAAGAATCGCGCAAAGACTGATGTCTGCCGACCATGACAATGGTATGAAAAGCAGAACAACTGAGCGTGAACATCCTCCAATTAGGGAGGCAGAGTGGTCCAAACGTAGGTTTCTGATTCAGAATGACCTCTTTGCGTGTCATGTATTGGTTTTGCAGAAGCTGGCAGTTGGATCTTGTTGTCCTTCCGCCGAGGATATCACGACGCCCTCGTTCTCTGTGCGGCAGACACTCCTGAGACCCCTCAGCGTTCTCCTCCAGGAGGGGTGCGTAAGTGAAGGTCGGCCACGACATGTCTCAACGAAAAAAGGATATGCAAAGACGTGTGCTTTGCTGTAATGTGCCCGTTCAGGACCTGAAGCTGAAGGAGGATGCGAAAACACTGGAGTTGGCCTTCGCTCGCCTCTGCCTCTCGTCCACCTGTTTCGTTTTGCGTGAGCATAGAAAGCGACGTGCAGCTCCTTGGAGTGTGACCTAGAGTTCGTCTCGATATGTTCTGCGCCAAGTCTGAGGCCGGAAGCACAAGGAGCACATCTCCATGGAGCATCCCGACACCAGTGCCCACCTTAGAGCGCTCAGGGCGTCCAAGTTCGTTGTCAAGTTGCTTCTTGTCCGGAGGTTTTCAAGGAACCTCGGAAGGGCTGCGGCGAGCTGCCCAGATTGAGTGGGGCAAGTGACGTGGCCGCAGGACGTGCCAACAGGGTCGCCGACGTGAGTATGATCGGCTGGCTCTTGCTTTGCTTTTTCCTGTTCACGTGGCTAGTTCTTGGAATATTTGAGCAGGCTCTTCCTGCTGTAGCATACTTAGTCGTGAGTACCTTCATGTTCAAGGGTTCTCTCCGTGTCGGTAGGTGAACCCCAAACTCCCAAAGCCGAGGATCCTCTATGCCAGCGGGGCCCGCACTGATGCCCTTCGCCACACGCCGCTCGGCAGAACTGATTACCCTACACCCAAATCCCTAACCGGTCCTAAACCCTGGGCTCTGCAAGGGTTTCGGCTAAGGTGAGGGTTCTTCAATATCAAGGCCTTGGTGTTCAGGGTGTTCTGGATGTCCGGGCCCACACCCAAATGAGGCGACTTTGGGCGCAGCACGATGCGAAAGCTCGGTTGTTGGGGACTCGTTGGGCACGCAACTCAGTGTGCGCTCGACATGAAGGTCTAGGTTTCCAGATTCATGGCTTTGGATTCTATGAACTTGTGAATTTGGTTTCAGGGTCTATGCTGTTCGGATTTGGGTTTTTTGCGACTTTTAGGTTTCAGGGCCTGGGGTATAATAGAAGTGTTAGCGGCGCAGAGTGATCTGACATGTTCGGGTCTTAGGGCTTGGGGGTGAGAGTCTCGAGGAGTTTAAGGTTTCACGCGTGTCAGACCCAGGATTCTGGAGTTAAGATTTGCCAGAGAACCAAAACCGACAATTTTCGCTCCCCTTTTTTTCCCGGGCTCGTGGCATCCGAAGATGCTGCGGCTCAGAAGCTCAAGCTGCACCGGTTGGAAGCACCACTAAATACACTAAATGCATCGTCCCAAACAAACACTTGGAGTGCCAAGAACAGCAGTCTCGCACAATCCCCAAAATATTGTAACATGCCCCAGCATCGTAGACAAATCATTTGGACCTGTTTTTACCGCCGGGAACCCTCAAAGCCACAACCGAGAGCCCAGAAAACAAGTGCTTCAACTCTTTCGGTGGAAGGCCCTTGCCGCTCTACTTGCCGACGCTGTTCTTGGCTCCCCCCCCCGATATTGAGGTCTGAGCAATTGCCAGTACTGTTCCTCAGGGTTCCTTTACAACAGGGTTGTCATATCTGAGTTCCAGTCCAATATACTTCGAAACCCTTTCATTCTGTTCTACTTATCAAAGCTCCGAAATTTCAATTCTAACTCTCAAGTCCCAACGCCTACAACCCTACACCGTAAACACCCCAAACCCAATGCCCCGAAAGCCCCCCCAAACCCTACAACCCTTGAACCCTAAAGCCCTAAACTCTACACCCCACAATCCTAAAGCCCTAAAACCCTACAACCCCTATAAACCCCAACCCTGTAACTAACCCCTGCAGCTCGAAAGCCTTCCAACCAAGGCCTCGGATGCCCTGCTGTTGCTCCCCAAGGTCGCCGAGGTGGAGTTCCAGGAGGCTCGGAAACAGGGCTTTTAGGGTTTTCGGATTTTATGGTTTTTTGGGGTGTAGGGCTTTAGGGTTTTAGGTTTTAGGGTTTAGGGTTATAGGGGGTGTAGGGTTTTAGGGTTTTAGGGTTTAGGTAGGGGGTGGAGGGGTTTAGGGTTTAGGGTTTTCGGGCTTTAGGGGATTAGGGCTGTAGGGTTGTAGCATTTGGGGGGAATGGGGGTTCATGGAATTTTGGAGGTGTTTGATTAGGGTTGTTATAGGGTTGTACATAGGGGGCCCTTACAAAAAGGGTTGGGGTGATATACTCGGTACGCATTTGTATTAGTAGGCCAGGATTGTAAGGATATATATGAGAGGCGTACGGCATTGCTACTCAATCAGGGTTCTACAGCACTTCGTGGCTCGGAGCTACTATGCGGGGTTCGAAAGGGTCTTCTGGCTTGAAAATTTAGGGGTCCACGGGCTTAGGTCCCAGGAGCTGGAGCGGAAAAGCCTTAGCTAGGGATGTATGCCATTGAGGGGTCTTCTTCCCTGAAGCAGCCGAAGCCCCTAACCCCTAAACCCTCCCCCCTACATCTCAAAAACCTCCTGAAACACCGCCTTAGAGCCGTGTGACACACGGAGGCTAAGGAGCAGCTTCGGGACTCGGAGGCCTGGGGGGATGCAGCATCCGCAGCTGTTTTGTTTGGGAGGGGGGGACGGGGCGATGGAACTTCGGCAACAAGTTGAGAAATGGGATCTTAGAGGGTGCTTAAGAGGGTTTGGGGGCTCAGGGTTTGGCAATGGGAGTTTGTCGAAGTTTAGGGTGCCTTTGTGGTTCAGGGGAAACCAATTCCACAACCGTTTAGGCCGTAGGCCCGAACTGGGTGTGTGGTCAATGTTGAGTGTTCCGGATGGTTGAGTCTGGGATTTAGGGCTTATAAAGGCTTAGGTATGTAGAAAACATGCCATGAGTCATGCGCACCGTCACGAAGCGAGACGTGCAAGCCTTGAACCCTAAACCCGAGGCCGCGTACTTCTACCACGCCTCATATCTCGACGGTCTGCTGAAGGGGCAGATCAGCGAAGCCGAAGCCAAAGCGCCCCGAAACGAGCCGCGCCCTCAGGGGGCCAAGGGTTGCAAGCGCAAGTAAGCTGGGATGAGCTAACTTACTTCGTTTTGAGATAATGGATAATTCTTTTGACAGGTGTTCTGCATGAGCTGGTTCTCTACAACAATTCAGGTGGTGCGGCGTTGGGGTTTCGGGTTAGATGAAAACGCAGGCAAGGTCCTTAATTTCCGATTTTGGGCTCTCCAGACTGTCTGTTCTGGTACCAGAAAGGCTTGAATAGTAAGTGCTGGTGTCGATTTTTATTCCCCACAGGACTAGGAAAACGACAACGTTTCCCAAAAGGCCAGGCCACTCATTAAGACCCGCATGCATGGCCTTCGGAAAGGTTTACGCCTTGAGAGCACACACTGTCGGAGCTGAGGAATTGCCCTTTCGATCGCAAGAACCTGGTGACCTTCACGATTCGCGGATACCTCCAGGCGCTGCAGAGAGGAACAAAGCGCGATTCGGCCGCAAGAAACCTCAAGGGCCTGGGCCCATCCAAGACCCAAAGCCCGACGCCTACTGAGCAGTCCTACACCCGAACCCCTCATGAACCCCCCAAGCCTTAGCCGCGTGGTTGCAAGGAGTCCACTTTATTCTCAACCGCGTCCTGCAGCTCGCTTGGGAGTGCTGCGAGGCCTTCGGAAACAGAGAGATAAAGAAATACACCAGCAGACTAGCAGCGTCTCTTCCTTTGTGGATCAACGTGCATGCGCAGTATTTTGTTTTGTGGTCATTGACTCGGTCAGCCAGGCAGCGGCTAAGGCTCGGTCGTTATGTCAAGGATGCAAGTTCGGTGAAGTGCTGCGCTACAACTGCCCTGCACGTAAACTTACCAGTAAGCACGCAGAAAGCACTAATGCAATCTGGTATCGCAACAGGCACACGTGCATGCGACTGTAGGAAGGTATGTATGCATGTAGTAGATATGTGTTGTAAGTATGTAGCTATGTAGGTATGTCGGTATGTAGGTTGGCAGGTGTGCAGGCAGTCTGTATGGATGGATGTATGTGTGCTTCGGGGAGGTAGAACAGAAGGCAGGACGCCCAGTAAAGGGCTGTACAGGGAGTTTTCTGGCTTCCCACTCCCCCAGCAACTCACGAAGACAGGTGGACTTCTACAAGGGCGACGTGAACTCAGAGCTCGCAAGCGAGGCCTCGTGGGCCAAAGCCTTTGGGGCTTTTGGGATTTAGAGCTCAGGGTTTCGTCCGTTGCTCCTGCGAAGGGGAGACGGCTGATGCCATGGATGTGGTACACCGTGTTGTCCCAGCTCATCAGCCGTGCGCTTCATCCAGACATGCGGTGCTTCACCTGCATGGAAAGCTTCAGGGGTTTTGGGGTTTGGGAGTTCGGGCTAGTGGATCGGATTCTGTAGCGGCGAGTGTGGCAGAGCTGTGGGACGCAGTTGGAAGAGCCTACTTTTCAGAGAACGCTGACAGCTCTTCAGTCTTATATCCGGTTGTGAGAAAGGAATGCTTGCAGTTATTCTTGTTGCTAGTCACACGCCCAAGAGCAGTAGTGCAGCATCGGCACTGTCATGATAATTAATTGCTGCTACGGCTACTACGTCTTCCTACTGTCCTGTAAACCTTAGCCTCACAACCCTAAGCCTAGAAGACAGAGCCTTCCAAATATCCGGTTGTGAGAAAGGAATGCTTGCAGTTATTCTTGTTGCTAGTCACACGCCCAAGAGCAGTAGTGCAGCATCGGCACTGTCATGATAATTAATTGCTGCTACGGCTACTACGTCTTCCTACTGTCCTGTAAACCTTAGCCTCACAACCCTAAGCCTAGAAGACAGAGCCTTCCAAAAACGGCTGAGCCCTAAACCTCGCAATGCCAAGCAGTGCTTCAAGAAAGGCCGGCAACACCACTTAGAACTGCCTCCCGAAAGAACCCTCGCGGAGCCCGTTTTTTGAAACCCTTACGGTATTCCAAGAGAACCCGTTTGTAGCATCCCGTATACAGTAACTTTCCTGGTAACCCTGATAGAAGCCCGAATGACAGCGCATGGCCTTGTCTCAGGCAGGTCTTCCGAGCGCCTTGGCACTTTACTATACAGCTGAGCGCCTGTTTGTATGGAGGGGCTTTACGCAGTTCAGGGGTGTAGGGTTTGGTAGAATTGATGTAGGGCTTTAGGGTTCAGGCTCGCTTCTTTTGTGATCGGTGCTAGACAATTCGATAATGGGTATTCAGGTGCGCAGCTCCAAGCGGTGGACACTGTCGTTTCGTTCTGTTCTGGGAAGGGGCCATCGAGCAGAAGCTGATGCATGTCCTGTGCCGGAGTCGGTCGGATTGGAGAGCTCGTTTGAACAGATCGCGACACATCTTGACACCTTGTTGTTGGTTGGGCACAACTAGATGTTGTTCCCATGCCAAACGCTCGATTTAGACTGGCTTGCGTTTCCGATGGCCGTGTACTCTCGATGCGCTGGGGCATGTTGAAACGACGAATGGATGCTCACAACACCCGAAAAGCTCGTCGTGGCTCAGGCACGCTGAATGCCGTCAAGAACTAGAGCATCATCTTCAGCCGTGACACCCCACTGACAACCCTTAACCAAAAGACCTTGAAGCAGGGCTTAAAGGCTTAAAGTAACAAGCTCCGCACACCTTCAACCGCGAAGACCGCCCTGGACCCTAAAACTCTGAGCCCCTTGCAAACCCCGGAGCCCTGGCTCAACTCCAAGAAAACCCTAGAAGCCTTGTGGAGCCTTTAGTCGGAGCTTCGAAGCTCAGGAGATCATCAAGTCCGTCGTGGTGTCCTTCCCGGACCCGGCGGGTTGGCATCTGATGCAGCTCCTGAAGTCTGCTCCCTGACCCGATTGAACTGTCTTCAGAGCTTCCAGAGAGCCTTTGGGGCGTCGGCGAAGGCTAAATCGGGTCTGAAGGTTCGGCGTTGGTGAAGAGAGAAGGGAGGCCCTTCGGGTTTGTGGTTGTGGCGGCTTAAAGCGGGTATTTTAGGGTTTCTGGTTGAGCCGCACAGCGTTGAGTGTCAGAGCCCAGGGGTTTGAGATCCCCTTGATGCGGAGCCCTATCCTCCAGTGGTGTTGAGTTCTTCGGTGTGCAAGTGACTCGTCCAACTGAGGATGACAAAGTCCACCAGCAGCTTGGGAAGGAGCTGCGATGTTGTCCCGAAGAGTACCCGAGTATCCAAAACCCTGAGCCTCAAAAACTTCCACTGTAACAACAAGCTTGACCCTGAAAACAGAAGTCCCGACTTCTGGACGCGAGCGCTTTTGTGGTCTCGCGGGCTCTGCTCAGTGGGGTTTGTGCGATGACCGCCTTGGTATGCTGTGGGAGGCTGAGACATCAGCCTTTGGATAGCTTTTCGAGGGGGGGAGGCTGAGCCTTGACGGTGCAGGAGCTGCTGAGCGACGTCGGAAGGCCCTGTTCCCTGTTGCAGTGTGGGCTTCGGTCGGCTTTTGTAGCACCAAAAGCCTTGAGATCCGAAGCCTCGGCATAGGCTGTAAAAGCCGCAATCCGAAGCCTGGGAGCCGATCCCTCTCCAGGCAAGACCGAGAGCTGCACACCTTGTTCGCTCAGCGAACCCGCATTGCCGAGGCCGAGACTGCGACTGCTTAAGCTTTCAGCAACACTATGCACTACTCACTACTCTCTCACTACACTGCCCTACTCTAGTCATACACTACACTGTGCCAGTGCCAGACTAAAGAACGTCCAGCCTGAGCCCTCAACCCTGACTTGGGGTTGTTCCTGAACCCGAAGCTTTCGACCCCAAAACCCCAGAGCCTAAACTAAAGTAGCTCAAGCTCAAGACCCCAAGGCCCTGAAACCTCGTGGCGCCATGCCAGGACTTGATCTCCCTGGCGAACTCCAACGGCCAGGACGTCTCGGACCCAAGTACACCTTCTTTGCTCTCAGGGTCTTTGTTGTTTGACAAACTCAGGGGAATATTGATGAAATATAAAAGAGCTTGGGAGTCTCTGTCTATGCGTCAGTAGGCAAACCTTACCTTGCGGGGGCTTCCTATGTTTGGTGTATGATAGAAAGCTGTAAGCAGACTGTTGAGGATCTGGTCTGTGCGGAGCCCTACGGCCGAACCCTAGACCTTGGGTCAGGTTCCAGGTTTTCCACAAAACAGCTTTTGCACAAGATGCGAGTTCAAAGTAGGGTATATGCATTCATGATGGAGACGAGCACTTGTCAGTCAAAAATGGATGCACGGTCGCGTTGTGCCTTCCACCTCAAACTCCGAACATGACGGACCGGGCCAACACTCCCCCGAGCCACCAACCCGAAACTACCACACGACCAGACCCCATCGACTCCAAGAGCCCGACAGAGTTTCAACACAGAAACCCCAAAGGCTTCAAAAGCAGAAACAGCACCCAAAGTTCTGAGGTTCTGAGGCTTTCCAAAACATTTCCGCGGCTGGCCGGAGTGCAGTCCTCCAGGTGCAAGAAGCCAGGGCTATTAGGCTATTATAGTTATAGGGGTCGGAAGAACTAGTATCGTTGTTCCTTGCAGTTCCTACCTCTGATCCTACGATTAAAAAAACCCTGTCCGAAGTGTGAAGGCCTCAAGTTTAGTGCACTTCGTGGCCGAAGCTTAATTTGGGGGGGGCATTCTACGGTTTGGGTTCAGGGTTCTGAGGATCAAAATTGGGCTTGGGTTGTTTGGATGACGATGGCAGGGCCCCTTGAGCCGGGGGGGGGGGGGGGGGGGCTGAGGCAGGCACGATCAGAAGAGCATCACAACACCAGTAGCTATCTGGTTCATAAGAGAAATCAGAATCATGATTCCGGCAGCATTGAAATCATCGGAGGCGCATTACCAAAAATGAGGACAGGAAATGTGAATCGTCGTTTGGAGCACCCCGGCGGCAAGGGTGCGAAGGCCCCTGTGTCGTACATGGGTCCAGAGCCGATGCTTCCATGAAGCCGAAGACCTCTAAACCCCTAAACCCCGAAACCCCGAAACCCTAAAGATACCTCTAAACCTTTCTAAACCCCTAAACCCTAAAGATTTGCCTCTAAACCCAAAACCCGTCATCTGCTACGGTGGAAGGAGTGAAAAGTGGAGGGTGCTCGTCCCACTGCAGTCGCAGATGACCGCGACCATCCCGAGGTGCGACTTTGGGGAATTGGTTTCGCGAGATTTACGAGATTTCATGGAGGACTTGGCTCAGTTTGTTTTTCGTTCTCGGTTCGGGATACCGACGAAGCACAGAAGCCTAATGCCGCAAGCAGTTGAGTGGTTCGGGTAGCATGGTTTGGAGACCCTAGGTATGAAACACGCTTCAGGAGCACTCCGGATAGCTAAACCACCCGAACTTAAGCCTTTGCCCAAAAAACCGAAGCCCCAAGACTGAAAAACTTCTAAACCTAAACCTGAGACTCTAAACCTGAACCCTAAACCCTGAGCCCTAAACCCTAAGAGCACCAAACCCTTATTGAGGATGAACTCCGCCGAGCAGCTCCGCTTGGCGAAGCCGCGGGGCTTCTTCCCGGAGGCCATCCTTACTGAGAGGCCGCCGAGGGAGGGGGCCTGTTGTTCGTGTTTTGCAGGGTTTAGGTGTTTGGGGGGGGGGGGGGGGGGGGGCATGTTTTGGCTTTGGGTTGCGGGGTTTGGGACTTGAGGTTGTGGGGTTGTGAAAATCTGGGTCTCCCTAACGTTCACACTCCTAAGCCTACAGAGTCCAATATGCCACTTAGTCCGTTTTGCGACCCACAACCCCTGCCGCCAGATTGCGAGTGCTGTGTGCTCAGTGCAAAGACTCAGCTGGATTGTCAGGTGCCTCGAGCACGTGGAAGTCTTCCGTTCCAAGGAGCTGAGTCTTGAGCAGCTTCTGAAGGGATGTTGCAGCAGTCTGCACGCTTAAGCCGCCATAGTGCGCCAAAGAATTATGCAAACTTCGATGAAAGCCAGCAAAACCTCCGAAACTCTCAGCACACTGAGCGACCCTGGAAGGGCCCTCAGGCCCTGGGTACTTGCACGGCGCTGACAGGTTCCATCGACGCTTGCAGCCTGTCTTGTTTGAGTTCCAACTCTGACCCTCAGCCTGCACCCTTCTAACCACCAAGCTTAAAGGGTTCTGCACGAAACTTTCTCCCTGCAGCGTACAAGCTCCAAGGTTTGTTCGAGATGTACTGCATGTCTATCCCTTAGAGCTCTGGACGTACATACTGTTCTCCCTTCGCCTACAGTAGCACTTATCGTTCAGGATTGTTTGTTGAACTCCTTAAGCTACTCTCGATCCGCCGGTTGCAGGAGAAGCCAAAGAAGTTGACTTTCCTTGGCAGCGACGGTCAGCGGCTGGGCTGCAGAGTTCAAGTAGTACTCCACGTCCACGATCTGTTGACGGCGAGCCCTCTTTGTAAAGGTGTTTGCAAACCCACGAAGTACATGGGATAGGTTTTTTGTACTCGATAGGATTATTGATTGAAAGGTCGGGAGGGGACTTGGTAAGATGGTTACTAGCAAGTTATTCATGATGGCTTACAGTGTAACTTACAGCCCCATGCAAGTGACTACCCTGCGTACAAGCACCTATGTGAACCTCCAAGTACCCTTACCATTGACCGGGGCTTCAGCAGCTCCCTTAAGTAAGGAGATATAGTGACCTCGAATTGCAACTAGTATCCTGCAACAGCTTGGGGCACCCGTTCGTTGCGTAGCCATTCGTCTGCAGCTCGCCCCAGCAGCCTACAACTCCCAGACCCTTTAAGGAATGAATACTCCCGAACCTTGTCAGAAAGGATCCATATGTGGGACGGGAATCTCTGAAAGTTGCATCGGTAATGAACTCGAGATTGAGCCAAGCGGATGAGTGCTGATGAACACAATCCGGCCCTTGGAGTTAGATGTTACGGGTGTGCAGTTTACGGCTCAGGGGTTGGGGGGTGTAAGGGTGCAGGGGTTTGGGTTTACGAAGTTCATTAATGAGTATCGTGGGAAACTATTCTTTGTTTGTAGACTATGTGCTCGAAGATCCGGGCCTTGAATCAACAACCGAGTTGTGTTTGTTGAATCCGAGGCAGTATCCCTTCCTCTGCAAGGCAGAGAAGCGCGGCGACTTGCGGAAGGCCTGAGACGAGAGACAAGCAAGAAAGGAGCAAGTCAATGAGGTGCAAATAGGAGTTTCCGAAAATAGGCGACCCTAGTATAATACCCTACATAGTAGGGTCCTTCTTATAAGAGCCCCAAAATAAGTTTCCCCTAATATTCGGAAACTCCCAAATCGAGCGCATGCTAGTACAGCAAAACACGCTTTAACTGCACATGCCGTGCGAACTAAAGTCTTGATGGTTTGGGAGTCGGGTCGGGGTTGGGTTTGGGTGATCGGCTTTGAAGGTTTTGGGCTGATGTGTTGGGTTTGGCATTTAAGGGCCGTTTTAAGGGTTTAGCCTTGCATTCGGCAGTAGGGTGTGGGATCTAGGTGTCACGGCTTCAGGTATACCCTTTTTCAAGCGCCTTAAACCCTACACCCCATCGTTCATAGGCTATAGAAACTATAGAACCCGTTCAAGTGATTCTTATGGAACCCCTTACAGGAACCCAGAAGCCCTAAACCACTGAAGCGGCCCAACCCGGCCCCAGAACAGCTCGAGGACTCTCGCTTGATGGAGTTTGCTGTGATGGTAAACCAGCTCCTGGCCAAGAGCCCGGTGGCGTGGCCTGCTCTAGGGATTAGTATTTAGGGTTTAGGGGCTTATAAGGTTGTGGAGGTATAAACCTTCAAACCCCGCAGAAATGCAAGAAGGGTTGCTTGTTGAGATTTTGTTCTTTGACTCAAGGTCTCGTCATTTTTTGCTGCTTGTTAAGATGATGGTGTTAAGGCCTGGTTTTCCAGGCCTTTGACAGGAAATGTCCAGGGGTCTATCCTTTGAGGTCTCTCTTCTGCATCGTGGCTGTTTCAAACTGTATGAGTTTCATGGTTTTTACGAGGTTTCGCTTCCAGGATTTGCAGGGGGAAGTCGTATATTAGAGGTCCTGGGCCTGCTTCTGCTTCCTTGCAACAAGGATCCTGTCCTGTAAGCGTCTCTACGACGGGCCCCTTTTTTGCTGAAACTCCCGTTGGCTTCTGACTTGTTGTAGCCGGTCAGCCAACAAGCATATCTGTGTGTGTCTCGCTGTGTGCTCATACTCTCATGCACCACCTGCATCTATGCTTACATGTGCTTGTTTCTTTGTTCAGTTCGTGGGTTTGTTTGTTTGAGTGAGTGAGTGAGTCAGTGATGGGTTCGGTTTTACATACTGCTGTACATGGCATAGATCTTAAACCCCAAATCGTCCGATCTTTCAGGTGCCTAATCCTGGGGTTTAGGCTTCGCCAGACCTTCGATATTTAACCTTTAACCCTAAAGCCTTCAGGACATCCCATCCCCTACAGCCGCAAGCCTGTCATACCTAAGCCCTAGGCCCTAGCCTCTTGAAAGCTGGTCCTGGGGGGGGTGAGGATGCAAATCGGCGGAACCTGGAAGTCCGGACGTTTCAGGCCGGGTCGCTTCTGGGCCTTTTGTGCGGTTGCTTTCGGGCTTTGGGGTGTGCCTTTGTTAAAAGCCACTTGAGTGGCTTCCGGGGCATGTTTTCGTCTGGACCTGGGTTTTGATGGGCTTCAGCGGTTCAGAGCTTCTGAATTCAGGCCTTGCAACTTTAGGGTTTCACGCTTGAGGCGTTTATTTGTGTTCTGGCTGTTCGGGCTTCCGTTTCGTGTAGGGTATCGGGGTCTTCGCATCAGAGACTTCAATATTTCGAATGAACCTTGGAGCCTCCTCCTCCCCCGGCTCTAGGTCTCCGTCGGTGCGACACCTCGGAGCGACCTCGAACCCTGACCCCACTCTCCACGCACTCAGCCCCCCCCCGCAACTCAGGTCTTAGTCTTTGTACAGTGCGCAGAGCATCTGCCTGACCTGACGAAACTGAAACCGAGTAATCCCGTAACCCCCAGCCCCAAGCCCCAAATGCCTACTGTACGGTTTGGGAATGTTCGGAACCCTGACAGCCTGAGACTCCGAAGACTCAGAAGTCTCTAAAGCCTTGAAGGTGGTGATTCTCTCGGAGAAGTGTGGCCTCATCGAGTGGGTCCCCAACACCAAGGGCCTGCGCCCCGAGCTTAGCCTCGACACACCCACGAAACCCCGAGCTCCCTACGTTTCGCTTCTTTTTTTTGGAAGGGAGGGCCGGGAGGGGGAGGAGGGGTGGCCTTTTCAAAGCTTCTTCAGGGGTTTTCTACACAGAGGCTTTCGTGGAGCGCCTTGATGAGCCATAGAGATTGCTTGAACTTCGCGATTTTTGTATTATAGTCCCTGTGCGGGTGGACAAGTATCCGCCCATTACAAAAGAGACAAATCGAAGCCCCACACACCCGAAGCAAGGAAGCCGCCAGTTCTTCTCGGGACCCTTGAGGTTCCACGTAAGGGTACCATGATGCTACACCTGGTCAGCGTTGCAATATATGACTCTGTGATTGTCGCAGTTCGCTTACAGTCTTTTGTAGTCCACCCGCACATGCCAGCAATGACTTTTAGTCACCGCGTGTCCAGATACAGAAGCTCCCAGCCTTCAACTGCGAAGTCCAGTGTTTGGCAGCAGGTCCCCTCATCGACGACCTGTGGAAGGGGAGGAAGAACCCGCGGCAGACCCTCAACGAGGTGAAGGAAATCCTCGATCGGAGCAAGGACCCTTCGGGCTGCACTGCTGCGGGGCCTTACAGCCTTACAGGGTTTGGGGTTGACCCCTCTATTATTTGCCGATAATCATCATCGGCCATGTGGCTCCCCTTCTCAACGCTTTCTTGATGCTGGGAGCATGGTGCCGTCTTCTCAGCGTACCATCTGACACTGATGCCTATGTTTTTGCAAACAGACGCCTTTCATGTACTGATGTAAGCGCGTTTGTGTGATTGCCACTAGCCTCGCAGGACGTTTACGAGACCTTCATTCGACAGGTGGTGCCGCGAAATCCGCCGATCCTTCACAGGCGCCTTCAGCTCCGGTTGAGCCCCTAAAACTAAACTCCCCGAGCCTTATTGCCCGCTTTGGAGCTTCCGGCTGCTCTGCTAAGCTCGTGCGTCCTTGGGTTTAGCTCTGCGGCCTGCCTATCCTGGGCTTGGTCGAAAATCATCGGCTTCGGCTATCAGGAGCCTCCCAGGTCGAACACAATAGCCAAATTCCCAAAAACTGTGGGTCAGAATTCTGGATAAACTAAAGCAGGAGGAATTCTGCGAGCGACTTAGACCTAGTCGGTTTTGCGGCAAGTTCTTACATATTAGTAATTTAGGCTTACATGAAGCTTTCAATCTTCAACCCCGGGCCACAAAAACTTTAAGTGAGCTTTGCTGAGGAGGCCTCTGTCCATTTTTTGCTAGAAGGCACCGCATTTGTTCGAGCATTGCGCTCTAGGCTTTCTGCTTTCAGCTGGCGAGCAAGACATTTGATTGCGGTTCTTTGCACCTACACTGGGCAGAGACACTTCTATCCTCTAAACGCTTACCCTGAATCCTAAACCGCAGACCCGAAACCCCTAAATCCCCGAAAGCCTAAAGCCAGCCTCAAACTCTCAATCGCTAGGCCCTAACTGCTTTCAGGTGGTTTGCTCGATCGGGAGACCCTTCGGCATGGCTGGCCAAGAGGACCCTCTTCAGCCAGTCTCAGGCGGGGCACGGAGGGTTCGGCTGTAAGGGAGCCGGGCAGTTCGGGCTTGCAGACGGGCTTTGGGGGGTTGTGGGGGTTGGTTAGATTAAGCGACGGCACAACATCCAGGGCTTGCTTCATGAGGGCCAGGGACACCCGCAATTACTCCCCGAAAGCTTCAACTGCTCTCGAGAGCCTGCAAGGCCCTCTGGTGCATGCTGGGATACCTCGTGGGCCTTGGGGATCGCCACGGCGAGAATATCCTGCTGGATACCGAGTCGGGGAGGCCGGCCGTGACAATGTCTCGGGTGCTCTAGAATTAATGGCGAGGACGACTGCAGTGCTGTCTTCTGTCTTTCTTGGGCAAGAAGCATTCGTGGCGTATTTCGCCATAGATGCGCACCTCGAAAGTCGGCTCTGGCAGTGCCGAGATTTTGAAAGTTTATGGTTCTCCCAGTTTCGCTCCCCAAGAGCACTGTTGAAAGCATGCGCATCATTGTGGTTCGCACCCCCAATCTAAAGCTTGCTGTTGTTATCATGCTCTTGCTCAAGAGACCCCCCCCACCTTAGAGTGTATACGGAGGTGGGGTGTGGTCGAGCCACAGATATACATTACTCTCGTTGTTAATCCTTACAGTATGTGCGTGGCCCGCTATGTATAAGTCCTTCTTCTGAGAATCGAACAAACGTATTTGGCTCGGCTCGAAATCAGCGTGAGGCGAGCCTCAGCCGAGCCTGATCCAACTATAGATATGCTTGCTGTCGTGAACCTTGAATCGCAGCAGCATTCGGAAATGATTTACGGTGTTCCTCTGGTGATCCCACAAGCGGTGCTCCCGAAACGCACCAGTGGTGAGAAGTATTTTCTGACTATTTGGAGGAAAAGTGCAACATTCGGGTGTCGTTCCGCATGCGCCTGTCTCTTGCTGCTGCTGCAGTACTGTGGCGATCTTGAGGAAGAAGATGAGAATAAGAGGATGCGATAACAAAGACTCTGCTGTTGCTCGCAGCCGCAGTTTATGCCCGAAAGGATGGTCCACGTTGACTTCGACTGCCTCTTCGGGAAAGGCGGGACTTCTGTTTCAGGGTTCCCGGCTCCTGTAAATGAATACCGGCGACAACTCGACTCTACAATTCATCCTGAATTCCTGCGCCTCCAGGGTGTGAGGCCAGCCCAAGCACCCAGGCACCCTCATGTAACGAAAAACCTGAAGGCTTGTGATGTCCACTCGATTTCTGGTACTTGGTTTTCCGGACAGGCATGCTCCTGGAGAAGCCGGAAATGGTCCCCTTCCGGTTGACGCAAAACTGCGTTGCCGTCGGCGTCCCGGGAGTGATCCTTGCAAGACCAGGGCTTCAGCTCGACAGTAACTGTGAGGATTTCTTCAGGGTGTTTTAGCGCAAGTCAATCATGATGCTCGAGCTGCCGATTATGATGTTGGCACTGACACTGATACCCGTGCCTTGTATCAAGAACGAGTGATTTGATTGTATCTAGAGTCGTAAGCATCGTTCTGTCATCATGACAATCATCATCATCATCATCATCACGATCATCATCAGTGAAAGCAAAACTAAAGGGTCGTCATCATCATCGCTTTCACGTTCTTTCAGTGATTCAGGTATGGACTGCCGTTGAAAATGATGAGCACACCCAAAAAGGGGCATGGCGAGCTTTGCCAAGGCGATGGGCGTCACCGGGGTCGAAGGCACCTTCCGCCAATGCTGCGAAGTGACCATGGAGGCGCCTGGCTCATTCCCGAAGGGCCGAGTCTTGGTTTCATTTGAGCTGTTGTCAAGATTCGGTATATGTGGGCCTCACTAAGGAGGGACCCAGAATCCAATCCTAAGTACTGTTGACAGTACCTCACCTGGCATTGCTTGGCATGTGAACTTGTATTCTGTTATGCAGTCTATGGCATATGATTCAATCAACATGCGACGTTTGGCGGATTCACAGTTTCACAGCGCTTCCGTGTCATCTTTATGCCCCGCGACCCTTTCCGAGACGGGCTTACAGCAGGAACTTGACCCTGTCATGCATTCCAGGCTGTCGCACGCCTTGCTGCCATGCCACCACGATATTGGATTCACGTGTCTCGGTATCTGTGCAGGTGCTGCGTGACCGGGCGAACACCCAGACGTTGTTGTCCGTGCTTCACGCCGCGGCCCTGGATTTGCTACATAACTTCGCGCGGCTTAGGTTAGAGCTGAGATCAGGCCTGCTTAGCCAAGTTTAGCCTTTCCATGTTAGGGGGTGCTGAGTTGCAGATCCCGGGAGTGCATACACAACCGGAGATCGTAGATATGGGGTTCAGACCTCATGGATCCTGAAAGAACTGCAAATATTAGCGGATCTACTCTTCCCACTGCTCTATGTTATGAACATATCTGAAGCTGGTGTAACATCAACATCGAACGTAAAGTGTAATCAGTGTAGTCTAATCCCAGCGAATCGAGTCTAATCTAATCCAATGCGAAGGAATGCGATCTACCCCAGAATCTGGTACAACCTCAGAGACTCAATCCTCATTCTTATACAATGTGACACAGTATATTATTACAATAACATAGACTTTATTGACATACTTATGTATAGAAATTTATCTACATACGTACATATACACAAACGTATACATACATACATACATACATACATACATACATGCATATATATATATATATGAATCGATACACATATACGTGTAGACAATATATCTATGTATATATACATATATATGTACATGAATATGAATATACACAGAGTACATACTTGTGTAACACTTGTTCAGTCCACTGGTTGTCATATCCTCTGTTCCTCCTTTCTCCGACTGTGGAAGTCCCTTGGCTGGCTGAGACCCTTGAGCCCCTACGGCCCTCTACACCCTAAATTTCAAAATCCTAAATGCAGTGTTTGTGTGAGTTGCTGCTCCCCAAGGTCTTCGTGGCGGACCCTCTGCTGGAGATGTATCGCAAGCCGGCCTCGGTAGAACATCGAGCCGGAAGACTCAGAAACCGACTATATATGGAGGGCTGCGTCTTCCTAGTCATTAGACGTTACATGTGCCTGGGGTGTTTTGTTTTATGATAAGGGTACGAGTCTGAAGCTCACGTTGTTGGCACACTTCTTCATTTTTGGGGCTAAAGGTAGATTCAACTTGTGTGCGTGTGTGTGTGTATATGTATATGTAGAGTTATATACACTCACGCATTATATGCACATACATATATGTACATAGGTAGACAGTGAGAGAGCGTGTGTTTGTGCAGTTGTGCATGCGTCTATGTATGTGGGCATGCACGTGTGGACCGTCTGTATGGTTATATGAATATCTGTATACATACATATATATATATATATATATGCATACACGTGCGCGTACATGTACATATATATATATATATATATACATGTAGCTGCATGTACATACATGTGTGTATATGTGTATATATATATATATATGTGTACATGTATGCATGAAAACATCGTGTCAAGGTTAGCAAATATGCAAATACGGCATGAAGCTCTACGCTCAGAAGTGAAGCGACCATTCTTCGACGGGTCGGAAGCGAGACGCAGGTCCAAACAGCACGCGACACCATCGGTGATGTGGAGAAGAAGCTGTCGGATGCTCAATAAGGGCTACTACACTTGTTCGGTTGCAAGGGTGTTGCATTTGGGCTACTATTGTATGGGGGTTACTATGAGGGTGACCTCTCCATTGTCGACAATAGTATTGGGGATGTCTTAAAGTCATCAGTCATTTGGGTCCTTCTAACGGTGATACTTTTCTTCAGGACGTTTGTAACGAGCCGTCGTTGTCTTAAACTCCTATATAGCCCAGAGATAGAGACTTGAAGATTATTACTATCAAATTTTCGGGTCTTGTAGCATAGCTTTTTGCCATAAGGGAGCTCTGGTGCTTGTAGCCTAAGGCACCAGAAACCCTGGTCTGGTTGCATATGCCCCTTCTCTCAGAGTCTATGAGTCGTATGCCTCTCTGGAGTAGGATGCGGAGGTTCTGGGTTGACAGGACGGACTTCAAGTCCGAAACTCTAAAGCCCAAGGCTCTGTTTCCTTCAGAGCGCAGTGCCCCAAAAGCCCCCCTAGTTATTGTAGAGCTTGTTGCCCAGTCGCCTATACACACTTCCTTTATCGTGCGCCTTGGGTCCCACGCCCGCATGCACAAGCATGCGTGTGGTTCGCGGGCCATCTCACAGTTTTGGTCCGGCACGTGCCCGCGTGGCTGGATTTGCATTTTGCAGCGTTTGCCGCGGGCGCCAGGTGTATGTAGAGCTGTAAGGCCCAAAAAGCCCACTACAGGCTTCAACCAGCCAAAAAAGCCCGAGATCCCTAGACACCCGCTCGAGCCTTGATGCTGCACATCAGGAACGGCATGCTGAACGTCGGTGCAATCGTCCCTGCGCGCAGCCGGGTCGGGCGCTTTCTTTTTCTCAAGGGGGCTACGGTGAGCTCGGGGGGAAAGGGGGGGCTAGGGTTTAGGTTTCAGCGGGGATTCGGACAGGGTTTACCGGCATCTTGCTTTTGGGGTTTAATTAGGGTTTTGGGGTTGGTGAGAACCGCTTCGGGGGCTTGGGGCTTTACAGCTTGGGGCAATAGCAAAGAGACATGCAGATCCTGGGATGAAGGGTTTATCTTTTGGGCTACAAAGATGTGCCGCTTATGGACCGAAAACCCTCGGGAGTTATGGTGTGCTCTATGCTGGTTCTAGAAGCTGCTCTAAACCGGTCGCCCGTGTAAACTCTGTAGACACTAGTATTACCATCTGTTCCTTCTGATGGATAATGCACATCAGCCGCGAAAGCTTCGGAGTTGTTGCAGGTCTTCGGGCTTTTCCAGTCTGATGGGCTGGGCGGTTTTGGGTCTAAGGGGTTGAGCTTCAACGTAGAAAACTGCAAGGATTTGCCGAACTATCGCCGCAGAAGAGAGGTGGCTGTGTCCAGCTGCTTCTTATGGGTTACCCGAGCCAAGGAAACCGTAAAACCTGAGCCATACAAGCTAGACTTGCTAAACCCAAACTCCTCCAGTCCCAAACCCTGCAACCCTGGAAACCATGAGGAGAAAGTAAATAAAGCATTCTATGGGACCGCGAAGATCGTTCTTGTGACGATCCGCCGCTACTATAGGGGCCCTGGTGCTCAAAATAGGGTTTGGGGGGGGGGGGGGGGGGGTACTTATACCATGTGTATACTAAGGAGCCCCCCAAAATAGTACAGGTAATTGTTTAGGCCCCTGTGTTTCCAGGATGGCCGGGAGTCGGTTCTATCCAAAGACGAGCGGCTGAGGAGTTTGTTGGGTCGGCAGCTCAGCACCCAAAGGGAAGTGATGTTCCTCCAACCGAGGACCTAGGGTTTAGGGCTCTATGATAGTGTATTGAAAACTCCCAAATCTCTCAAGCATGTTGGCGTTTTTGCAGACAGGGTTTGCAGTTGAATAGCTTTGAAGGGGCTGGAGAGGAATTGTCCTGTAGGAATCAAGGGAGCCCCGAATAGGAACATGGGTCCTTCTGCTTCATTGGCCTAGTTGTGGAATATTTCGAAGACACTTCAGCTTGAATGCTTGCGGCATGCGTTTGCAGAAGGTTGTCATAAGCTTGCAAAGCTCTTCATGGACTTGTGTTCGCGTCATGGGTCAATCAAAGCTTTCTTTACATGGGACACTCGTGAAATTCAAGCACCGGGAACTGCAAGAGCTGGTACCCGTTTTCAGCGTCTTCAGCTCCGAAGAACACGGCGGTTCCGATAAGGTCGGGACCGCGGGGCTGGCCTCTCGGTGGAGGGCCAGGTGGACGAGCTGATCAAGGCCTCGCCTGTTGTTGTTTTTTGTGTTGTCAGGGCCGCGCTTGGCGACGGGGCTCGCTTGGGGTGGCTGGCTTCTGTGGGGATCCTGGCGTGTTGGAGGCTTCATGGCTTTGAGGCTTCGGAGTTTAGAGCTCGTGGCAATATCGGCGTTCTGGCTTAGGATGTCGTAAAGATGCGAAGTGGCATCTTGTGCTACAAAAGTCTTTCTGGTTTCGTAGTTCTGCAAGACATCTCGCCATCAAGCCCCAATAGAACCTCTGTTCTGGCAGCGCTTCTGCCTAAGGTACTTACGTAGATCGTAACTTACTTCCAAAGAATCCTCTACTCAAAGTGGCCGGCGCTTAACCACAGGATCCATGTTGCAAGGCGGCCCTTTTATATAGTTCTATACATATGTATGTATATATATATATATACATATATATATATATATATACATGTATACATATATTTGTATCTGATGTTAGACTCTCTCTGGCATCTCCGTGGCCCTGACACTGCCAGGCGGCCATGTGCAAGCGCAACCTGAGCCAGATGTACGTAGGCCGGCAGTTGCAAGTAAACCCTAAGCCCAAGGTCGAAAATCCCGAAACCCAAAGCCATCTGAGCCTGTGGATCTTGACCCTATAGGCCCCAATCATGCCTTGAGCCTGACACCCGCACCACAACACCTAGGCCTAGGCGCCGCCTGCAAGCGCTACTCCCATCATAAATCTCAAAGACCAGATTCCGTCAGACTAGGGTGTACGGCCGTGCGGTGTCAGAATCAATGAAACGACCTTAGGGCGTTTGGGTTTATCGCTGAAGGTGTTCAAGGGTTGAGACTGTGGCTCTTACTTTGACTCTCTTGATGTGGCTTGTCAAAAAAATCAAGGATCTATGTCTTGCAATCCTGCTTTCCATGCGGTCTGGAAATAGAAAGCGCTCGCATTGATGCTTTACCGCGGGTGCAGGGATTCATACCCTGAGCCCTAAACCCCTAAACCCTAAACTAAAACCCCCAAGCTAAACCCCTAAACCCTAACCCAAAACTAAACCCCTAAACCCTAAAATGGAGGCATGAAGCGCACACTTCCCGAGCCCAAGCCCCACACTCAGCCTCACAGGGCCGAAGCTACAGGGGACCCGGCCCCGCCCCGGCCCTGAGGCCCTAGAGCCATACCACTTTCAAAATAGTAATAGTAATAGAAAAGCAGTCTTTCAGACGGGGGGAAGCGAAGAGGCTGAGCTACTTCACATGCACCCCGACCACTCTTACTTTCCGCAGTTTCAGACCTTTTCTACAATTGTGATTCCTGTCCCTAGGCCCTGGTAAGTGTTGCGGCGACCATAATTGCGATTTATGTACTGTTGCAGATATTACTTGCAGTTCCATTGTTTCTGTCATGACTTCCCAACAATGCATATAGCAGGGTGATGCCATGTACAGATATAGAATCTATCCGCCTGATATAGACGGGACAAGTCATGTGTCTACATGATCATGTATTGTTTGGTTAAGTTGCTGTTGTCGTTTTGTTTACTTTGTGGCTCATGGTGTGTTTGTTCGACTATATATATATATATATATATATATATATATATATATATATGAATATGTACACATATAGATATGTACATGTACATATGTATATATACATTTTTGTGTTCACAAGCCTTCTTCCTGATCTTGTCAGGCTGGCAGGCCTGGCTTTGAGCCGGGGTGCGGGTAACCTGCGCCCAACGAGATCCTGCTGCCGGCATCCTCTTGGTTTGTTTGTGTCAGAGATGTTAGGGGTTTGCCTAAATAATTGCCAATACTATGGACCAAGCAAAAGCCATCGTCTTGCCCCTTTATAGGGGCCTCACGTGAAAGGCGTTCCTGGTGTAGGCGTTCGGCCTCGTGAAAGGGGGCCCTGGGCTGCTGCAGAGGCTCTCCTGTTCCTTCAAAATTCGTAAACGGGCACAAAACAGCGGTAATTCTGATTCCTTGGGGTGCGAGATGACAGGTCACGGTGTCCTAAAGGATTCTCTCTCTCGCTCTCCCTCTCTCTCCCTTTCTCTGTCTAAATAGATAACTGTACACATAGGTGGAACTGTGGGAACCTCAAGCGAAGCCCACAGCTTCGAGCTCTCAGCCGCAGCTCCGGGCACCTGCTGCGGGTGACAAGGAGTTGTACATAGCCGGGGATGCGCTGCGGTGGCTGCACTGCGATACTGCCGAGTAGTGCAATCTTCTTTTTACACCGTTTGACCAAAGGTTGCATGTTTTTTTGGCTTTGCAGCATCCTGTCCTGTGCTGTCCTCGTAAAACAGTTTGCACCGTTCTTGCTGGCTGAATCCCACCGCAGAGTCTTTCGACTCACCGCGTCACTGGCCACTCCCTGGGGGAGTTATCGCTGCGCCTTGGGCAATGCGGCAGCGAGCGTCGAAGAGTGTAGACAAAGAAGTGAGCCAGTCTGAGTTGTCGGTTCTGTGAAGTTTCTAGTGCTCTTCGCTCCGGGATCTTGGTGCTGCAGCCTGAATATGGCTTTCTGGGCTTCGCTTAGGTTCAGGGTTTCGGGCTTGACGAACCCAAAACCTCTCATGAGCTTGACCCAGCAACAACTCCGACTGCCCTTCGCAGGTGGAGAACGGGGATATGAACTGGATCATCCCAGTCGCTCGGTGCAACCTCTAAAAGCAGCCTCAAGGAAGGGGCCTTCATAAGTAGACCAGGATTTCGGTGCCTTTATTGTGCGAGCCCCGTAATTCGGAAGCCTGAACTCCAAACCCAGGAATTCACGCAGCTGTGATCGTGGGAAACGCCTGGCCTGCTTCAAGAGCTTCAGGTCCACAGCTTAAGCCCGAGACCCTTGCCTCCGAAGCCTTTGCAGCACCAGCATAGGAGCCTGCATTCTCTTGCAAACATACTATCATGTAATATCATGTAATCACAAACCCTATTGCAACTATTGAGTTCTTGGGCCCCTCTACAGTACTAAACCATAAACATTAGGCCTTGAGTGCGAGGCTCAAGCGTAGAGCAGCAATAAATATTATCAACTGAGCATGTAAGGCCGTGTTGCTCACGGTAGCAGATTTTAACATGCAGAGGGCGCTGGCATCCTGATGAACCCTAAACGTCCTGATGAACCCCAACCTGTTCATTTAACCCTTACCTCACGCCCAGAATCCTAGGCCATTAACCCAAACCCAAACCCGAAAGCCTGAAACCCCCGAATGCTGAGGTAAAGCCTTGATGCCCTCAGCCCCAAACCGAGAAGTTCCCGCGTGTTGCGACTTTCGGGTTTGGGCTCAGCAATGGCGTTCCCCAAAGAGGGTGAAGACTCATCGTAGCTATGGACATAGCGTGACCCTAGCAATAGTACTGGAATGACCCATGAAAGGTACCACTCCTAAACCCTAAGCCCTAAACCCTGAACTGATGCCGAGGACAAGTTCCTGGCCTTTGCCGGGCCAAGCCCTACCTCAACCGATGCAGACGGGCCTCGTGGCACGAAGAGTGTGAGCGGTGTAAAGGCTTCAGGAAGGGGTTTCAGATACAAATGTCGTTTAGGCTCCCGCCAAGCTCTGTTCATAGAGGTCTGGATGTGAGGCAAATCTAGTTTTGGAGGATCACAAGTTGCACAAGTGTTCTGCGAATCACGTTGGAGCAAACTCAGCTATCTACCAGGTACGATGACACGCACGACAATCTAAAACTAGAATAAGTAGGCATGTCTTTGAGCCTCCAATCTCCGGGATTGCAGAGAGCAGATTTGAAAATGTTATTAAAGGCCATACATCGCCGAGCAAGAGCAATCTCGCAAAACGGAAACAGTGAAACGAAGAATGTGAAGGACCGTAGTTCAAAGCTGAATCCAAGTTGGCCATGCCTTCAGACGTGCGAGGGGGTAGCTCCAAGAAATCAGCATGCTCCTGCTGCTGCTGCGACTGCCACTGCCACTGCCACTGCCACTGCCACTGCCAATACTACTACTACTACTACTACTACTACTACTACTACTACTACTACTACTACTACTACTACTACTACTACTACTACTACTACTACGACTACTACTACTACTACTACTACTACTACTACTACTACTACTACTATTACTACTACCACTACTACCGCTACTACACCTGCTGCTACTGCTACTGCTACTGTGTTGATGCCCAGAGACCTCTCCTTGTAAAGATGTGAGTGAGCTTAGTGGAGCTAGGCTTGCGTCTTGTGGAAGCCTTGAATGAAAGCCTCGCCGGCCTTCAGCGGATGGCCCAAGAGGCCGCGAAGATGGCGTTTGCCATGATCGGCAGAAGCCAAGAACAGTCTCAGCATGAATCATGCAAGGAAGGACAACCTTTAGGCTTGAGCTGTGCACAGAAGCGCTTAAGCACCTTGCACTTTGCTGTGTGTGAAGCCAAAAAGCGACTTGAGCGTGCCATGGTTTGCTCCTGAGAACTTCCCTCCCTCAACCTGTAACAACGTTTCTGCGAAGAAGAAGACACGATTTGGAACCCTTGTGGGCTGCTGAATCGCTACAGGTTATGAGCGCCCAACCTCTGACTGCAACTCCGGTCTTGGAGGGAGAGGAAACAGGGCCAAGATATGGTGCGCTACAACAGGAAGTACGCCGGGCAGATGTTCCTGGACAGGCCAATGAGCAGGCCCGTGGAGACCACCCCTTGATGAATGGAGTTGACCCTCCGAGGATGGAGGCCGTTCATGAGAGTCCGCAGTTTGAAGCGGCTCCACGGATGGCGGACCAGGCTTTGGACGGCGACAGGCTTCGTCGAGAGATGGAGACCAGCGGTCTTGCTCAGCCAAGTGGGGAAAGGACCACGGAGCCCGGCAGGCCAGTTCTGGGAACGGATGTAAGACCTGGTGATGAGAGCGACTTTGCTTCGATCACAGCGAGCCCTTCGTCGCCGAGAAGGACGAGAGCGTATGCAGGATCCACGATGGATCAGCCGCATCAGGCCGAACGTACCGTGGCGATGGAGTATTCATATGAGGCTGCAGAAGGAATGCCTGGTGTTCGCTGGGTTGCAAGGCTGACCGAGTTCCTACGAGCCACTACGACAAGGACGAGTGGGCTTCAGGGCCGGGTTATGGAAGGTTTAGGGTTACTAGGATCCCAGACAACAAACCCAGCAGCTCAGCAGCAACATCAGCAACAGCACCAGCAGCGAGGACTTCATCAGCCTGCCTTCTCGCCCATAAGAAGGATCGGAGATTTGAACTTCTCTCCTCCTGAAGACTTACCTCCTCTTCCGCCCCAAGGCCAAGGAGCGCTTAGGTCTTTGGAACAAGGACCGGAGCCCTTGTTCACGCCTGAACAGGGTGAGAGACTGAGGAGGGGACCGAGGAACGCGTCTTTGTTGTTTCCTACCGGGGGGAGTTCAACTTCCTCGGATGAGATCCAAGCTGAGGTTCAACGACAGCTGGCTCGCTATGTTCAGAGGTATGAGGGAGAAGCTCGGGACCTCAGAGGGCAAGTTCAGCAACTACAGCATGAAAGAAACCGGTTACTCGCTGATCGGGCTGCAATGCAGCAGAATCTACCAGGAGGCGATCGGGCTACAATGCAACAGAATCTACCTGGAGGTGATCGGGCTGCAATGCAACGGAATCTACCTGGAGGCGATCGGGCTGCAATGCAACAGGATCTACCAGGAGGCGATCGGGCTACAATGCAGCAGAATCTACCAGGAGGCGATCGGGCTACAATGCAGCAAGGCCTACCAGGAGGCGATCGTGCTACAATGCAGCAGAATCTACCAGGAGGTGATCGGGCTACAATGCAGCAGAATCTACCAGGAGGTGATCGGGCTACAATGCAGCAGAATCTACCAGGAGGTGATCGGGCTACAATGCAGCAGAATCTACCAGGAGGCGATCGGGCTACAATGCAGCAGAATCTACCAGGAGGTGATCGGGCTACAATGCAGCAGAGCCTACCAGGAGGTGATCGTCCAACAATGCAGCAGAATCTACCTGGTGGTGATCAAGCGTATGACCAGAGCCGTCAACAGGAGCATGTGCCAGGAGTCGCTAGCTCAAGTCACACTGCCCAGGCTGGTCGGGGTCATGAAGGGTCGGAAGAGAAAGATACGACTCACTTGGACCTTCTTGGAGTCATCGCGCAGGGAATGAAGCAGCTACAGGAAGCGCAGGTTCGTGCTTTGGACCGAAAGTCAGAGGGAACGGACCCGGAGACAGTGAAGCCTGGAGTGGCGGCGCTACCGGAGCTTAAGGCACCGGACCCTGAGACGTCTCCGGTTGAGGTCCAGGATTGGTTGCAGCTTCTGCAAGCTCCGATGGCGGACTTGAGCGACAGTTCCTACGACTGGTGGACAAAGGTCCAGGCCCTGGCTCAAAAGGGCTATGAACAGTGGGCCAATGCTACGCCTTTGGAGCGCTTGGCAATGAAGGCTCCAGTGGACAAGAAGCTCGAGGAAGGCAAGTTCGCGAGGTTGAATTCGAGGGCGGCGTCTATGTTGCTGGCTTCCCTCGATGCTTCAGTGCGAGCGGACCTGGTGATGAGGCGCTCAACTCAGTCGTCAACCCAGATACTGTATCGAGTCCTCACCTTGTACCAGCCGGGCGGCGAGACCGAGAAACGGTTGGTTTTGGATCAGCTGCAGTCCCCGACGGCCCAGACCGATCCCTTTAAGGCGGCGAAGTCGTTGCGGGATTGGGAAAGATGGTTCAGGCGAGCTGGGGACGTGGGCGTCTCGACGCCAGATCCGTCAGTGCTTTTGAGAGCCCTGTCTGTCATTATGCAGGGAGTCTTGGAAGGCAATCCAGAAGCCGCGTTCCGCACATCCTTGGTGCGCACAACGCTGAAACTTGATACGAAGCCGACTCATGAGTCGGTGATTGCTTTTCATAAGCACTTGTTGGCTGAAGCTGAAGCTTTAGCGAGTGGATCGAAAAGGACCCCGGCGGCGACCTCGACGCCTGATGCGACAAGGACTCCGGCTTCTGAGAAGGGTCCAAAGGTCAGGGGGATTCAGGCGCAAGGAGGGGGAGAGCAACCGGCTCCCAAACCGAAGTCGGCACCAGCAACCTCCTCTACTACAACCTCCACCCAACGGCCGTGCAAGTGGTTTGCGAAGACGGAGGCAGGATGCAAGCGCGGAGGAGATTGTCAATTTTCTCACGAGTGGGGATCGGTCCCGAAGACCGGTCGGTGCTTGATTTGCTCGTCAACGTCCCACATGAAGAAGGACTGCCCAACCAAGGAGAAGCCTTCTCCTGGGGGACCGCGGCAACGTGGAGAGCAACAGCAATCTACCTCAACGGCAACACTCGGGGCACCATCGGCGAGAACTATGAATGCCCCTGCGGAACAGGCGACGTCTTCTACCACAACCCAACCGGCAGCAGAACCGTCCCCGACTTCATCCTCAACCGGGCGCAGGCAGCCAAAGGAGAGCGAGGGCCCAGAAGCCCTCAAGAAAGTCATCGAGGATGCGTCCAACATGTTGAAGTCGATGATGGCTAGCTCAGGTTTGCCAGCTGCCCCCACCTCGTCGTCGGCGCCTACGTACGAGTCAATACAGAAGCAGCTCGACGAGTTGAAGTTGAGGACCATGAAGGTGGATGGAACAAAAGGGGGCCAAGCGTCTGATGATTCAGGTGTTCTCCTGGACTCAGGCGCAACCCACGTGCTGAGGCCGGCCCACGACCAGTTCGAGGAGGAGAACACCAAGGCGGTTAGTGTGACCCTAGCCGGAGACGAGCAAAGGATCCTGAAGCAAGCCCCATCGGGCAGCATCCTGCTGGCGGCCGAGAACAAGGACCGGGTGCAACCAATCGTCCCATTTGGCGCCCTGATTGATGTTCTTGGGTGCACTTTGAAGTGGACGAAGGGAGGGTTCATCCTGATCCACCCGCGACACGGACGGATCAGAACACGACTGCGAGCAGGCTGCCCAGAGATGACGGATGCGGGCCAGGCGGCGGAGATCATCGCCGAGCTCGAAATGAAGAAGGTCGAGGAGCTGAAGCAAAGGGCAGAAGGGCTCCAGCAGAGGCTCAACGCTGTGAGGATGATGGAGGTGAAGCAGGAAGACTGGAGGCAGAACCTCGCGGCCTACGCTCAGGAGGGGTGCGTCGTGGATGGACTTCAGGTCTTGTTCAAGTCCCCCATCTTCAAGGACCTCCCGGAGGCGGTCACGGGCACGATGGTACCCAATGTGGAGGTCAATGATCAGAAGGGGTGGGAGTATTTGAAGAGCCTTCCCTTGTGCAGGAGATTACGCAAGCGCCTGATGAGATCGAAGGCGTGGATCTTGAATATGTACGGAGGAAAGAAGGCAAGTGCAGACCCCATCCAAGCTCTTACGGGCCAGATCAACGGGCACCAACACGGAGGTGGTGGTTGTGAATGTCGACGTCCTTTTGAATGGTGGTTGGTCCATGACGGGACCTGCGTACAAGGCCCTTATGTGGGGAGCGATGTCCTCCAGGGTGAAGGCAGTCCTGGGAGCCCCGCCGGCAGGGACGTTCAGTGTAAAGAGGCATGAAGAGCGACCCGGATACCCAGGACCAGTTCGATCAGCCAGCGAGCCCTACGGCCTCGTCGACCTCAACCCCACGGAACGCTACTATGTGGACAAGGAAACCACGCTGGTGGCTCGACAACTTATGTTGTACTTGGTCGCCCATGCAAAGTCCGGCGGCCACGAGGTGAAGTTCTGTATGAGCCACCCGGAGAATGCTGAGGAGATTGTCAACGGAAAGGACGCCCCGAGTTTGTGGCGGACGCCTATGATGAAGTCGTTCATTGAAGCCACGGAGCCGTTAGGGATGAAAAAGGTCTCGTTTGATCAAGGGGCTTTCGGCTACCTGAGCAAGTCTCCGGTCACTATCGTGAGCAACCTGGACTTTGAGTTCTTCGACGAGATGAGGGAGGCCGAGAATGTGAAGGAACGCAAGCAAGACGAAAGGAGACCGTGGGCGACGGCAGTCCGGAGGAACGTGGCCGAGAAGCTCATGGACTCCGGAGTCGCGTCGACAAGGGCATGGGCCCATCGTGACCCGGGACCAGATATACGGAAGATGACGGCAGAGCAAGGTTGGAGACTTCATGTGCAGCGAGATCATGTACCTTTCAGAAAGGACTGCGAGCAGTGCGTGATGTCGCTGGGCACTGGACGGCCCCACAGAAGGACCAAGCAAAAGAGCGCTTACGTTTTGAGCGTTGATGTGGGAGGTCCATTGAGGGCGGTGTCGAGGGATGCGCATGGCTACGGGTACCGCTACTTCTTGGCGGCAGCCTATACCAAACCGAGGTTTGAAGATCAAGATGATCCGCCGGACCCCTTGCCTGAAGACCTTGCTGCCGAGGACTACGACTTCCGGAACCTGGACTTGGAGGCGCCAGAACTCGATGAGCCGGCCGATGATGAGGCAGATTGAAGGAGGCGTGGGGTACATTGACCCCGGTGAGGAGGAACCCTTGGATCCAGAAGACCAAGAAGGAGATCCTTCGGTAAGAAAGGTCAGGGGTGATGAGTTGTGGGACGACGATGAAGAGGCTGACCGACAACAGCGAGCCGATCAAGAACAGGATGAGCTCTTGGAGGGCAACCGCGAGATTCCCATGGACCACCTCTACTTTGTCAAACCCTTAAAAGGGAAAAAGGCCAAGCAGGTCATGCAGGCGATCCAAGAAATCATCCTGGAGCTCAAGCATATGAACCTCCCGGTCGTTCGGATCCACAGCGACCGAGCTCATGAACTGCGATCGCCCGCTCTGAGGGAGTGGACTCTTGGCCAACAGATTATGTTGACGAGGACTGAGGGTCAATCTCCCCAGTCGAATGGCACTGCGGAAAGAGCGGTGCGTTACTTGAAGGGACAGGCTCGCCTACTGCTGAGGACCTCGGGTTTGCCTACCTCGCACTGGGCGACAGCTATGGTCACCGCCGCCCACAACCAGCGCGAGAAGAGACTGAATCCCGAGACCTTTAGCCCGGTGTGCCCTTATGGAACGAGGGTGGCGATCAAGAAGAAGCGCTACAGCGACGGTGGAAAACATGACTTGATGCCGCACTGGGTGAAGGGAACCTACTTGGGTCCGGTGTGGGATGTGAGGAATGGTTCCGCAGTCCTTGAAGATGAGAATGGCAGGATCATGGTTACTACCAATGTAAGACCTCGTCTACATGATCCGGGCACTGCAGCGGAGGCGGAAGTACGGGAGTTTGAGCCCCCACCGCGGCGGCGCCTAAGAGGGAAGTCGGCGGTGGATGCAGATGGGGTGGCGGTGAGGAGCCTTGCTGGAACCCAAAGAGCCTCCCATCGAAGGCGCCTCGTCAAGGAGATCCTGGAGCAGATAGCCAAGGACCCAGTCCATTCGGTGAAGAGACCGCAGTTAGTGGCTGAAACCGTCCCCGATCCCAGCAGCAGCTATGTGACGATGGGTGCGTTCAATCATGGAGGCCAGTATGGAGTGACCAAATACACGAGTGAGGCCCCGGAGCTTACGAAAAAGGTGACGGAGCTCCTCCAGTTGGACTTCCCGGACGAGTGCTTCACGTCTGCAACGCTAGTGAAGAATACATGTATGCCAACCCACAGGGACGTCTTCAATGATAAGGATTCCCGGAACCTGGTATCCCCGTTGCAGGTGACCGAGGGCGCTGGAGTTTGGGAAGAACTGAAACCTGGTGATGTTTTTACGGGACGCTACATGGAGATGCTCGTCAATGACAAGACCACCCCAGGCCAAGTTCATTCCCTGACGAGCCCCGCGAAGGTGAATCCGAAGCGGTGGCATTGCGCAGTCCAAGGGACTGAAGGAGCACGGCTGCTAGTGGTTGGACATACAATAGGCTCCTGGCGCAAACTCTCCAATGAGATGGTGGAGACCTTGGAGGAGGCAGGCTTTGCGTTGCCTGAGGAGGGGAACGATCATGCCTGCGTAAAGGCCATCCAGGAACTGAATGCCCAGACCCTTCACTATCAGTTCGAGGTCGACGAGGACGATGTGATCGAGGATTTTGACCTCGTTGATGGGGTGGTGGAGGTGGAGAACGATGTGCTGAGGGTGGCAAAGGCAGCAGCTGAGAACCTGTATACGCCGGATGTTGAAGGGATCTTGTCTAGCTGCGAAGCTGAGCAAACTGAGCTACGGGTGGTCCACACGGTCCACCCATCGGAGGTGGAAAGGAACTTAGAGAAGTGGGTTCCTTCTATGATGGATGAGATCAAGGCCATGGAGACCATGAAGGCAATCAAAAGAGTGAGAGGCCAGGAAGCGAAGGACTTCTTGAACCTCCCGGGTGCGGTCGTGGTTCCTGGAAAGGGAGTCTACACGGCGAAACCTCCATCGAAGCCGGATATGATGTTTCGGCGGAAAACGAGGATAGTCAGCTGTGGAAATTTCCAAAAGAAGTCGGATGATGAGGTGAACTACAGTGGAGGTGCAGCAGCAGAGGGCGTTCGGCTGATGGTTGCGGAAGGATCCAGGAGACGCTGGTGCATCATCAACGGTGACGTGACCAGCGCTTTTCTCAGGGCACCGGTCCCGGATGGCATCCACCTTGCGATCAAACCTCCAGCTGTATTGGTGAGGGCAGGATTGTGTCAACCAGATGAGTTGTGGATCGCCCTGGCGGCGGTCTATGGATTTAGGTCGAGCCCTCGTTGGTGGGGAAACTACCGTACGGACATGATGAAGAAAGCCGTCACTGCCAACAACTTGAGGTTTGAGCAGGGCACCGCCGACCCCAACATATGGAGGGTAGTGGACTCAAGTGGTGAGCTGCAGGGGCTCATCGCAGTCTACGTCGACGACTACTTGGTGACCGGCCCGAAGGAAGTGTGTGAGGACGTTCACATGTGGTTCTCCACTACGTGGCAAACGACGGAGATTCAGTTTGCCACCAAGGAGAACGCAATCCGCTTCCTCGGGATGGAGATCCGATCCGTCGAAAATGACAATGGGGATTTTATGGGCTTCTCGTTGGACCAAGAAGGCTATGTTCAAGAACTGCTGAGGCAGTACGACATTGGCGAGAAACAGATGTCAACAATCCCCTCGGTGAAGGAGTGGATGAGCCTGGATCCCGCGACCTACCCGGAGACGTTCGATGGGAAGGACCTCAAGGCTGCTCAGTCGATAACAGGTGAGCTAGCTTGGCTAGCTCAGAGGTGCAGGCCAGACCTAGCCTACACTGTTAGTGTGATGGGATCGATGATGAGCAAGGACCCTGCCCGAGCGAACCAGATCGGAAGGAAGGTTCTCGCCTACTTGAACTACACGAAGGAGTGGAAGCTTCTTTATAGTGCCGATGGCCCACGCGAGATCGTGACCTATACCGACAGCAGCTACGCCCCGGATGGAGATCGAAGCCATGGGGGGGCAGTGGTTTTTTGGTCCGGATCTCCAGTGGCTTGGAGAAGTGGGCGACAGGGGCTCATTGCAACGAGCTCGGCAGAAACAGAGCTTCTGGCGGCGAGCGAGGGGTCTACTTTGACGGCCTCCGTCGACGCTCTCCTCAACGACATGGGTGCCCACGTCGATGGAAGGGAACTTCGGGTCGACAATTCCGCCGCCATTGTTTTGGCTTCCGAAGAAGGGGGGAGCTGGAGGACACGCCACTTGAAGGTCCGAGCAGGAGCCTTGCGACAGCTGGTCCAACAAGGATGGATAGCGATTTCGTACTGCCCCGGGGACCGGCAACTGGCGGATGGACTGACAAAGATCCTGGCAGCCAAGCGCATGGGGTGGATTATGGAGTCCTGGGGCTTGCGGCGACACCGTGAAGGAGACCCACCTCCGGAGCAACCTCAAGACAATCACCATGGAGGGTCCCTACGGCAACTTCAAGCAGCAGCCCAGCAACAACAACAGCAGCAGCAACAACGGCAGCAGCATGTTAATGCAAGCACTACAGCAGCGCAACACAACATGGGTTGTTGTCTGGGGTTGCTGGTAACCTTTCAAAACATAGCTTCAGTTGTTGCTAGGGAAGACCTTGAAGCCCACTCGCCCCTGGCAGTGGACTCGTCTCTGGAGCTGTATGGAGTTATCCTCATGCTGGTTATCTGTGTGATAGCTCTATGGGAGGGAAGCCGCCACTGCTACCGCAAGGCAGAAGCAGCAAGGATGAGGTCCTTGCAAGCGGAGCAAAAGCTTTCCAAGAAGGAGATGAGGCGACTGAACCAGTTGCTTCAAGAAGACCCTGGAGCCTGCCATTGGAGGATAGGATGACCCTCACGAGTCTGGCGGAGAAGGCGGGCGTGGATCTTACAAAGATACTGACCAGAGAGTCAGTGCGTGGAGCTCCCGCCCCCGCAGTCCGATTTGAGGAGGATCCGCCGAGGCCCCCTTCACCACCTGTGGCAGCTTGCGCTGCAGATGAGGAGTTCCTTCGCAGGAGAAGACGACAGCGAGCAGAGATCCCCGTGCGCAGGGAACCGTCGATACCTACTGCCAGCGAAGATCGCTATGACGTTCCGGAACCTACCAGGGTCGCAGAAGAGATCCTGAGAGGCCGCCAAGGGCGGACTCGCGACGCAGAGGTGCAAGTGGAGTTGCTGAAGGAGATGCCTCGCGTGGTGTACACGACGCCTTCTGGTACGTGTATACACGCGACAAGAGACTGCAGCACTCTCAACAGATCGACGAAGTACATTCAGAAAGATGTGTGCGCGAAGTGCATCCCTGGACAAAGAGAGGTCACTGAAAGGCCTCGCTAATTCAACCGTGAAGCGATGGTCACCTAGCGTCGCCATCGAGGAGGGGTGTTGATGCCCAGAGACCTCTCCTTGTAAAGATGTGAGTGAGCTTAGTGGAGCTAGGCTTGCGTCTTGTGGAAGCCTTGAATGAAAGCCTCGCCGGCCTTCAGCGGATGGCCCAAGAGGCCGCGAAGATGGCGTTTGCCATGATCGGCAGAAGCCAAGAACAGTCTCAGCATGAATCATGCAAGGAAGGACAACCTTTAGGCTTGAGCTGTGCACAGAAGCGCTTAAGCACCTTGCACTTTGCTGTGTGTGAAGCCAAAAAGCGACTTGAGCGTGCCATGGTTTGCTCCTGAGAACTTCCCTCCCTCAACCTGTAACAACGTTTCTGCGAAGAAGAAGACACGATTTGGAACCCTTGTGGGCTGCTGAATCGCTACATACTGCTACTGCTCCTGGTGCTGCTCCTGCTCCTGCTCCTGCTTCTGCTCCTGCTGCTGTTGCTACTGCTAGTGCTACGGCTACTGCTACTAGTACCACTACTACTACTCCTCCTCCTGCTGCTGCTTCTACCACCACCGTCAAAACCGGGTGTAGGGTGTTCAGACTTGAGGACTTTTGGGCTGTAGGGCTTTGTGATCTCCAAGGTTCCCTGCGTTTACGCCAGAGGACAGGGATCTGACAAAACGCCGCAGTGTTTCCTGGAAGTGCCGAAGTTCCAATTTTTCTAGAGAGCACACCCCGAATCCTACCCAGACCCCCATCCTGAACCGGGAACCTTCAGTATGTAACAAACGTTCCCACCCTTTTCAGACCCGAGACCCTGCAAGCGTTGGACCCTGAGCCCTAAATCCGGAAAACCCGACGCCCAAACCCGGAAAGACCCAAACCTCAGCATAGAAGACCCCAAGACCTGCCCACCTCCCGGAGTCCCAACTTTGGCCTCCTCAAGCCGATAAAGACCCCTCCTCTCACCAAAAATGAATGCGCGATCTCATGCGACAGCTTGGCTCTAGTGTAGAACCGAAGTCAAGAAGGAGTGAGGAAGTTAGAGAGAGCGGGCGGCTCCGCAACCTAGCCGCTCAGCAGGCTAACCCGAAATACCTCAACTTTCAAAAAGAATCGGAACCCCTGAAAATGTTAAGCCGAATAAAAAGGACTACGTACCCATCTTCCGGGATGCCGGGATCGGCCTCGTCGTGCGGCTGAACAAGAAGCAGTGCTCTGCCACAGGGATACTTGACAGTCGGCTTGAGAACGGAGGGTTTCTAGTGCTTTCACTGTATTTCGGAGCTCGGCTTTGGAGGCTTGGAGTCTATGTGCAGACAGACGGGAAAGCAGACACAAACACGTGCATGCCGGTGCGCATACAGGCATCTGTGCATACACACCGACACGCACACACGTACATACATCCATGCATGCATATACATATACATATACATATGCATATACATATACAGATACTTTACAAGCTCACATACAAGAATGCCTGCATGCATGCAAGCATGCATACATGGCATACATCCACAATTACATGCCCATACACGCATACACATGCCGACGTACATGCATATATGCAGAATACTGCACAAATGTGCACTATCTTTCTCAGTAACTTGACCATCATAAACACCCCCACCGTCGTCGTCGCCATCGTCTGCACCATCTCCATCATCACCGGTGTCGTCAATATCATCTATCATCATCGTAGTCAGCATGCTCACCATCGCTACCATCACCATCATAATCATCATCAAGATTGCATAGAACGCTGTAGAAAAAGATTTTGAGTCTGTTGGAAGTGGTGTCTTCACCACTAGTTCGTTGGTGGGTTTCGAGATGTCGGTTGCTGCGTCTCTGGTTCTCCGCCCTTCTGTGCTACGCAGATAGACTATTGACATTAATGATCATGTGTATGATCCCCACGCTCCCGGGTTCCCGGAAGGCCACATGCGCAGTTGCCGAGTGATCCTCAGCGTTTTGGTGTAAGTGTCTTGAAAGATTAAGCCTGAGTTGCCCGGCTCGAGCAGTCCTACTGACATGTTCCGTGATCACGGGTCCAAAAAGCTCCCATGATCAGAAGGAGCTCTTGAAGAACGTTCTCTTCCGCCGGGACGACAATTACCCCGAAGACATCAGAGCTTGACATAGCAAGCGAGAATTCGAAACGATCTCTATTGGGGTCCCACCCCACACTCTGTTGGGGTTCCCCTCAGCCCACCCATAAGCGTAGTAGCAGCAATAATACAAAAAAGAGTAGGTATAATCCTATATATATATATATATATCATTATCGCTGATCATGATAAACCCTATATGTAATCCCCAAACCCGAAACCCTGAAATCTGCGAGAATTAAATCCCGGAGACTTGAGGCCCTTCTAAACTTCAGTTCACACAAACCAAAAGCCACATCCCAAGCATTCAATAAACACGGTTGAAGAAAGACAGAAAGCCTTCAGCAAGAAGTCACAGATCAAAATCTTCTGTCCAAAGCCCTGCCCCGACCGACTTAAGAAAGTCAGAGCGCGCCCGCTGCTCGTTGCCATGGGTTCGGCGGCCGGGAAGTCCAAAGCCGCCGCCCAGCGCACCGCTCCGGAGGGGTCCACGGCCGCGGCCCAGGAGGAAGACATGGATGAAGGCACTCAATGCACTCAAGGGGGATCACGGGCCCATGGGGGGCTTCCGGTTTAAGGCTTCGGTGGGGGGTTGGCATTGAATGATTCTGGACTGCTGTACAGGGGGTTTAGCACTTCAAAACCCTAGAACCCTAAAGACAAAGAGGGAACCCTGCCGAGACCCAAGATCTCAACCCTCTAAATCCCACTAACGGCTCTATTCGGGGGCTTGGGCTTCCACAATCAGCCCCTAAATCCCACTAACAGCTCTATTCGGGGGCTTTCACAATGAAGGCTCTCAAGTATGCCCTGCCCTCAAAAGAACCTTTACAGGTGCCCTTAAAGGAACCCTCAAAGGAAGCCTCCGACCTGAAGTTTCGAAGCCTCGGGAGGATCCCTGACGGTGTCCGTGGCTTTCATCGACGGCTCAGAGTTGACGCTGACGCTTCCAGGCCCGAGAGAAGCGCAAAAGTTCGAATTAATAGAGGGTCCAGGGTCTGGGGTTTTGGGGTATAGATAAAACATGGACTAGAGTGCCTTGTGCCGGGAACCGAGAACTGCTAATCGACTTGTCATCTTGGTCAGGGGGCTAATTGACGCGGGCAAGATGATGGTCGACTTGCTAATGGGGGGACAAGATGACGGGTCATCTTGGTCAGGGAGAGAACTGGAGGGGGGGATGCACGTTCACTTGGTCATCTAGGTCATCTTGAACCCAGCCAAGGGGGACAACACATTTGCGCCACTGGTACCACTTGTACCACATTTGGTCACCTGCTTCTATCCAGATGATTATCACAACCGAGATTACCCAGATCACTGCGCGCGCCGGGCTGTGCGTCTAAATCTGCGCGCGCTTTCGGCTGTTCATTAAATCATCACTCGGCTCGAGCTCCACCCCTCCGCTACCAATTCAAAAACCCTTGCTGAACTCCCCTCCCCCGCCCCCAGGCCTCACCAAGACGACTGAAATGACGCATCATTGCCTCCCAACAAATTCCCGACCAAGATGATGCGGCGTCTTGCACCACTGCCGGCTAATGAAGGCTGTAGCGAGGCTGACGGATCTAAATGACGGTGATGGCCACGGTCATGTTGCGATGAAGACTGCATTGGATGAACTTAACCTTAAACTCTTAAACTCTGTATGTTGGAAGCCTACGCCTAAACCCTAAACCTTCATACCTTGAAGCCCCCATGCAGCGCCTAAACCCCAAATCAAAGCCCTTAAATCCCATGCAACACCTATAAATCGGCTTTCGCCATCTCTCGGCCTCTGCCGCCTTTCGGAGGTGGTGCGCGACATCCTCATATGGGTCCCAGGACCCAAAGAGGGGCATTGATACACAATACTTTTTACTTTTCCGGAGGGCTCCGATCGGATTGCTTTAAGGTTTGGGGCCAGGGCTTGGGAATATGTCGGGGTTTGTCTTTGGCATTTGGCGGCATAGTCTTCGAGCTTGTTCGGACATTGGCGAGTGAACATGTTGGGGTGTCGTATGGTGATACGAGCAATGGACTTCGTTTCACGTTGATTCGACGCGTATGTTTTTGCAGTAGGGGAGTTTGCAAGTGTAAGCTTAACTCCTGTGCAGCACAAGTTAACTCTGGCTTGCTCTACGCCGAAGTGAGCGCATTGGAGTTCTTGTGCTTCTGGATACAGAATAATTGAATTCGGGTCTCGCGCTTAGTCTGGCAGCATCAGAAGCCATGCAGCCCTCATGTTGCAGGGTCCGCGCCAGTGTCGAAAGGGAGCCTGCGCACTGCTCAAACCAACATGGAGCCATGACCAGGGGCCTCATGATGGACAACATCCTGCAGGGTTCTGTCCATCAGCAGGGTTCAGAGTGCGGAGGTTTGGGGGTCAGGGAGTTCTGCGGGCCTGTTGAAAGCCCTTCATTGAAGAATTCCAGCGCTTTCAAGCAGCGGTTGGGAGTTGTTTTTGGGCTTCGGGCTCAAGGCGATGACGTTCTACGCAGCTCAGCTGGCCCTCGCACCCAATCCGAAACTCGACCAGTCCCTAAGCAGATCCGACACATCTGAACCTAAACTCTTCAACCGACCCTAAACCGTAAACTCTAAACCGACCCTCAACCCTAAGTCCTTTGTTTCCACCCTGAATCCCTTCAAGCCCTAAGCCCCTTAGAACCCGATGCCGCACTCCGAGCCAGGGGCCCCAAGCGGCACAGTACGGCGGTTTAGGGATTGACATAAGGGCTCCATTAAGGCTTCCTGCAAGGGTACGAAACGCCACCGGGACAACATCGACCACAACACGAACGGACTACCAACCGAGACACGACCGCTTAACACAGGCCTTATTTCAGCTCCGTTGTTTTGATCATTCAACCCCGAAACTTCAAAATGCGTGTGTTTCACCAAGACCTCAAGTGTTGTTGACCAAAACAGGAGCCTCGACGAGCTGCTCCGCCAACTTGGGGAGCAGTTGGGCTATCCCCGACGGTGCCTTTGCTCGCGGGCGGGGTGAAATGGGGAGGAGAGTGGAGGGCAGGGTTTTTGAGGTTTCGGGTGTCGCCGTTGGTGTTTTAGGTTTCGGCGTTTTGTGGCCAAGGTTTGGTTAGTGGGTGCTTGGTTCGTTGTGGGAAGGACGGGTGTCTACTAGGGCTTCGTAGGGCTTCTATACCATGTAGTGTAAGCTGCAATGTTAATTAGATGTTGATTATATATACATATACGTAGATACATATACACACCAGACGAGGCAAGGACTTAGAGTTGCGTTTTGCATCGTGTGACATGTTTTCGAAAAGGTGAGCATTCACTTGTGAGGTGATCTCAGCTGCAAAGGCTCTGCATGCAGGTCGGTGGGCTGTTATGGTTTAGGAGTGGATTCTTTGTCGTAGGCCCGCGATGAATCAAGCGCCCCGGCTCGCGTAATCAAGACAAGTAATCATATAGATGCCCTTGTTTGATAGTACTCAACGGAGTTTGGTACGATGCAAGAGTGTTCAGGAGTTGGCCGTTGGATTAGGTTTGGAGCAATTAGGGAAAACGGAACTCGCCAGCCCTTTGCTTTGACCTTTCGAGCCGCCTCAGAAGCTTTGACGCAACATCTCCCGAGTTACAGCCTCATCCGCACTGAACCCCAAGTGGGAAATTGCTTTGTGCTGAGCCTTCTGAAAACAGCCCTTTCCCATAAAGTGACATCGGACCAAACAAGCTGCTGTGCTTACCGCCGGTCTCTTGCAAGGCGTGTTTCGCATATTCCGTTTCCACGCAAGGCGTACTTGTTCTGGAGAGGTGCAACCCTTTCCCATGATATGTTTCGGATCCCCCGCGAGCTCGCGATGAACCTTCACCCCCAACTCAACTCGTATTCCTTCAGAACCTTACACCTTCGACGGCATAGCCCTCAACAGCACCAAAACCCAAACGGTTTCGTGGTGTTGGGTCGCATCCCAGGTACCTGCTTCTAACCTTGGGTTCCCGGACGTTTTCTCGAGATGACTGGGAAACCAGCCTAGAGGAGCTGGGGGTGCAGGACCGGACAGTTGAAGAAAGCGGTGTTAACTTTAAGTTCTGTTTCGGGTATCTTCGGGATTGTCAGAATCTTGGTTTAGTCGGGGATTTGACGTTGAGGCTTTGGGGCTTTTCGTGTTGAGGGAGTGTTGGGTTTCGGGGTTCAGGATCGTCTTCGGATTGAGGCATTTGGAAGCGTCAGAAAGTGGGGGTTCTTCGAAGTCGTCTTGATCATATGGCGTGCATCGAGCTTGCGTCAGACTCAGCAGGCTTGTCACACGTTTTGTCTGGGAAGAACTGGGGGGTTGCAACATAGCTTACCTGATTCAGTGCTACTGTTTTTGTTTCTTTCGTGTGAATGAAAATCTATACATAGTTGGCCCCCTACTTTCTTGAACATATCGATTGTCTGCAGCCCCATGAACCAGGGCAACCCCGGCTGTCGTGCCAGAGGCGGGCTCCCATCTCACCTGCGTCAAGTCCACGCCGATGAGCGAGGTGCTGGGATTTGTACTAGACTGCTACAGATCGGGATCCCTTATTGTGTAACCTTTAAATGGGCCATCACTCATAACAAGGTTTAGGAGTTCAAGGCCTTTGTTAGTGTAGGTGTGTGTCTGAGGGGTGGTGGGCCGTAGCAGCGGCTTGGGGCCTTGCAACCCCAATCCCAATGTCAGCGACCCATGGTGGAGGGTGGGTTTTGGAAGAGACGGACCCAACCGTGGCTGCAAGGAGACCATGTTTCAGGTTTTGGGCAAGGAATCTTCGGGCTTAGATAGTGGAGGGGCTTTCCGGACACTTTGAGCTCGGGGGCGTCGTTGAAGTGTGAAGATACTATAGGGACATCTTCCCCCTGCCCTCGAGGCGTCTTTGTTTCTTTGTCGGTGGTACTTGTGCGTCCCTTCTCTTGAACGCATCCCCTGGTGATTCTCGATTCAACTATACGAACCCCCAAGCAAGAACAACAACATAGGGATACACAAAATTTGAACCATAAACAGATTCAAAGCTCCAGTCCATGGCTGAGGCGCTTCCGGCCTTTGTCGGCTTTGTGGGTGGATTGAGGACGAGCTCATCCAGCGGAGCGTCGAAGGTGCCTTGCCATGACTACTACCTAATACTACTGCTATGATGAAGCTGATTACTTTTCAGGAGCCGTTATTCTGCACGAGACGGGGCTTGGCGAGCGGTAGTCGCAGGGTCGTTAGGAACCCCTTTCGAAACGCATCTGCCCTTTTGACCCTAAGCCGCCAGACCCCATAAACATGAAGCTCTTGAGAAGCGCTTTGACCTCAAAATAGACGACCCAGACCCAGGTGTCTCTGTACTTTGAGCTTGCTGCTGAAGGCTGGCGGGATTTCCCCTGGCGCGGGCCCGTGGACGTGGCACTGCAAGCCACGGTGGGAGACCTCTGGGACCCTCGAGTGAAGCTTCAGTAGCATTACAGCACTCAGGGTTCGACTTGTGGTTAGAGTGAAGTGGAGACACAAGCCATTGTAGCAGAAGCAAGGTCATGCCAGCAACATCAACATCTATTGTGGGCCCAACAGTGCAAGCAGGTCTCCTGGGCAGTCAGATTCATCGGTCCAACTTCCAAGAAGCCCCATAAGGCCCTAGATGGTAGATGCAGTGCACGCATTCCTGGCGACACGAACTGCAGGATGATGCCCAGCACATCCTGATGGAAGTTGCAGAAGCTCAACAGCAACTTCGATGATGACGATGATGATGGTACCCATGGCAGCTGGCGAGAGGAAATGAAGACGGTCGTCAAGAGCATAGCCATGCTGATGGTGGTGGCGGACAAGGACGGTGACGATGACGATGGTGATGGTGGTGACGACATTGATGATGCTGATGGTGGTGATGCTGGCGATGGTAGTGGCGAATCATCACCACCGCCATCATCACCTCACAATCATCATGGTTGACACCGGCGTCGTTTTCATCGTTGTCATTGGCAACACGAACACTGGCGTGTTAATGATGACGATTGGAAACAGCTTGGCTAACAGAGGGATGACCTGCGATGGGAATGATGTTGTTGTTGACGAAGCTGTGCATCGCAGCTATAGCTCTGCTGATGAAGGTAGGAGGGGGGGCTGCCGCTGCGGGTGGTAGCGGAGTTGGAAACGGAACTGCCACATGTTTGGGGACGACATGTTCATAGTGGTGTCGAAGGCTGCAGTGCTGCCGTGGTGTTTGTGAGGAGAGCCAGTGTTGCAAACAAGTTGATGTGGAAGATCTAGATCTGCAGCATCAGAGATGATCGGAGCTCACGGTGATTCGAGATCAAGAAAATAATTGTCACGGTCATGGTGACTTTGATGACGGTTCTCACCGCCGTGCGGAAGCCGGTCATGGATGATAAGTCGCTCGGGTTTTCTGGGTGTTAGAGTTTAGTGTTTCGGATTTGTGGTTCAGGGTTTATGGTTTAGGAACCTACCAGGAGATGGCACCTCCGCCACGACGCGGCAACCCATACGATCTGCGACAGCGGCTCACAATGCTCATGTTCGAAGCTCAGACAAGCGAAGACGTTTCTTATTTGTAGGGTGTGGTGGAACTCGGAGGGAGCTGTGGTCATGTCATTGCTCGCTTGTTGAGAGCATGTAGCTATGAATCTAAGAGGCCTAAAAGAGAGATGTGACCTCCAGATGACCCAAGCTGTAACAGAGCCCCAAACAAGGAGCTTTCCTGAGCTGGACGCCGCAGGAAACCATTGCCATTGTGCCCGCAAGAGCCTTTAGACCGAATCTACCTCTGAACAGATTTCTTCTACCACTCCTGAAGAGAACAAGACCCACAGCTGAGGTGGGGAACACTATCGTTCAAGCGCTTTCATCCTGCAGAGTGCCTTACCCTCGTGCACTGCCATGGCAGGTCGGCTCAGAGTCGAATCGCATCGATCCCCAAAACCCCATTAGCTAAACCCCCTTAGTCCCCGTCTAGCCGCTACAGTATTCCTTCTAGAAGCCTAAAGTAAAGGTCTCGGGAGTTGAATTTCGGAGGCCCGGTTCGACAACCAGCGAGAAAGTCCTGGCAGAGCTGAGATTCCCTTCGGGTGACGGACTCTTAGCTTGAATGAAGGTGTTGTTGGGTTTAGGATTGTAGGGTTTGTGATTTGGGGTTTAGGGTTTCCGTCGAAATTAGCAGTGAGAACATCCCTTTGTAGTCCCTTTCATGTGGTTGTGAGCTGAGTTTAATCCGGTTTCATGCAGAGTTGAAGAATAGTGCGGTTGTTACAGAGGCCACTTTTGGTAAAGGGGAAGCCCGGGAAGACTTGGCAGCGGTTCTCTGAGCTCTCATACATGCGCAAACATCGGGAAGCTAGGGATCACGCAGACGAAGCCCAGGATTGAAGGACGGTGACTGCTTCTCCGTCTACTCGGCCATGGACTAGCAGACAAGCGGAAGCGGAAGCGGCACGATCGCTCGGCTTCGAAAGGCCCAGGGCATCCTCCCTCGACTTCTCCTGCCACAGAAGGCGCTGCAGCTTTCCTGCGCCTCGGCGCGTGGGTCCGGCCGTCTTCCTCTCTGCCGCCGCCCAGCCTTTGCTGCTGCACGCTGATTGAAACAGCCTGTCCACGCTGATGAAGCACGGCATCGGACAAAGCAGGTGGACGCAATGATCTCGCGGCGTGAAAAAGCTGCAGCAACCTGCGCTTCAAAAAGCACAACAAGCTCTGACACCACCTCTCCTAAGCTTTTGGAGGTACGATCGGCGGCGCTTCGTCGATCACGGCCTGAAGCACGTGGATCTCTACTTCCTCGATGGGAGCTGCCCAGATAAGGAGGCACTAGGGCTGTCTACATGCTATCTAGCGATCCGTCGATCTTTCTAGCTGTGAAGCTATGACAAGCTATGTAGCTATGTAGCTAGCTATCTATCGGTCAATCTTACGAATATGGTATCATCTACCCGCTGTCTGTGCTCGCAATGTCAGATCATCTCCAAGTTCCTTTACATCGTCGAGAACGAGCCCAGCGCAGTGGCCGTGCATTGCAAGGCAAGGGGGACGCGGATGGAGTCTTGAAAGGAGTGTTGAAAAGAAGCATAAGTGCTTGTCCCTATGCCCGCGCTTCACTGCTAATCTGCATTTTCACGCTTGTCTTTACTCCAAAGGCTAGAGGCGGGCTGAGGGCGCATGATGCCAGGCCTTTAGGGTGCTCTGTCCTGCTGCAGCGTGACCCGGGTCACCTTCACCAAACACTTCGGAAATGGTGAAACCCCAGGCGCCCTTATAAGGAAGATCAGATCATTCGAGACCTTCTCAACACAGATGCACTTGCTAGCTAGACCTGCAATGCCAAGCCCGGAAGCCTTTCAATTGTTCAGGCTGGTTTGGGTCGCACCGGTACCTTGATCGGCCTGTATGTCCCGGCCCCAAGACAAGGCAGAAGGAGGCTGCACTTCTTGCTGAGGTTGAGCTACATCAGAGTCAGAATTCACAGACCTCAACAGCTAGAACTCCACCCTCAGGGCCCAGGACGCTGTCCTGCACATCCCCGGATTTCCGCGATGTCTCGGGCCCGAGCTTGTAGACTTGTAGACTCATACAACTGATCAGAAGCATTCATAAGCCATGTCAGCCAATGTCAGCGTTGCAGAGTTCGGAAGGGATGCAGGAGCGGCTCAGCTGACGGGGCAACAGCTGGGATAGCCCATAGCCATCGCCATGGCGACATGGGAGGGCGCCGAGAGGGTAAAGAGGATCTTCGAGCCACCTGCCTGAGACATCTTCAGAATTTTGGGCACTGCCTGCGCACCACTCTCTCTCTCTCTCTTTCTCTCTGTGTCTGTGCGCGTGGGTGATTGTCATGACAGATGAAGAACAGCAGTATGATAAGCAGCAACAGGCACTAGCAGCAGCAGGAGCCCCATAATGTAGACCCAAGAGCACGCAGCACAAGCAACAATCCGGCTGCCAGCATGACTATGGAGTTTTTGAAGCGTTGCCAAGCATGGTGTACGCCATGTTCGTGGCGGTCTTGATACTTTCACCGTCTTGCTTTGGGCCCTCAGCAAACCGAAAATCCTGGACTGAGACCATGCCTCCAAAAGGCAGTTTCCGTCCTGATAACAAGGATCCTACTATTTAGGGCACTAAAATTAGGGTCCCCTATTTTCGGAAACTCCCAAATCGTGCACCCGAAACAGTCTTCTTGTCAGATCCCAAGCCCCGAACCTCGCAAGTTCGCGCGACTTCAGGGCAGCAGACCACAACATGGATGGCAAGCTGAGCAGAGACGAGCTACATGGTAGCTTAGGTTTCCACATCTTTTTGTTCTTGTTGGGTTTGAGAGAGTTTCAGTTACAAGAGATTCGTATGTGTTGGTTCATGTGTCCTGCATGTTTGGGCATAGACGGGTGGCCGTGTCGTCAAACGAAAGATAAAAGCTACACACTTCAGAAAACGCTTTTGCAGCCGGGTACTTCAAGGGCACGGGACTTCGAAAGCAATGTAGGTCCGGGAGGAAGGCAGGGCATACGGCACGTCGGAGGTTACTTCGGCATGGAGGGGGCAGGAGAAGAAGTAGAAGTCGTAGTCGTCGTCGTAGTACATGTGTTCGACTCAGGACTCTAGGTTAGGAGGAATGGCACAGTCCAGTCCTTGATCCAGCAGCCCACAGCCCGAAATCAGTCTCCTTGAAGCTCTCGTCATGAAGCCAAAGCCCCAAATGCGGAACTCGAAGAACGACTCCTGTTTCAGATGTCCAAGAAGTAGCGTTGCTTTCTGGAGGCATCATGGCGTGACAGATACCACAACTGTTCCCTTCATGTCTGGGTCCACCGACCGGCCCATGGACCTCAACCACTTCCCTCTTCCGTCTCTTTCAATAAGAACAACGAAGGGGGCTAGAAGAATCTTCTCTGAATCCTCTCTGAATCTGCACAAATCTTGGTCCTGGTAGGTACCTGACATGTGATCGCGGTGTTTGCGGAAATTTAAACGATAACCTCCCTAGAACCTCGAACTTGCAACCTCCTCGCACCTTCGAAGGCCACATGCTGGGCACCCTAGGTCTCCAAGTCCTCGGAAGCCCTGAGGGTCCCCTTGAGGGTTTATGGTTTAGGGGTTTAGAGGTTAGGGTTTAGGGGTATTATGGTTTAGGGGTTTAGGGGTTCAGGGTTTAGGGCCCAGGCTGAAGAGCATCTTCCAGAAGGTCTCTAGCTGGGATGTGCTTTGGATGCGGCCCAGAGGTTTGGAATTACGGCTTTGCGGGGTTTGAGTTCCAATGTTTTTTGCAGATACATGCTTTGCAGTTTCTACCGTTCGCTGTCACATATCGTCCATAATGCTGATTTGGGTTTAGGGTCTAGACTTTTGGGTTCAGGTCCATAACATAGGGGCCTTCATAATTACCTACACTATTTTGGGGATCCTTACTATATTCAGAACCCCCCCCCCTATTCTACTTATTAAGGCCCCCAGGTGCGAGGCCCTTCGAGGAAAGGCTCCTGCGATGAGCGAACCCCTGCACTTGGAGAACCCCAGTTAAGTCAAGGGGTCCCTGTATAACAGGGCTAGGCTTTTTTGGGGCTCCGTCTGGGCTTTTTGTTGGGGGTTTTGGGGTTTGTTGTTTTCTGTTTACTGTCAAAGATACCCGTAGCTTATATGGATGTCTTTTCTGCTTAGAGGTCTACCTGCTTCGGTGATATCAGGACGTCCGCAAGCCCTTCGTGCAGGCTGAGAGCAGGTAAGCTTTCACTGCTTTGGTATAAATAAATCAGGGCCAAAGGCGACATGGATAGTTCTCTAAATTAGGGTGCCGTGCCATTTCGTGGTACCTAAAATGGTGCCCGAATTTAGAGAAGTACCCAATCGTTGCCTATGGACAAGTGGCTTTATCTTGGGTCTTGTATCGTTAGGGAGTTTCCGAAAACAGGGGACCCTAATATAGTATTATCCCTAAATAGTAGGATCTTCACCTTCCAGGACCGCAAAGCACTAATTTCCGGAAACTCCCGTATGAGGATGCGATGATCGACCTTCTCCTGGATGAATGCATCTTGGCTGCGAAGAAGTGTTCGGGTGCTTTTCGGTGCCCTGGCCCGAGGTGTTTCTACACAAAGGGGTTCCGGGGCTTCGGGTTCAGGGCTTGAGCCTTTAGAGAATGAAGCGTGTTGGGCCCTGCTGTTTTGGAATTGTAGCATGAAGGAAGAGGAAACACAGGCCGCTGGTGCAAGGATTCGTGGGTTCAGCGGTCCTTCTCACATTGTATTCGCTAAGGTATGCTCCATCAGTGCAGGCACCGTTAGTCTGTTAGGGTCTAGACTTAATTACCAATACTGTTTTGGAGGTTCTTTTTATAGCTATAGTATAATGGGCACCAAAACCCTATTCTAATTATTCAGGCCCCTACTCTAAACTTTGACAGTAGGACCTGACTCAAAAAGTACGAGCGGTGCATCAGAAGCCAGAATCATTTCAGAAGCACCAGACTGACCGGAAGGGGTCTTGGTGTCCTGCAAAAGCCCCTCATGGTCTCAGCCCCCCTAAACCCTGAAGTTGCCCTCGTAAGCTTATGAAACATGCGTGTGGGTTCTTTCACAATTCCCTTGCGCCCAGAATGGTCTTGCTCTTGCGCCGCGCTGAGGCGATTACAACAAGGACGGTCAACTCCAAGTGCGCGAGTTCATCGACTTCATGTTCAAAGGTGCAGGGTGTCGGCTTCTGTGAGTCCAGAGGAGGAGGGTCGGCCCAAGTTAGCATGCCGTTTCAGCAGTTGCACTCTTTTCCGGGGGGTTATCTGTGAGTGTAGATCGCAGGAAAATCGAGGGAACATCATTGTGCAAGTGTTACCGAATCGCGAAACCCCATATATGCCAGCTTCCCACAAGAGCTACTGCCAAACCGTGTTGCTTATGAACCACAGAGACCTCACCCTAAACATGACTAAGCCCTTCAGATACCCCTTCAGATCCATTTGCCCATTGTTCTCGATGGCGACCAGCAACGCGCTGAGAGCGTACTCATTACCAGCCCGCAAGAGCCAAAACCGATGAGGTTTTCCTCTGGGCCTCTGCTTGGAACTTGAGTGGTTAGGGCTTGGAGCCGCTATCCCTGATACCTCAAGTTATGTTGAGCCTGCAACACGACACCTGAGTTTGTCACTGATAACCCGGCGATTTTCAACATGCGGCCCCAGATGCAAAGAAGAGTCCTAGCATAAATACCACTGTCATTCCTTATGATATTGAGGCCTCTATTTTGCAAGGAAAGTCTGGGATTCGGATTCTTGGGGCCCTGCTCCGCAGTGCTCATGTCTCCCTGCAAGGTGCCAAGCTGGAGCCTCGCCGGTTTGGGGGGTTTCGTGTTCCGGGCGAATGTGGAGTCGAGTTTATGCTTGACGAGGGGGGAAGAGTTTCAGAATGGCAACCTGATTGTACCGACTTTC